AAAGTGATATTTAAAGGCTTAACTAGGTTAATTAAATGAGTAAGTGTATTGAGCAAGTCATTGTATAGCAGTGGTTTGTTTTGTAGACAATCAAAAAAAAAAGACCTTAAAATGGTTTTAAAAACCTTAAAAACTGCGATTGTTCTTGCCGAAATAAAACAATATTTCATTCACAAGACTTTCTCCAGAAGAAAAAATATGATCAGACATACTGTGAAAAACTCCTTGCTCTAGTAAACATTATTTGGGAAATATTTATATTTTTTAATTTACAGGAGAGCTAATCATTTTAACTTCAACTGGATCTATTTCGGGGTAGAATGTCAGGCGTCTAAACCTTATCCCACCCCTGACGGACACTATCTATCCAATCCAGATAGCTGGCCACTTTGGTGTAGATGCCCAGTTTGTCTCTCTGCCCGCAGCCTTCTCCCCAGGACACCAAACCCACCAGAAACCACGTATGGTGAAACAGCGTCATCATCGGACCCCCGCTGTCCACCTCACATGCATCTTTGACCTGCCCCAAAACTCCAGCGCAGAGCATGTTGTCAGATAGGTTGTTCATCATATGCCGGGAACACTCTTTGTTGTCAACAATCGGTAGTTCCACGTAGTTAAGCATAGAATTGTAGCTGGTGGCCGATTGGTTGTCCTTTCCCCAACCTGTGATGACGGTTACCGTCCCGTTGCGATGTAACATTCGTTCTGCCAGCTCCAGGCTGGGGAGGCACGCCGGAAGAATGTACGTGGAAAATTTGGCCGGAACCTCCAAGCGCAGCAGAGCAATGTCATTGTCCACTGTGATTGGGTTGTATTGTGGGTGAGAGATGTGTTGTTTGACAGGAAGGGTGATCTCGGAGCCTTCAAACCTGAACCTTTGGTAGTCGCCTGGGTAGACAAGTGTACCACAGAATGGTTTAGAGAAATTCACAACTATTAAATATTTGTTTTGGCAGTTTTGACCCTTTTTTACAAAGATGTTATGATGAGTTTAATTGTTATCAGAATCTTAAATCCTTGAAAGTTTTTAATATTTAGATTTTTTTTAAATGTATGTACATTTAAATCTGTTCACATGTGTAGGCCCATGCACACCGAGACGTTTTTTGCTCGCGTTTTCCGTCAAACGTTTAACGCCTCGTGACTCAATAAAGGGCGTCAATGTGATTGTGCACACCAACGCGCCAAACAGAAGCCAAAAAAAGCATGATTTAAAAAAAAACGCCTCATGCTCGTTTATTTGTTTTGACGTGCCGCATCAAAACCTTCTTCGCCAATCAGGTTGGCATTTTTGTTCATGTGCACGGAGCTGCTGAAGTTACCGTAAACAGCACTTGGAGGCGCTCAAGTGCAAAACTGTCAATGCAAGCACATTGAAGAAGATGCCCAGAGGTAATGTGAACGTGGAGCTGTTTATTGCTCTGTGAACAATAATCATTTCTTAACCGCTAGAGCTGGAGCTGCTGCTTCAATCATCCATGCTTGTTCGAGTCACCAGTAACTTTAACAACAAGCGAGTAAACTTCTTCTCCTCCTCTTCTGCGTTATAAGCGGGTGTCAGAAGCTTAAAGTTGTGTAGCGCCATCTAACGTCAAATCGTTTTTTGCATACTCTTCAGCTTGACGCCAGTGAAAAGCGCTTGGGTTTTTAACACGGAAAAACGTCTCGTAAAACGCTGACGATAAACGCAAACGAAAAGCGTCCCAGCGTGTAGGAGCCTTTATATTTGCGTCACATTACAAAAAACGATATACCGCTTGTGCGAGGTGTTTGCAGCGTCTACACTCCCTGACAAAAGTCTTTTCATCGGTTGTGAGCAACTAATAACTTGACTTCTACTTGATTATTTGGAAAAGTGGCAGAACTATTCTCTGTTGAGCTGCATCCCAATCATCACAAATACTGCAGAAGACCTACTGGACCCTGCATTGACCCAAGATTCTCACATAAATCAGTCAAGTTTGGTGAAGGAAAAATCAGGGTTTGAGGTTTCATTCAGTATAAGGGCGCGCAAGAGATCTGCAGAGTGGATGGCAACATCAACAGCCTGAGGTATCAAGACATTTGTGCTGCCCATTACATTACAAACCACAGGAGAGGGCAAATTCTTCAGCAGGATAGCGCTCCATCTTACACTTAGTGGGTGGCATGGGGGCTCAGTGGTTAGCACTGTTGCCTCACAGCAAGAACATCACTGGTTCTATTTCTTACCAAGCCAGCCGACGGTCCTGTGTGGAGTTTACAAGTTCTCCCCGTGCTTACATGGGTTTCCCCCAGGTTCCCTGGTTTCCTCTAACTATCCAAAAACATACAACTTAAGTTAGTTGACTAATTCGGCACCATAGACATGCTCATGGTAAGCATCTCTTAGGAGCAATCACTATCTGTTCATTAGCAACTACAGCAGGGGAGTTCTCCAGATCTACCTGAGCTCAAACTCCCCTCTCGCCTTGCAAACGGGAGGGAGCCCCTGGCTCGAGGATCTTATGAGCTCAGGGCTCTCTACAGGGACAGCATGCCAAACAACATAATCAATCATCAGCTAAGTGTGAACTCTTGGAAGAAAATATTTTAAAGAAAGCTGAATCTTGTAACCACTGACATTAACAATAACGTTTTTGGGGTGAACTATGACTGTAAATATAGGTCATAATAAACTACTACTCTACTCCTGAGTTTGTTTTTTTGTGACATATTTTTCACATCTGAGGCAACACCATCCTCAGCTAGCCTATGTGTTCTAGTATGTTTCAAGAGTTCACACTTAGCTGATGATTGATTATGTTGTTTGGCATGCTGTCCCAGGAGAGAGCCCTGAGCTCCCTCCCATTTGCAAGGAGAGAGGGGAGTTTGAGCTAAGGTAGATCTCGAGAACTCCCCTGCTGTAGTGGCTAATGAACAGATAGTGATTGCTCTTGAGAGATAACTAACTAGGAGCATGTCTTTGGTGCCGTTTTGGATTAGTCAATAATCTTCAGTTGCATGTTTTTGGATGGTGGGAGGAAACCGGGGAACCCGGGCCAAACCCACGTGAGCACGGGGAGAACGTGTAAACTCGGCACAGAAATGTCGGCTGGCTTGGGAAGGACTAGAACCAGTGACGTTCTTGCTGTGAGGCAACAGTGCTAACCACTGGGCCCCCGTGCCACCAATCTAGGAAAGGAGGAGGAGTAGGGGTGGAAGAGGGGATTCTTCAAAATGAAGATGGCTGTGATATGGAACTTAGGAATCGTCTGATTGGTGAATCATAAATTGAATAATGCGGGGCTGGCTGCAAGCAATCAAAAGCATTTGATCCTCTCGAAATTAGTTTATAAATAAACTTCACTTCTAGTATGTTTTTTGTTGTTGTTGTTTTAAATTGCTTTTAGCAATGTGTCTTTTAAAAACTTTAATACTAAAGAGAAAATGACTTACATTGTATGGGAATACTTAAATGACAAATTATCTGACGTACCCAGTCTGACACTGAACTTGGAACTCGTCTCTAGGCAGTGAGCGGCAGTGAGAACCCAGTTTTCGTCAATCAGAACTCCACCACAATGAAACCTGCCCAAATTATTTAGTATAAGAGCCTACAAAACACATATTGTTGCTATTATTGTCCCATATGACATGTCAGAATAAGATATGATAAAATATTTGCCGCTGATACATATGATTGGATAATTATTATATATATATTTTAAAGTTACCTGCCAGGGGCTCTTTCCCCTTTTGCCAACTCTATATGCAAAACCACATGGCTGTAAATAGGCTGACTTTTGGATCCGAATCTGACCACATGAAGCATCATCTGAAAATGAGAAAAATGCAGAAATTCAGCTTCAAGAGATTCAGTTGAATTAATGTGATCATTTTGACGTCAACTTAAAGAAACATGCTTTTTCAGACTAACAATGACACCTAATAAATCGGTTATGTTATATTGTGTAATTATTATTAGCCACATTTGTGGATAAAAATAGACGTCTCGTAGGTGTCCACAAAAGCTAATGTTGAGTCTTGATTTCAAATGCAAAAATATATGCATTAATTTGTGCACTGTTGATACGAAATCAACAATGTGCATTTACAGTTGAAACCAGAAGTTTACATACGCTCTAAAAAAAGGGACATAATCATTTTTTTTAAATGTCTGATAGTAAATCATTCTAAGCGTTTACTATTTTAGGTCCGTTAGGATCACCTAAATGATTTACATTTAGTAAAAGCCAAATAATAAGATAATTTTTTTTTTGAGAATTTTTATTAATTTCTAGACTAAAAGTTTACACACATTTCCTTGCTATTTTCTTTGCTTTGCTTTTAAACTGTAAAACTTTGGTCAAATGTTTTGGATATCCTTCTACAAGCTTCTAACAGTAGTTTGAAGATATTTTGGCACATTCCTCCTGACAGAATCGGTGTAACTGAGTCAGATTTGTTGGCTGTCTTGCTCGCACAAGCTTTTTCAACTTTGCCCACACATTTTCTATAGGATTGAGCTCAGGGCTTTGTGATGGCCACTCCAAAACAATCACTCTGTTGTCCTTAAAGCACAGTTTAACTCATTTGGCAGTATGCTTAGGGTCATGGTCTGTTTGTAAGACCCATTTGTGGCCAGGTTTTAATCTCCTGGCTGATGTCTTGAGATGTTGCTTCAGTATTTCTACATAATGTTCTTTCTTAATGATGCCATCTATGCTGTGAAGTGAATCAGAAATTTCCAAAACCTTGACACTATCGTCTGAGCTTTTTCAGAGGCAGAATAATCTTATTGTGTGTAAACTTGACTTTCAGGAAAAGTTATAACAATTTCTCTAAAAATCTCTCATTATTCTGCTATTAAGCATAACAGAAACTAATTTGATAATCCTAACTTACCTAAAAGAGAAAACGTTTAGTCACATTAACATCTGCCTTGTTTTAAAATGGTTATGTGCCTTTTTATACAGTGTATGTAAACTTCTGCTTTCACTGTATGTGTAGTTGACAATTGTGTTATGGTAACTTACTTTTAGGAGTACATTTTCTAGAATTGTCTTGAAGTTGGTATCCCTTGATGCAACTGCATGTGCGAGCAAGACCGTCCTTACTCTCGTGGCAATCATGATCACAATCCCCGTTGTTCAGCGAACAGTTAGTGGCTGTCCTGCCTGAGGTTAAACCACAGAACTGCTGTCAAGACATTTATCGCTGCAATGAATGACCTCAACACACACCACTGCCCTGTAACTCGAGAAGGACATCACTAAATGCCTAAATGAGCGGCGACACAGCAGATCAAAAACACTGATGCAGTCAAAACCCAGCAAAGACAAACAGATTCACTGGATTTTTCCATTCACACATTTTTATGCCCATTTTGGAATATGGCATGGATAAAATCTTAATGGAAATGCCAAGGGGGTGGCATGGTGGCTCAGTGGTTAGCACTGTCGCCTCACAGCAAGAAAGTCACTAATTCGAGTCCCGGCTTGGCATTTCTGTTGGCAAATCAAAAAGATACGATCTGCTGTGAGAGTGTGCTGGTATTCTAGCATGAAAATACAGCACAAACCGTAAAAGAAATGTTTGTTTGTTATGGCAAACTACTTTATTTCATTAATTTATGAGTGATGGGTCATTCTTCAACGATTCGTTCATTTTAAACAAACCTTTTGTATGACTCGACTCCTCTCAGGGAGTGATTCGTTCATTCGCCCATACGCACTTTTGTCTAGGTGGAGGAGAAGATTAGTTGCTTTTTCGAGTCTTCTTTTAGGTTTGAGGCGTTCGGTAATTACATGAAAGACAGAAGCCAATCATATGCATATGCATTCGTTAAAAAGTCCTCGGGTTCGAGTAATCTCTCTTTACATGCTGTCACAAGATGAACGAATGACTCAAAAACCAGAAGACTCAAAAGGTGAACAAATCATGGCTTCTTTCGGCTCAGAATGTGTGCATGGTTAAGCTTATATGGGACTGTCAGTGTGACGTGAGTGAGCCACTCAAATTTGAAGACGAGAAGACGTGTGCTGACATAATCATAGACAAAAGAGCAGGTAAACTATAAATGATTATTTTCCTTTTTCTTTAAGCATTCTAGATATGACTTGTTTGTAGTGTTATCAACGTTTGGTGTAATTGAGGATGAGTTTGGAAGCAACTCGTAATATTTTAATAACATTTTGGCAAAATGAATGAAATGACTCGAAAAAGATTCATTCATCTCAGTGAACGAGATTCAAAGGTCTGAGTCAGTAAAATGATCCATCACTAAAATCTTTAATTATACATTAAAAAGGGTCATATTTTGGTTTCAAGGGTCTCCAACAACAGGCTGACATGCATGTAAGGCCTAAAAACACTTTTATTGTCTTATAATATGAATTTATTTTTTACCTACAGTAATTATCCCAACGACTCCCATATGATTCGTTCAGTGATTCATTTGTTCCCAAACCCCTCCTTAGAGAAAAGCTAATCTGCGCTGATTGGACCGATGTCAGTCTGTTGCGATTGGTCGACAGCATTTAATGCTCAGCGCGAGCATTAAACCAAAATAAATACCGTACATACAAATGTTTTAGGATTTTGAAGCATTAAAGCAAAAATTAATGAAACAATATTTCGACAATATTTCAAAACTGTTCAGATGATGTAAAGGCAAATATTTCCTTTTTTTTTTTTTTTTTTTTTGAATATGTAAAGTGAATAACACATAAAAATGCTCCCGGAGGTCACAATGTTTCCCTTCAAATCCAGAGTCGCAGGTGCAGGAGAAATCCTGCAACAGGTCAACACACTTGCCATGAACACACGGATTTGTGGTGCACTGGTTTCCATCTGAAAGTAAAGAAAACCCAATGAGTTATGACGCACTTGCAAAGCTACACCACAGCACAGACTGAACTAACCTTTATATGCCGTCCAGAATTCCAGCTGCAGGATGAAGAACTCAGTAAATAGATCATAATTAAGAGCAAAAGTGCGTAAGAACAGTTAAAAGCTGACCAACCGTGGCCTCCCTTGTTATAAAGATTTCTCTTGCTTCTTCGAAATCGCACAGTTCCTCTCTGCACTCCCGCTCCAGCGATGCCGGCTTGAGTTCCTCCATGAAAGTGTTGGCTCTTCTTGAACGGAGCAGCATATGTGCGTTTGGGCTGCTAGAAAATACTGACCAAAACAGACACAGGGTTAATAGGGGAGAGCACTCAATGTGGGTTTCCCAGTATTTATTAATGCTTTAAAAGTTTTCATCTCCTGTTAATCTTTCATCTCCTGTTAATCTTGCAGTTTATTTGTAAATTTCAGGTAATGGTTCAAATGCGAGTAATATAGAGCTGTGCCAATAAAATCTGTTTAAAATTGAATACATGTATATAAATAAAATTTATTAAAGTACATTTAAAATTTCTAAACATAATAGCTCCTCTTATACATGGCTGTTTTTATTGACCTCATACCTGACTTGCAAAGAGCCCCATCAGAACAAAAAACAACCAGAGTTAAGGCACAGAAGAAAAGACTCCTCATTATGGCAACAGACCCTGTAAATACAGCAAAAAATCTATATATTTAAATAATTAAACTTGAAATCAGCATCTAGATTTGATGTATGGTAAGTGATGTTTTGGTTTCATATACATAAATGATTATTAACATTAAAGTGAGAATTTTCACTGTCTAAAATAATAGCACCTTAAAAAAACTTCTTACCGTGCTCCCCAATATGAACGTGGTACTTTAAAGGCCAGATTTTTCCTCAAATGAGAACTACATTTGAAGATACATGAAGCAGAAATAAGGATTTTAAATGTCTCAGCTTAATCCGACAGGACAGCAAAGCACAAACAGCCTTTAGCAGCTAAAGCAAACCGTTCACTGAACAAATAATATCAGCCCAAATCAATCACAGAATTTTCATTTCGCTGTCATATTACCATCCGCAAGTTAAACAGAGTGAAATCCACACGTTTGGAGGATTTACCAAACCCTTGATGAGTATAAAACAAGTTTACTTACATTTTTGTTTTAAATAAGAAAGGAAATGAAATGAAGATTGTTGTTTAAAGTGCGTTAATGACTAACTATATCTGTTTACTGAGAGTCCACAGTCTGCATTCTCATCTGCTGTCTGTCCACACACAACGACTCATGTCCAACTGCACAGCTTATGGGCTAATCTACAGACTGTACTTTTGTGGTTTAATTACGTTTAATTGGTAATTTTTTGGCCATTGCTTTAACACTATAGCTGTTTACATTCAACAATGCACCTTAAACACATGCTCAAATTGAAACATTGCAGAAAACAATAACAAATAAATCACCAATTCAATCCAATTAATTACAGAGAACAAAATCATTGCTTCCTGATAAACTTGCGTCAAATATCATTCATTTATTCATTCATTCATTCATTTTCTACCACTTTTCTGTGGTCGGGTCACGGGGGCAGCAGACTTAGGGAAGAACCACAGACTTTCCCCTCCCCAGACCCTTCCCCTAGCTCCTACGGGGGGATCCTGAGGCGTTCCCAGGCCAGCCAAGAGACATAGTCCCTCCAGCATGTCCTGGGTCTTCCCCAAGGCCTCCTTCTGGTGGGACATGCCTAAAACACCTCCCTAGTAGGTGTCCAGGAGGCATCCGAAACCCCGAGCCACCTCAGCTGACTTATCTCGATGTGGAGAAGCAGCAGATTTACTCTAAGCTTCTCCCGGGTGTCAGAGCTCCTCACCCTATCTATAAATGGTGCGCCCTGCCACCCTGCGAAGGAAACTCATTTCGGCTGCATATATCCGAGATCTTGTCCTTTCGGTCTTGACCCAAAGCTCATAACCATAGGTGAGAGTAGGAATTGACCGGTAGTCTTTACCACAACGGATCGGTACATTGACCTCATTACTGCTGCCACTGCACCAATCCGCCTGTCAATCTCACGTTCCATCCTTCCCTCACTCGTGAACAAAACACCAAGATACTCCTCCACCTGGGGTAAGGACTTTCTTTTTAACCTGGAGATGGCAAACCACCTTTTTCCAGTGGCACACCATGACCTCTGACTTGGAGGTGCTGATTCTAATCCAAGCTGCGTCACACTCGGCAGCAAACCGCCCCAGTGCATGCTGAAGGTCCATGTTTGACGAAGTCAACAGAACAACATCTTCTGCGAATAACAGAGATGAAATCCTGTGGTCCCCGAACGGGACACCCTCCATCCCAAGGCTGCACCTTGAAATTCTGTCCATAAAAATGATAAACAGAGTTGGTGACAAAGGGCACCCCTGCCGGAGTCTAACATGCACTGGAAACAAGTTTGACTAATTGCCGGCAATGCGAACAAGACTCCTACTCTCTTCATACAAAGACGAGACGGCCCTTAACAGACCGCCTCTGACCCCACACTCCCAGAGCACCTTCCACAGAATGCCACAAGGGACACGGTTGAATGCCTTCTCCAAATCCACAAAACACATGTGGACTGGTTGGGCATACTCCCATAAACACTCGAGCACCCTGGTGAGGATATAGAGCTAGTCCAGTGTACCACGGCCTGGCCGAAAACCGCATTGTTCCTGCTGGATCCAAGGTTCAACCAGATAAAGAGTTTGCTGCAAAGAGAATAAATCCAACCCGGGCTCATTGTGGAAACGTAGCCCCGCGGACGTTTTTGCGGACCGCGATTTACGTCCCGGGAGGTACGTATTTGAGCGTTTTTGTTTTCGCGGATCCGCGAGAGGCCGCTGTGCGCGCTTTTTCGCGTCTCGGGCGCCTCTCGGGAGCGCGCGCCGTTCGCGGCCGCGCCGTTCTAGCGCGAAAAGCCGCCAGATCGGCCGACTCGGCCACCCTCCTCTTCCTCCTCCTCCTCCTCCTTCCCTAAACCCGAGCGACGGTTCGCAAAAGCCGTCCAGAAAAAAAAAAAAAGCAAAAGCCCTCGTCTTCGATTTCGACCGCGTTTTTGGATCCCGCCGCGTTCTCGCCCTTATTTTTCGGATTCCGTTTTTCGTCTTACCTGATTTCCGGAACCGCTGTTCCCTGGACTCGATCCCGGTCGTCGTCCCGCGGCCGGCTCCTCCTCCCCCTCCGGGGCCTCCAGCTCCTCCTCCCCCTCCGGGGCTTCCTCCTCCGACGCAACGCTGTGGGCAAAGCAGACAAACTGGCTGCATCGGGAAAGCCCTCCACTAAACGCGGCCTTACGTACCTCCGGCCACGTAAATCGCGGTCTCCAGAAACGTCCGCGGGGCTACGTTTCCAGAATGAGCTTGGGTTGAATAAATCACTTACATTCAGAAGATGAAATGCAATGAACGGGCAATGGATTTTGGATTTTTGGTCATTGGGAGCACTTTGGGATGCTCAAGACAGTTCTGGAGGTAATGAAACTGAACCACTTTGATGACGGACTTTGGCTGAGGCATTTTAGAAATAAACAAAACAACTTTTCAGATGATTTACAATGTGGTCAGTCCGCTGGTTTGTCCATTAAGGTCATTCCAGTTGTTGCCATTTTTGGTTATATCATGATCTGTTTAAACAAGATCATATGAGTTTTTTGATGCCCACATTGGAATTTACTCAGTAAATGCATTCACATTGTAGTTTATGCTATTTCTTCTAGATTAAAAACATTTATCGTACTCAAAAAGAAATGCATTTTCAAAATGTATGCTTTAATGCGATATTCTACTGCTGCTGATTTGATGCATTTTCAATTATTATCTTGATAATTTATAGCATTTAAAAATAAATACAGTAAAATTTCATTTTTACTAATGCTAGTAGAGGTGACCCTAAATACACTACCTGACAAAAGTCTTGTCGTTGATCCCAGTTGTAAGAGCAACAAATAATAACTTGACTTCTAGTTGATCGTTTAGAAAAGTGGAAGAAGGTGGATTTTTCCTGAAGAATCATCTGTTGAATCATCACAAAATGCTGCAGAAGACCTATTGGAACCCAAGATTTTTACAGAAATAGGTCAAGTGTGGTGAAGGAAAAATCATGGATTGGGGTTGCATTCAGTATGGGGGTGTGCGAGAGATCTGCAGAGTGGATGGCAACATCAACAGCCTGAGGTATTTAGACATTTGTGCTGCCCATTACATTACAAACCACAGGAGAGGGCAAATTCTCCAGCAGGATAGCGCTCCTTAATTCTCTATAGGTGAATTAGATAAACAAAATTGGCCATAGTGTGTGTGTGCGTGTGATAATGTGAGAGTGTATGGGTGTTTCCCAGTACAGAGTTGCAGCTGAAAGGGCATCTGCTGTGTAAAACATGCAGGAATGGATGGCGGTTCTTTCCGTTGTGGTAACCCCTGATAAATAAGGAACTAAGCCGAAGAAAAATTATAAAACATATTTTAAGCAAAGATATTTGTGGTATTGATTTCATGGGGATGCACTGGCTAGAAAGAAATCTATGAATCATTTACTAAGCTTTAGCATCTAGTAAATTCAATATTTGTTAAGCATTAACTCAGTATTAATAAGCATTAGTAAGCAGTTTATAACTGCAGATATAAATGCTCTATTCTTGACTTACAACCACATTTTTATTGTGTTTAATAATTGTATTTTCATAATTTGTTAGTACTTTATTTTTCATTAATAAATTAAATATTGCATCATTTACAAACCATTTGTATTTAGGAGTAGTTGGTGATTTTTAAGACTATTCAGAATGAGTTAGTAAATGATTAATAAACTATTCAAATCAATGTTTATATATTACTCAGGCATATGGTAATGGTTACTATATATGTTAATAAATGCTTTATTAACTCAACTTCATGCAGTTTTGTGACCTAATCTAAGGTGAGGACTATTCATGCTTTATAAATGCCTTATAAATGACGATTAAAGGCTCAGTATCAAATGAACAATAAATCTTTGCAATCTTTTGCTGAATAACAGGAGTGTCAAAATATGACATCAAATTGGATAAAACAACAACAATATAATAATTTAATAATATAATAAGATGCAATGTTTAAACTGTACAGTGATTTTATTTTAGATAAGGTTGCAAATATTTATTTTTCACTTAAAGTACAGTTTCATTTGTGTATTTTCAAACAAATAGGAATAAATAATGTGTTTTTTTTCCTGTTTAGAATTTAACTGACCATTTACTTGTCATTTATAAGGGATTTATAAAGCATAAATAGTCCTCACTTTAGATTAGGTCACAAAACTGGATGAAGTTGAGTTAATAAAGCATTTATTAACACACAAAGTAACTATTACTATATGCTTGAATAATGAGAATTATAAATGTTCATTTGAATAGTTTATTAATCATTTACTAACTCATTTTGAATGATCTTAAAAACATCCAACTAAATAAATGGTTTGCAAATAATGCAATACTTCATTTAGTAATGAAAAATAAATAAAGTACAAAAGTACAAGTATTAAGCACATTATGAATAAGTTTGTAAGTCAAGAATACAGTTTTTGTAGCTGCAGTTATAAACTGCTTACTAACATTTATTAATGTAGAGTTATTGATTAACAGATCATGATTTCACTATTTGCTAACGCTTAATGGTTCATAGTGTGTAATTATTAAGTGTTACCAAAAATCCTAAATAACAACAAAAAGAGACCTCTTTCGTTCCTCCTCCTTCATCATGCTTTAATCATTGAACACTCCACTACAATTCAGTATTTTATAACAATACAGTGTTTCATAATAATACATTTATTACAATAAAGGTTCTTGCTTCATATCACAAAGTTTTACAACTACTTAGATATGCATTTTGCAGCTTCTGTATCTGTATATAATAGGAGAAACAGCTCTCTATTAATTTTAAATTACAGGTCCCACTTCCACAGAGATCAGACAGCTGAAGAATGATTGATGGAGTATCTCTATTCATCTCTAATTGCAACTACAATCAGCAAATACACTGAAAAAAGTGATTCATTGGATTTACTAAATGTCTTTAAGGTATGTAGTTGCAAACTGTTTATATGGGCTGAATTTAAACAAATTACATTTAATAATGTTCAACTTTAATTCATTAATTTTCCTTCGGCTTAGTCCCTTATTTATCAGGGGTCGCCACAGCAGAATGAACCGCCAACTATTCCAGCATATGTTTTACACAGCGGATGCACTTCCAGCCGCAACCCAGTACTGGGAAACACCCATACACTCTCATTCACACATATACACTACAGCCAATTTAGTTCATCCAATTCCCCTATAGCGCATGTCACTGGACTGTGGGGGAAACCGGAGGACCCGGAGGAAACCCACATGAACATGGGGAAAACATGCAAACTCCACAGAGAAATGCCAACTGGCCCAGCAGAGACTCGAACCAGCGACCTTCTTGCTGTAAGGTGACAGTGCTAACCACTGAGCCACCACAATGTTCAACTTAATTCAGTGGTTCTCAAACTGTGGTGCGTGGACCACTAGTGGTACACAGGCTTCCTTTTAGTGGTACGCGGAGGAATGAAATATGTCATGTACATGCTAAACACATTTCAAAATTTATCAAAAATGATGATATATAATATGCCATATATGACATATACAACCCGGGCTCATTGTGGAAACGTAGCCCTGCGGACCACGTTTTCGGATCCCGCCGCGTTCTCGCCCTTATTTTCCGAATTCCGTTTTTCGTCTTACCTGATTTCCGGAACCCGCTGTTCCCCGGACTCAATCCCGGTCGTCGTCCACCGCGGCCGGCTCCGGCTCCTCCTCCTCCGGGGTCTCCGCCGACGCAACGCTGTGAGCTAGGCGGACAAACTGATTGCGTCGGCCGGCGAGCGCGAAGAGGAGGGGTGGAGCGGCGCCACACCGCCCTGCAGCGTTCGCTCGAAAAAAACCAAACCCGGCCTTTACGGACCTCCGGCCACGTAAATCGCGGTCTCCAGAAACGTCCGCGGGGCTACGTTTCCAGAATGAGCTTGGGTTGGACATATAGCCTATATTTCTGAGGTAATCTGCCACGTTTTTTATTTTTTATTTTACTGAGTTGTAGCTGCTTTACTGGGCCTACTACGCTACTGTATTTCAATACTGCTCATGTTAGTGGTACTTGGAGAGACAATTTTTTTCTAAGGTACTTGGTGAAAAAAGTTTGAGAACCACTGACTTAATTTATTTAAATTCAGCCTACATAAATAGTTTCCAACCAATTACCTTAAAACTTTTTAACATATCCAATGAATAATTTTTTTTTCAGTGTAACCGAGAAGTGCTCTTTCGCAGTGTTCTCTATATGATTTTTAACATCCCTAATTATGTACTTTACTATATCGAGCGATGCTTCGAGATCTTCTACACGTTCTCCTCAATGTTCGCATTTCCTTCATCCTCGTCCTCAGGCATGCCCTTCAGGTAGGTGCGCTTGAACTCCTCAAATACCATTTCTTCTTCCGCTTCACTGTTTAAAGCAACAGCACGATCACATGAAGGACAAGATACAGATACAGCACAAATATGTTATTGAGGTTGCAAAAAAAGGTAAGTACTGATATATAAAATAAACTAGAGACTAGAGAGCAGCTAGATTACTAATGTATGCCATTTATTTATGCAGGGATGTAAAATAAGGACTTGATGAAATATATACAGTTTGATATATATAGGACTTGATGATATATATACAGTTTGATATATATAGGACTTGATGAAATATATACAGTTTGATATATATAGGACTTGATGAAATATATACAGTTTGATATATATAGGACTTGATGATATATATATACAGTTTGATATATATAGGACTTGATGATATATATACAGTTTGATATATATAGGACTTGATGAAATATATGCAGTTTGATATATATAGGACTTGATGAAATATATACAGTTTGATATATATAGGACTTGATGATATATATATACAGTTTGATATATATAGGACTTGATGAAATATATACAGTTTGATATATATAGGACTTGATGATATATACAGTTTGATATATATAGGACTTGATGAAATATATACAGTTTGATATATATATAGGACTTGATGATATATACAGTTTGATATATATAGGACTTGATGAAATATATACAGTTTGATATATATAGGACTTGATGATATATACAGTTTGATATATATAGGACTTGATGATATATATATACAGTTTGATATATATAGGACTTGATGAAATATATACAGTTTGATATATATAGGACTTGATGATATATACAGTTTGATATATATAGGACTTGATGAAATATATACAGTTTGATATATATATAGGACTTGATGAAATATATACAGTTTGATATATATAGGACTTGATGAAATATATACAGTTTGATATATATAGGACTTGATGAAATATATACAGTTTGATATATATAGGACTTGATGATATATATACAGTTTGATATATATAGGACTTGATGAAATATATACAGTTTGATATATATAGGACTTGATGAAATATATACAGTTTGATATATATAGGACTTGATGATATATATACAGTTTGATATATATAGGACTTGATGATATATATACAGTTTGATATATATAGGACTTGATGATATATATACAGTTGAAGTCAAAATTATTCGCCCTCTTCTGAATTTGTCTTTCTTTTTCAAATATTTCCCAAAGGATGTTTAACAGAGCAAGGAATGTTTTACAGTATTTCCTGTAATATTTTTTTTTCTTCTGGAGAAAGTCTTATTTGTTTTATTTTGGCTAGAATAAAAGCTGCTTTTAATTTACTTCAAATTATTTAAGGTCAAAATTATTAGCCCCCGTAAGCAATTTTTTTCTTCATTTTGTCTACAGAACAAACCACTGTTATACAATAATTTGCTTAATTACCTTAAAGTGCACCTATTTTACCCCCTTATCAAAATTTAAGATGAATCTTTTGTGTCTCCAGAATGTGTCTGTAAAGTTTCAGCTCAAAACACCCATCAGATTATTTATTAGACCTTTCAAAATATTGGATTTTCTGCTCTGAACAACCATGTAGCTGTTTTTGTGGCCTGTGCCTTTAATGCTAGATCTCCCTACCCATGAGTTTCCTCATGCCTGTCAGAGTGTGCCCCAATCTCAGCCTTGGCTGCATCAGATAAACAACACAGTGACAGACATGGAGGCAGCAGATCTTACGTAACGTTTGTGAGAAATACTACAATAAGAGTTGCAACGATGAGTAACACACAATGCCATTACACACACAAACACTAACACACACGCACACACACACACACACACACACACACATTTTTTTTGTGAAAAGTGGGGACATTACATAGGTTTGCATTCATTTTATACTGTCCAAACCGTATGTTACATTGCCCTCACGCCACCCTACTAATAACCCCAACCATCACAGGAGTCAGTGTCCAGCTTTACTCTCTGATTGAACTCATCCTGTGGGATTTATAAGCTTTTTGAGAAATGAGGACGTCCCCAATGTCTTCATATTTCACCTCCGACCTGCGTCATACCCATGTCATTATACAGATTTGTGTCCTGATATGTCACAAAACACACTAATAATAAATACAATAAGAGTTGCAACGATGAGTAACACACAATGCCATTACACACACAAACACTAACACACACACACACACACACACACACACACTTTAACCTTTGCACTTTTTTTTGCACAGCATATGTGACAGGATACAGGTTAATATCCACTGCTGTATGGATATTTGTTATGTTAATGTACAAAATAAAATATTAAATTCGGCTGTGCTGATGAAGTATAGACAGTAAAATCGCTGTAATTCATTACAAACATGCACTGTTTTAAAAACATTTTAAACTTGTAAAACTCATTCTTGATCACAATTGATGATCACAGAGAGCTGAACAGATCTTTTATTCCTGGTTGCTTTTTGCACGTCCTGTCTTGTTGGTATGATTATATGCGTTACTACAGAGTTGTTTATACGTGGCTGTCAATCAATTCGGTGGGCGGGAAAACTGCACTCCTGCATCACGTTGTGGTCGGCCTCAGTAAAAGAGGGATTGGGATCCTATTTTAACAGGAAAGCTTTAAAAAGAGACTTACTGCGTTTTTATCACATATGACTGTGGACACACTATAGCTACACACAGTTCTGTCCAAACCGCTTACAATAGATGATTTTCAACATAGGTGCCCTTTAGCTTGCCTAATTAACCTAGTTAAGCCCTTAATGTCACTTTAAGCTGAATACTAGCATCTTGAAAAATATCTAGTCAAATAGTATTTACCGTCATCATGGCAAAGATAAAATAAATCAGTTATTAGAAATGAGATATCAAAACTATTATGTTTAGAAATGTGCTTCTCTCTGTTAAACAGAAATTGGGGGAAAAAATATAGGGGGGGGGTGCTAATAATTCAGAAGGGGTAATAACTCTGACTACAACTGTATATTAATAAAAAAGACTGACCTTTCCTTCACTTTAAGATGCAATGAAGAGAATAAAAGCAGAAAGAGACACATTTTTATAAGAAGATATGAAAGACATTTACATTTACACTGACATCAAGATGGGCTCTTATGAAATACCTGCGTCAGGCTTTGGGTGCATAAGTTGAAAAGGAAGTTCCACTCCGACCTCACTGATATGTCAAAACACAAATTATACATTAAAAGATCTCATCAGAACCACAGAAACATGTTTATGATATTAAAAGGGGTCATATGATGCCACTTTTGGGGCGACACAGTGGTGCAGTGATTAGCACTGTCGCCTCACAGCAAGAAGGCCGCTGGTTCAAGCCCCGGCTGGACCAGTTGAAGTTTCTGAGTGGAGTTTGCATGTCCTCCCCATGTTAGCAAGTGTTTCCTCCGGTTCCTCCACAGTCCATGTGCTGTAGATGCAACCCAAGCTCATTCTGGAAACGTAGCCCCGCGGACATTTCTGGAGACCGCGATTTACGTGGCCGGAGGTACATACGGCGGCGTTTAGTTTTTTTTCGAGCGAACGCTGCAGGGCGGTGTGGCTCCTCCTCTTCGCGCTCGCCGGCCGACGGCTCGCCTCCGAGTGGAGGGCTTTCCCGATGCAACCAGTTTGTCCGCTTAGCTCACAGCGTTGCTTTGGCGGAGCGGAGACCCCGGAGGAGGATGAGCCGGGGACGACGACGACCGGGATCGAGTCTGGGGAACAGCAGGTTCCAGAAATCAGGTAAGATGAAAAACAGAATCCGAAAAAAAAGGGCGAGAACGCGGCGGGATCTGAAAACGCGGTCGAAATCGAAGACGAGGGCTTTTGCTTTTTTTTTTCTGGACGGCTTTTGAAAACCGTTGCTTAGGTTTAGGGAAGGAGGAGGAGGAAGAGGAGGGCGGCTTTTCGCGCGAGAACAGCGCGGGTGCGAACTGAGACGAAAAAAAGCGTACACAGCGGCCTCTCGCGGATCCGCGAAAACAAAAACTGCTCGAATACGTACCTTCCGGGACGTATCTCGCAGTCCGCAGAAACGTCCGCGGGGCTACGTTTCCACAATGAGCCCGGGTTGTGTAGATTAATTGAATAAATTAAATTGTCCGTGGTGTATGTGTGTATGCCATGGTCCTCCAGTTTGGGGGTTGAGCATTGGGCTAACAACCATGTGGTTACGAAACACCAACATGGTGCGACTAAATATCAACTTCAATATAAATTGGCCCTGGGAGTAAGTTAGAAAGTAAGTATATGATGTCACTTTTAACAATTTGTAATATTTCAAGAGTTCACACTTAGCTGATGATTGATAATAAGCTTGTTTGGCGTGCTGTCCCGGGAGAGAGCTCTGAGCTTATAAGATCCTTGAGCCCTGGGCTCCTTCCTGTTGCAGGGCGAGAGGGGAGTTTGAGCTCATGTAGCTCTCGATGACTCCCCCTTCTGCTTATTGTAGTGTCGGATATGGATGCTGAGAAGGTGTACTCAGAGTTTGGCTAAATTATTAGGGTGCTTGTTTTTGAACTGGGTGAGGAAATCGGAGGACCCGGGGAAAACCCACACGATCACGGGGAGAACGAGCAAAACTCCGCACAGAAATGTCGCCTGGTTTGGAAGGGAGTTAAACCAGGGGTATTCTTGCAGTGAGGCAACAGCGCTAATCACTGTCCACCGTGTCGCCTATTTGAAAGGAGGGAAAGTAGGGTTGGGTGGGGGGATTTCTTCAAGACGAAGATATTGAGATGAGAAAAGTCTGGTTATTTATAGTGGGTAAGGGATCGTCTGACAGGATAATTAGTCATTAGCTTACGTTGGAACAGCTGTGAACAATTATGAGCACGTGATCCTCTCGAAATGTGTTTATAAATAAACTTCACAAGTTGTGGTGTCCCATTATGTATTTGTGGAATTCATCTCAAAACATCATTCATTATAGCATCTGTTGGCACTATTTTGTGTGTGTACCTTTAAAAGGAAAACAGCTGGTGCTCCTCCCTTTACCCTTTCAGAAGACATGGGCAAGTTAGGGAACGTCTCAAAAGTCCAATATGATGTAATAATGTCTATTCGTTCATTTTCCTTCAGCTTAGTCTCTATTTCAGAGGTGGCCATAGTGGAATGAACCGCCAACTTATCTGACATATGTTTTACACGGCGGATGCCCATCCAGCTGCAACCCAGTGCTGGGAAACATCCATACACTCTTATTCACACACACACTCATACACTACGGACAATTTTGTTTACTCAAACAAAGTTACTCAATGTTGTTTGACCTCAATGTGTTTGGACTGTGGAGGAAACCGGAGCACCCGGAGGAAACCCATGCGAACATGGGGAGAACATGCAAACTTCACAGGAATGCCAACTGACCCAGCCGGGACTCGAACCAGCAACCTCCTTGCTTGAAGGCGACAGTGCTAACCAATGAGCCACCATTTTTGTGAGTGAATTTGAGCTCCGTGACTTTGCAGAACAGAAAAGTACATCATGTTACCCCTATAAAATTAGATTTTATGTTTTGGATTTTTGGGATTTTGGCGCAAGATTAAAAAAAAAATTATATTTACCTGGATCCCATCATGCTGTGCAGAAGACAAACAAAAACATTAGGATGTACAAAACACACCACACACTGTAAAATATGTCTATTAAATAACAGTTTCTGTATTTATTTACGGTTGTGAATTGCATTATGGGAGCTTGATCTCTGCTCAGTCGACTTTTGATGTTGAAAATTCAACTCTACAGTTAAACAAAGCGACTTTTATTGACATTTTAGTAGTTTGAGATAACATATAGAGAAATGAGTCTGCAAAATAACATGAAATGTACGGGCAGCTTATTACAAGGTTTTTGTAGCGTAATATACAACACCAACCCAGACAATATTTGAATTTAAAATATTACTTCTCACCTATAAAGCTCTAAATAATCTAGCTCCTGTTTATCTAACCAACCTTCTGTCTCGCTACAATCCAACTCGCACTTTAAGATCTCGAAACTCAGGGCTTCTGGTAGTACCTAGAATAGCAAAATCAAGTAAAGGAGGTCGAGCCTTCTCTTTCATGGCTCCTACACTCTGGAATAGCCTTCCTGATAACGTCCGAGGCTCAGACACACTCTCCCAGTACAAAACTAGATTAAAGACCTATCTGTTTAGTAAAGCATACACTCAATGCATCACCTAGCGGGTTCCACACAGGCTTCTGCATCTTGCTTATATACACTATGAACAGCAGCTACGCTAATTATTCTCTTTATTCTCTATTTTCACCTGGGGATACTCATCCCGAGGTCCTCAGATTATGCGGAGTCACTGATTGGATCCAAGACCAGCGACGAGATGATCCCAAGGTTTCCATATCCGGGACCAGGCCATATCCTGAGCTGCTGCTGCGCTGATGGTCGTGGGGAGTGGAGAACATGAGTCTGATTCCAGCGACGCTCCAGGGACAGACGAGTCTTCGCTGAAGCCATCTTCCAGCCTCCACCACGGTGACTGAAGCTCTCCACAAGACTTTTGGCCAGCGGAGAAATTAAAATGGTCGTGCCCAACTGAGTCTGGTTCTCTCAAGGTTTTTTCTCTTCACTCCCATCAGGTGAAGTTTTTTTTCCCTCTCCGCTGTCGCCACTGGCTCGCATGGTTCAGGATTGGTAGAGCTACGCATCGATGAATTTGCTCTTCAGTGTTTGGACTCTCAGTAATGATTAAATCACACTGAACTGAGCTAAACTGAACTGAACTGAACTTAAACACTAAAAACTGAACTACACTGATCCAGTTACTATGACCATTTATGTGAAGCTGCTTTGACACAATCTATATTGTAAAAGCGCTATACAAATAAAGCTGAATTGAATTGAATTGAACAATATATCACTTTAAACTATTAAAAATGTCAATAAAAGTCTTTTTTTTTTTTTTACTTTTCAAGCTTAAAAGTTGTTGCAAGATAGATCCAGGTCTCATAATGCAATTTACAAGCATAAATAAATGGGGGAAAACAAAATCATGAATCACAAAATACAGAAAACTGCAAATGTGTGGATATCTTTAGATTAAAAAACAAACAAACAATGAATGTGTGACTTTTGGTGGGAATATACATAAGAAGACTACATTGTGTTGTGGGAATACTAACCCTCCAACAATAAGCTTCACAACAACTCTGTAAGACACCATGATTCCCAGAACTTCCTTCTGAACGCCTTCTTTAATGCTGCGATGGAGCAATAACACAATTAATATCCATTGTTCAATGATTTATTTAAAATGTTCACATTTTATGGTCACAAAGACTCACATGCTGGAAGAGGCTAGATTAGTATCTTCATGCTTTAATTTTCCATCCAGCGCAATTCCTCGGCGTTCTCTGTTATTGGCCAGCAGGGGTAGCAAAGTGTAGACTTTCTCCAGTTTGGCACCAGAATCAACAGAGTGCCTGCAGGCAAAATAGCTGCTTATTATTATACAGTTGGAGTCAGAATTATTAGCCCTCCTGTATATATTCCCCCCAATTTCTGTTTATTGGAGAGCCAGTTTTTTTCAACACATTTCTAAACATAATAGTTTTAATAACTCATCTGTAATAACTGATTTATTTTATCTTTGCCATGATGACAGTACATACTATTTTACTAGATATATTTCTAGATTTTTTAGACTCAGACTCTAACAAATTTATAGTTTTGTGGTCAATGCTACTAGAAAAATTACATGTTTTACAGTCAGTCCATGTTCTTGGCCGTTTACTTTACAACTATTAGAATTAAACGCCAAATTATTTGGCAAGACTGACGAGAGTGTGATCGTGAGGGACGCCTTCGGCCAGGGGCGATTTCTCTGAGCGACATGAGCACCCGAATGAACGAATGTGATAGTTACTAGTGAAGACAAAAGGTTCAAACATTTATCTAAATTATATTTTGATATAATCTTCTTAATGTTTTATGATTGGTGTCAGATAAAACTAAAGATAAATATATTAACATTCTAAACCACCTCATATTCAAATTGGAGTCAGATACGAGTTAAATTTAAAGTAAATCAACATTGTGCACCCAAAAGACCGAACACGCAGTGAACCTTCATCCCCCAGTGGACACCATCATTAGACCAACTGGCTGGACCCTACAACCAGGGGCGGACTGGCCATCTGGCGGACCGGGCACTTTCCCGATGGGCCGGCGTACTTTTTGGGCCGGGCTGATTCTGATTCTGCACATTGACTGATTGCTTACCTTTATCGTTTAAATTTAATGTACGTTATACTGTTATAATGGCTATTATTGGTTATTAAAACTGATATTCTGCAAAAGAGACGGGGTAAAGCTTGTTCTTTTCAATGGAAATGAAAGCCCTGTTTTGTTATAAATATTCAGAGTGAAGATGATGCTCATATAAATATGCAGCTACACGAGGCTGTTTGGTAGTGAAACAGCAAGCAGGATGAGGTGAAAGAGGTTATAAAGTACACTGTTCCCTTTGAAGATTTACCCATGCATTAGCAGGCAGTTCTTGTTATGTTTATTATTGAATATAGGCTGAGTGAATAGTGTATTGAATAAGCTAAATTGGCTGTAGTGTATGAGTGTGTGTGAATGAGAGTGTATGGATGATTTCCAATATTGGGTTGTGGCTGGAAAGGCATCTGCTGCATAAAACATACCTGGAATAGTTGGCAGTTAATTCCACTGCGGCAACCCCTGATAAATAAGGGACTTATGCGAAGAAAAATAAATGAATGAATAGTGTATTTTTTAGAACTCAACAAATATCTTTATGGACAGTATACAAAAATTAAATTGAGATTAAGGGTTTGTATTTATTTATTTCATATATATGGCTTTTCTGTTTTATAGAATATGAGTTGATAAAAATATTGGACGTGCATAGAGAGATAGCATTTTGATTGAATTTAGTGGGCCGCTCTGGCCCAAAATGCCAGGGCCGATTTTTTGCCCCAGTCCAGCCCTGCCTACAACCACATGTCTTTGGTCTTGGAGGGATACCAGAGGAAACGCACACAGGCACAGGGAGAATTTGCAAACTCAACACAGAAGGGCCTCCTGATCTAGCTGAGACTCAAACCTGCGACCTTCTTGCTGCAAGACTGACTAAACAAAATAAACATAGAAATGGACTGTTGGGTTTTTCGCCACCCTCCCGTTTTGTTATTTCTCCTGAAAAACTATTTCAACAGTCAAATTAAATAAATATTGCTTAAGGGGGCTAATACTTTTGACCTTAAAATGGTTTTAAAACAATTAAAACTGATTTTATTCTAGCCAAAATAAAACAAATAAGACTTTTTCGAGAAGAAAAAAAAATCATAGGAATCACTATGAAAAATTCCTTGCTGCCGACGCAGTGGCGCAGTAGGTAGTGCTGTCGCCTCACAACAAGAAGGTTGCTGGTTCGATCCTCAGCTCAGTTGGTGTTTCTGTGTGGAGTTTGCATGTTCTCCCTGCATTCGCGTGGGTTTCCTCCAGGTGCTCCGGTTTCCCCCACAGTCCAAAGACATGCGGTACAGGTGAATTGGATAGGCTAAATTGTCTGTAGTGTATGAGTGTGTGTGTGAATATGTGTGTGGATGTTTCCCAGAGATGGGTTGCGGCTGGAAGGGCATTCGCTGTGTAAAAAATGTGCTGGATAAGTTGGCGGTTCATTCTGCTGTGACGACCTTGGATTGATAAAGGGACTAAGCCGACAAGAAATTGAATGAATGAATGAACTGAACTAAACTGATTACCCAGAATCCTCTGTGGCCACCACCTTCATATAATTGTCATTGCAGTACAGCACCACGTTGGCGTTTTGTTCCACTAAATAACAGACAATCACAAGTGTTTTATGTTATATATACAGTCCGGGTGTACATAAGACTTGGTTAAACGAGTCAAAATAGCCTTAGTCTGCTGATTTGTTAATGCACTCACCGGAAAGGATGATGTTCCTCACATTTTTGTTGGATTGGTTATTGATTTTGACCCTTACGTTGATGGGTTCTCCGTGATAGTACGTCTACAAGGAAAAAATAAAATAAGATAATGTAAGAAAAACTGTAGGGTGACGTGGTGGCGCAGTGGGTAGCACGTTCGCCTCACAGCAAAAATGTTGCTGGTTCGAGCCTCGGCTGGGTCAGTTGGCATTTCTGTGTGGAGTTTGCATGCTCTCCCCATGTTGCTGTGGGTGTTCTCTGGTGCTCCCACAAGTCCAAAGACATGCGCTATGTGAATTGGGCATGATAAAATTGACCATACTGTGTGTGCATGAGTGTGTGATTCCAAGTGATGGGTTGCAGCTGGAAGGGCATCCGCTGCGTAAAAAAAATATGCTTGATAAGTTGGCGGTTCATTCTGCAGTGGCGACCCCAGATTAATAAAGGGACTAAACCGAAAATAAATAAATGACCAAAACTGTTATTTATAAATTTTATTTATTTATTTTCCTTCGGCTTAGTCTCTATTTCAGAGGTCAACCACAGTGGAATGAACCACCAACTATTTATGCAGCGGATGCCTTTCCAGCTGCAACCCAGTACTGGGAAACATCCATACACTCTTATTCAAACACACTCATACACTATAAGCAATTTCGTTTATTCAATTCACCCACGTCAACACTGGGAGAACATGCAAACTCCACACAGAAACGCCAACTGACCCAGTCGGGAACACGCGACATTCTTGCTGTGAGGTTGACTTTAACTGTACAAAAAAAAAATCCTCAATAAAAGCAATATAAAACATCATAATCTCACCAAAAAATGTTTGCAACCCACCTGCTTCTCCAAGCTAGCTTCCAAATGCAGCGGTTTGTCAGACATGAGGAAGTCACGGGTGGTCTCCACACTGGGAGCGGGTCCGAGCTTCTCTGGGGCATACTGGACCTTACGGATCATCAGACCGACTGAGCTCCTGATGTAGGTGGTGGACGGTTACAAGAACAGATATTAAAAGCTCAGAAATGAACTAGTAAGTGGTCTTCAAGGACAATACATACGAAGAGATGATGCCAACCATCGAGGACTTTGACAACACATGCACTTAATACACTTCATTAAACATGAACACATAGACATCACCTATACGCTATAAAACTGCAGGTTAACTTGTTTATATATAATAACTTATATTTGATTGTGACTTTAACTTAATTTGATTGTAATGCAACATTGTGCATCTGTTAGCTGCTTTGAAACAATAATTCATGAGTTCACACTCAGATATTTGACTGAATAGAATATGCGTATTTGGCGTGCTGTCTGGGGAGAGGGCTCTGAGCTCGGGAAGACACCCTAACTCGTGTTATTCCCCTTAACAGGATAAAAAGAGATAGGATCCGAGCGCAGTGTCTAGCCCGGCTCTAGAATACTCTCCCCTCAGATTTAAATAGGTATCTGGTTTAATAGTGTGGAGTTGGGATGGTGGAGGGATGCTGAAGTCGAGGAAAAAGGAGGTATGACGTGTTTGACTATTTATAGGGGTTTGCTCTTAAGCTGATTGGATAATAGAATGATTGTGATTGTGAGTCTCGTCAAAGACTGATTGTGCTCCTCCCGAAATTTGTTTACAAAACATCACTTATTGTAAAAAGCGCTATACAACTTGAATTTAATTGATTTGAATCTTTACACACTAAGGTGTTCCTAGCTTTCTGGAGCGTACTGGACTTTGTGACTCGCTGTATTAAACTTTTGATTGTGATAATGACAGATTTATTTTTTAGACAAGAGGTGAATCCTGCAATCTTTTTTTGTATGCCATTGTAAGGGATCTTAAAAATGTATAATTTTTCCTGTACATGAAATAGGATCGACTTTGGGATCGACTTAACCAATGAGAAACATTGCCCCAATGACAAAGCACACCAGCAAATTCACACCACTAAAATCAAAGCATGTGTAATAGATTCCGGACAATTCAAATTCCAATTCCGACAAAAAAAAAATCTATAAACAAATGTAAACAAAGTAGACATACGCTGTAAAAAATGTTAGGTTCCCAAGACAAATCGATTAAGTTGTATTATTAGGTAAATTAGGTTTTAACCAAAACTCAAGAATTGTGTTATTTCAGCTCATTTTAAATAAGTAGTTTGAACAAACAGCAAAAATAATTCTTTTAGAGTGTATTTAGCATAATCATTGACTTAGTTGAATCACTTTAACTCATCATAATAATCATTAATAAATAATTGAAAAGTTATTGTAGTGTACGTTCACGTATTTTATGCAAGTTTTATTAATCATACCTCAAATAATTTCCATAAGTAAGCAATAATTATGTTGTTTTTTTAAACTTCTATACTGTTGGTCTACAATGCTTCACAGCCTACATAAACTATACTCTCTCAACACACAACTCATGTTAACTTAAATTATGTTAAGGACAATTGGTAGTACAAGTATGTCATGGCAGACCTGGGGTCCGCTCTTCGTACGTGGATTACTCAGTTAGCTGGATTTGGTTATTGACGATTTGACACGATCCAGGATCGTTTCGTTTTTCAAAACTGATCCGAGAGTTGTTGTCATAGCAACAGTTCTGGTAGATCAAACCTGGTCGGGAGCAGGCTCAATTCATATAAACAGGATTAGATCGGCTCAATTCAAGCAAAGAAAATACTGAAAGTATGTACCGAAATCTGATAATTTCTTACAGTAGTAGTTATATACACTTAGGAAAATAGTAACTATTTTTAAATATATATATATATATATATATATATATATATATATATATATATATATATATATATATATATATATATATTAATAAAACTTATGCAATCTGCTCCCCCGAAATGAAAGTATAAAGACTGCCACCTGGTGGTGCAAAGAGAAAACTTATTGATATGAACTTTTTATATCGCTTTAGTACAATTTGTGTCTGATAATGCACAATATGTGACTTTTTAAAAGCAATAATACATTTATGCAGTCATAAACATGTTTTGACAGTTAATATGCTGGTGATTTGATACTTCACAAAAGTTGCAGATGCCTTTACCAATATCAATATGTTTTTGTAAATATCCAGTTATTCTTTACACCGATTAAAAAATGGTTTCTATAATACTACTATAATAAGGAAAATCAGCTAACTGTAAAACTAAAGAGATCGCTCTTCACACATGAAAGGGCCATACAGCCCACAACAAGGTGTAAAGTTATTGCTTATCCTATTTAACAAACCGTTTACTGCTAATTTGATGTAATTTAGCTCACATGGATAATTGAATATTAATCAGATGATGTCATTACGCTGCTATGCCGTCAGCCAATCGTTCCATTGCTGATCTTGATTTCGGGGATCGATAGATCTGTCCTTCACAATACACGTAATGATCTCAGATCAGTTCATCCAGACATTTTAATCTGATTCGCGAACCTGTTTGAAGAACCAAATTAGCCAGAGATCTGTTATCAAGATTAAAAGATCCAGGATCTGCCTAATCATCTTAGATCATTTAAGCAAGTTACGAAGAATGGACCCCAGAATAGCACTATCCAGTGTTTCCTTCATATGTTATAGAAAAAGATGAAGACTAACCGTTTGCGAACTTTGGCATCCTGGCTCTCAGCACAGAAGGCTTTCACCTCAAACTCAACAGCACAGTGCTGTGAAAACAGATGAGATACTAAAACAGAGGTCATACAGTACATCACAAGCATACTAGAGAAACAATTATGTCAGAGTAGGACCAAAGCCTATTTAAGGCTACCCTGGAATCATTATGCTAAAAGCTAATGCTAAAACAGCTGACCTGGATAGCCTAGGACTCAGAGTCTACCCTCAAAGGGTCTCTGCACGGCCCTGGCCGTGGGTCACGGAGAGAGGTCTGGCTGCAGACTTGGTGCAGATGCAATCTGAGATGCATCTAATGCTTTTTAATGTGCTCACCTAACCCCACCCCTCACAGTGACATCACTAGCTCCATTGAGTGCATTGTGTCTGACATTGCATCTCTGAGCGATGCAATCTCAGCTTTCATCATAAAGGCTGTATCTAGATACTATTGAGGTCACGCTGATCACTAGATGCAGAAATACCATATAAACTAGCCTTAAATGACTGCATGGCCGACTGACCCAACACACCCCTCCCCTAAACACAACATATAGTGTTTTTGAAAGCTGATCTAGAAATTAAAGAAAAGCCCAGCACGATTTTACCACGTTTTCAGATGTTTTATTTCACCACGTTCTCTGCCTTTATTTATTTTCGTTTGTTTTACCTGCTTTCTGGAATCGTTCTTCTTCGCTGGATTTGAACCCCTATAGCTTCACGGCTGCTGTAATAATAATGTTACTACAAGGCGCAACGACGAGTAGTGCAAGCTCTTTGATTGGTCGGCTTGGTAGCTGTGACAAGTGTGGGTGGTGCAGAGAGTCCAATAGGGCGAGTGTTTACAAGTGACATCAATCCCAATCCAACAATTACTTTACGACCCACCTCCTCCCTCCCCGCCACCACGGTCTTCACTTTGCGATCGCTTACTCATCATCCACCCACCAACCCCTGGGATTTTCACTTTGAGCACATGCCCCTCGAAGGGTCTCATGGCCCTGGCCGTGGGTCACGCCGATTACTCGATGCAGAAGTATAAACCAGCCTTAAATGACTGGATGACCGACTGACCCAACACACCCTTTCCCTAAACGCATCCTATAGCGTTTTCGAAAGCTGATCTAAAAATTAAAGAAAAGCCCTGCACGATTTTACCACATTTTCAGATGTTTTATTTCACCACACTCTCGGCCTGTTGTTTATTTATTTGCTTTTGATTGACCTGCTTTCTGTAACCGTTCTTCGCTAGACCCCTATAGAGACGATTATAGTAACGACAAGTAGTTCAAGCTCTGTGATTGGTCGGCTTGGTGACAAGTGTGGCTAGCGCTGACAGCCGCGAACCCGATGGAGCGAGTGTTTACAAACACAACTTATAGCATATTCGAAAGCTGATCTGGAAAATAAAGAAAAGCCCTGCACAGTTTTACCACATTTTCGGGTAGTTTTATTAGCATGTTCTCGGCCTGTTCTTTATTAATTTGCTTTTATTTAATTTCTGGAACTGCTCTTTGCCGGACTTAAACCCCTGTTGTCACCCAAGGCCGCTGATGTACACAGCGAGCCACCAGGGCAAGCTTGTAACATTTGAAAAGCCATCAACGAGGAGGTAAGGGGTCTGCCAGTAGCGGGAAAAGGAACAGAAGCCATCGACATCAGTGTCATACCCTTTTTCAAGAGTTCATTAGATATTGCTTCATAATAATAGCAGGTTTGGAATGCTGATAATTGAGCCTAGGGCTTCCACCCGGTGTGAGTATGTAACGGGGTACGAGACCAGGTAGTTCTCAAGAGCTCCCCCTGATAAAGGAAGAAAAGTTGGGGTGGATGGGGGATTTTTAAAAAAACGAAGATGAGAGAGTAATACTAGACGGTAGGGATGTAACAATATTGTAAATACCATCATACCGCAATAGTAATTTTTTTCAATATGACTGTTGGCGCATGATTTAATAAAACTATATTTCTGAGAAAAGTTTGCTCAGGCGAATGAAGCGAACGGAAGGTAGAGAGAACTACAATTTCCATCAGCCTAGGCGTGGCCATGATCCTTTGCGGTCTGTTGACACTACAGATCCAGTAATGCGGAAATGGAGTGTGTTGCTAGTAGCAGGGAAGAAAAAGAGCTGGAAATGATCGAACCTAAAGCGGGTTTTAAATCGGATGTGTGGAAGCATTTCGGTTTCTTTCTAAATAGATATGAAAAAGGAGAAAAGGTGACAGACAAAGAAAAAAACGTATGCAGGCACTGCCAGACTGTGGTTAAATATAAGTAGGGGAATACGGCTAAAAACAGTCATGGGGACTGCAGAACACAGCACACTTGTTAGATTGATGCAGACATTGACTTGTACCGCAAAGAGACCTATATCTCACTCATGGCTTGTCCTCTCAAGTGGTGGAAAGACATTGCACAACGTTACCCACTGCTGTCAACCTTGGCTAAATCATATCTCTCTGTCCCAGAAACCTCAGTCCCAAATGAGAGGGTTTTTTTCTGTTGCAGGGGACATGCCCAGAGATCCCAGCTTTGACCAGATTATAGTTATATGATAATTTTCCTTAAAAAATCCATCTCTATCTAAGTGAGTGAGTGATTAAATGTTGAATGTGATGAGTTTTCAACAATACTAAATTGAAACTTTATGTTTTTTATATGGTTTAATAAATTTTTGTTAATAAAATTGAAAACTTGAAGTTCCTGTTTCGAAACTTACAGATAGATGGCTAATTTGTATGTCATTGATATGTTCAGTGCTAAGGTACATAAACACTTTTGGCACTTTTTTCGAGTCTTTTCATTAGTTTTGTTTTTCCTGTAAATTATTCAATAAATACCGTACCGTGCCATTCATATCAAGGTATTACCGTACCGTGAAATTCTGATACCGTTACATCCCTACAAGACGGGCTATTTATATTGATCTTAAATTCATCCGTTTGGCTTCCGATTACGAAGGGGGGATCAGCTGCGATCAACCATATCAAGTGCTACTCTTGAAATCAGTTTGTGAAACTTCACTTACAGATAAAACTAACCCAAATGTACCTTGGAGCACATAATTTGTGCCCTACAGAAATGTAGACTTGGGTACATATTCACGATGAGCCTGTGTTGCAGTTATTTAAAGAACAACCCACAATTTGAAAAGCAAAACGAGGAAAAAAAAAGTAAATAAAATAGAGATACCTTTCCGACATCTTTTGGGGCTGGCTGCAGTCCAACTGAGCAGGGCAAGTTATCAGGGAACTAAAGAAACAGAAATGAGAAAAGTCTTTCTTATCAAGTTGCACGTGGTATAACCAATAAAGCAGGGGTTTTCAAGCTCGGTACTGGAGGGCCGGTGTCCTGCAAAGTTTAGTTCCAACCCCGATCAGACACACCTTGGCTAGCTAATCAAGCTCTTACTAGGTTTTCTAGAATCATCCTTGCAGATGTGTTGGAGGCAAGTTAAAATCGGCAGGACACTGGACCTATAGGGCCGAGTTTGAGAACCCCTACCCTAAAGGTAGATGATTCGACACCATGGTACCTTTTAATTTTGCAAAGATGTCTAAATTAAATGACATCACATGAAGTCACTTACTTCAAAGAAAAAGGGGTAGGCATTGTCCCCCAGTTTGCGCAGTAGTTTCTCCTGCACTTTGGTGAGAATGCACTGCTCTTTGTCCTGCAGTGCGGGGTAGACCTGCCGGGTGGAAATGTAGATCTCTTTCCTAAACGAGATACCCAACACCTCTGCGTCGTCATCACGGCCATACCGGAACACGCATGACAATGTGACATATGCTGGAGGACGACACAGAGAGTCTTGTTATAGTATGTCTGAATGATCATCTGGTCACTTTTGGTGGAATTGTGAATTAATTTAGTGACCTTTTTTGCCCCTCAGCTGTTCAGGGTCAATAAGAATGACACCGTCTGATGCAAAAGAAAATACAAAGTAGAAGTAAATGTAAATGAAAGATTATATGTTAAAAATAGATACATTGAAAAACAGAAATGCTGATTCAATGACTTACCCACTGGATCTACTGAGTCCACTCGGTCAACAAAGTCTCTCTTCCCCATATACACACCCACCTGAATGGAAAACATGGATTAATAATGAAGGCCTATAATCAGTGTCTTTTTTACAGCTTCATGAATTTAATAGCTTACTGCATGCATGTCCAACACACATCTGAATCATATTTTGCTGTGACAATATTTAGGGTGAAATCAGGCCAACTTTTTGCAGTTGACCTGTGACCAATGAAAAGTGTCCCTATTGATACAACTATCAGTACTCTGTTGTCTCTGCTGTCAAGCAAATTCATCAAACCTAAACTTCAGTTTTTTCCAAACTCACTGCTGGGGCTTCTTCACTTTCTGTTGGCTTTTATTTTCATTCATTCATTCATTCATTCATTCATTCATTCATTCATTCATTCATTCATTCATTTTCTTTTCGGCTTAGTCCCTTTACTAATCAGGGGTCGCCACAGCGACCAACTTATCCAACACATGTTTTACACAGTGGATGCCCTTCCAGCTCCAACCCATCACTGGAAAACATCCATACACACTTATTCACACACATAAACTACAGTCAATTTTAGCTTAGCCAATTCACCTGTACTGCATGTCTTTGGACTTGTGGGGGAAAGCACCCGGAGGAAACCCACAGGTATACGGGGAGAACATGCAAACTCCACACAGAAATGCCAATTGACCTAGCCAAGGCTCATACCAGTGACCTTCTTACTGTGAGGCGACAGCACTACCTACTGCACCACCGTGTTGCCCAGCCTTTTAGTTTACAGTTTAAAATTTTTTGGGTTCAATATGTCTCAATATATTTTATTTGGCTATCCCTGCTTATCTAAATGAACTATAGTGTTCTGCACCCACTAGTACATTTGAAAAAAAAAAATACTTGTTGTAAGCTTAGTCCCTTTATTAATCTAGGGTCACCACAGGGAAATAAACCACTAACTTATCCAGCATATGTTTTACACAGCGGATTCCCTTCCAGCTGCAACCCATCACTGGAAAACATCCATACACACTCATTCAAGGACATTCTAGCTTACCCAATTCACCTATACCACATGTTTTTGGTCTTGAAGGGGTAACCAGAGCACCCGGAGGAAACCCACGCGAACATGGGGAGAACATTCAAACTACACACAGAAATACCAGCTGACCCAGCCGGGGCTCGAACCAGCGACCTTCTTGCTGTGAGGCAATTGTGCTACCCACTGCACCCCGTGCTGCCTAAAAAGTGTCATTTAAATTGAATTTGTCCATATTTACTTATCATTGGGTTATGACAACCCTGCATTTTCAGAATTGGGGTCAAATGTGGATAAACCCAACCTTCAGGGTAAAAGTTTTTATTAAAATTTTATTTGTCCAAATTTTACCTTTTGCTGGGATACGACAACCCAGCATTTTTAGAATTGGGTCAAATGTGGACAAACCCAACCTTCAGGTTAAAAAGTGTCATTTCAATTGAATTTGTCCATATTTTACCAAACCTTGGGTTAGGACAACCCTGCATTTTCAAAATTGGGTCAAATGTGGACAAACCCAACATTCAGGTTAAAAAGTGTCATATAAATTGAACTTGTCCATATTTTATCCACGTTAGGTTATGACAACCCTGCATTTTCAGAATTGGGGTCAAATGTGGACAAACCCAACCTTCAGGGTAAAAGTTTTCATTTGAATTTTATTTGTCCAAATTTTACCTATCATTGGGATACGACAACTCTGCATATTTAGAATTGGGTCAAATGTAGACAAATCAAATCATTAGGTTAAAAAGTGAAAATGTCCATATTTTACTTATTGTTGGGTTACGACAACCCAGCATTTTCAGAATTGGGTCAAATGTGAGGAAAGTCGGTAACCATTAGTGACCATTAGTAACAATTCTTCTGTATGTCTTCTTTTCTCCAGTTTCTCTGACAATCCAAACACTTTCAGGATTAAATAGGGACAATAAATTCTCAAAAGTGTGACGAAAATTATCCTTTCTATGACCTGAAAAGCTGAACATGATTCCCATCAAGCAATTTTGTGTTTAATAGACATCTAATAGAATCTAATATACATCTAAACATAGATGCCGTAGCTAAAACAAGGCTAAATATTGGCTATTAGGAAAAATCTAATAGACAAGTGCAAAAATAGACTATCAAATAGATAGATTAGACAAACTGTAGTCATTCATTCCTTTTTCAAGTATTGTTAGATGTCTATTTCACTGACAGCCCAAATTTAGTCTTGATTTAGCCAAGCTTTCTATGTTTAGCCATCTATCAAACACAAATTACTACTGGGTTTGCTAAGATCATATAAACTTTCCTAATGTTTAGAAAATGTTACTCAAACTTACCGACTTGTCTTTGGAAATTTTCTTGAAAACGACATTTTTTGGACTCATTGTTGTTGAGAGACCTGAACACAACAAGAAATGAAAAGGTCAGTGATTAATATCAAGCCATTGTGTAATATAAACCAAACTGCAGTCTACTAAACTGACTGTAATGGAAAAGTCCTTAAAACAGTAATTTACAATTATATACATCATTTTGAATGTGACCCGGGACACCAAAACCAGCCATATATATATATATATATATATATATATATATATATATATATATATATATATATATATATATATATATATATATATATATATATATATATATATATATATATCTGCTTATTGAGATTTATACAGCAGATGACTAAATAAGCTTTCCACTGATGTACTGCATGATTGTTAATAATAGAAAACTTTCTATCAAACACAAAACAAAAACAAAACTAAACAAAATCTGTATATTGATTAAACAAACACCTTTAAAAATATTCAAATTAGGCTATTAGTGTCACGATCAACAGGAATCTAGCCTGTGCAGAACTGCACATCTGCCACTATATGAAATACAACTCCCAGAAGTCTTTGCACTCCCACACCAGTTCCTGATTCCCCCTGAATAGACACACACAGCTGGAAGCTCATGATAGACTGATTACTCGGACTATAAAGACAACACATTTACCACACATTTCAAAGCGGTTCCCTGTGTTAGCCTGTCTGTGTTTTGATCCCTGGACTGTTTACCCTATTTACGACCATTTTTCTGCCTGCCCTGACCATCGCCTATTATGTGGATTACTCTTTGGATTTTCTCTGTTGTTGTTGGTGCTCCTGTTTACCCTTGCCTGTACGACCATCCCATTTTATAATACGGCTGCATTTGGAACTATCTCTGTTGTCAGCACATCCTGTCATAACAATTTGCAATTTACACTCAACAGCCACTTTATTAGGTACACCTGTCCAACTGCTCGTTAATGCAAGTTTCTAATCAGCCAATCACATGGCAGCAACTCTATGCATTTAGGCATGTAGACATGGTCAAGACGATCTGCTGCAGTTCAAACCAAGCATCAGAATGGAGAAAAAAGGTGATTTAAGTGACTTTGAATGTGGTATGGTTGTTGGTGCCAGACGGGCTGGTCTGGGTATTTCAGAAACTGCTGATCTACTGGGATTTTCATGCACAACCTTCTCTAGGGTTTACAGGGAATGGTCCGAAAAAGAGAAAACATCCTGTGAGCGGCAGTTCTGTGGGTGCAATTGCCTTGCTGATGCCAGAGGTCAGAGGAGAGTGGCCAGACTGGTTCCAGCTGATAGAAAGGCTCATTACTCAAATATTATTTGAGTTATTAGTAACTCAAATAACAACTCGTTACAACCGAGGTCTGTAGAAGAGCATCTCTGAACGCACAACACGTCCAACCTTGAAGCGGATGAGCAACAGAAGACCACACCGGGTGCCACTCCGGTTAGCTAAGAACAGGAAACTGAGGCTACAATTTGCACAGGCTCCCCAAAATTGGACAATAGAAGATTGAATTTCTTGACTTCTCAATTTCTGCTGTGACATTCAGATGTTCGGGTCAGAATTTGGTGTCAACAACATGAAAGCATGGATCCATCCTGCCTTGTATCAACGGTTCAGGCTTCTGGTGGTGGTGTAATGGTGTGGGGGACTTTTTCTTGGCACACTTTGGGCCCATTAGTACCAATTGAGCATCGTGTCAACACCACAGCCTGAGCCTGAGTATTGTTGCTGACCATGTCCATTCCTTTATGACCACAGTGTCTCCATCTTCTGATGGCTACTTCCAGCAGGATAACGCCATGCCATAAAGCGTGAATCATCTCAGACTGGTTTCTTGAACATGACAATGAGTTCACTGTACTCAAATGGTCTCCATAGTCACCAGATGTCAATCCAATAGAGCTCCGTTGGGATGTAATGCGGGAGATTCGCATCATGGATGTGCAGCCGACAAATCTGCAGCAACTGCGTGATGCTATCCTGCCAATATGGACCAAAAGGAATATTTCCAGTTCCTTGTTGAATGTACGCCATGAAGGATTAAGGCAGTTCTGAAGGCAAAAGTGGGTCCAACCTGGTACTGGTAAGGTGTACCTAATAAAGTGGCCGGTGAGAGTTTATTGCTAATTAAACATTACGTTTTGTTATATTTAAGGAAGGAAACTCACACAAGATTAATAAAATGATATTTTACATAAAATAAATGAAATAAAAAATGGCTTTGCAAGACTTAAAAGAGGCTCATAAAAACATAAAAATGCTCATTACTCATTGTTTACCCACAGGCACACTGTGAAAAATGCTGGGTTCCACACTGTAAAAAGTGATTAGTTGATTTTACTTAAAGAAAAACAGTATAAGTTGTTGCCTTATTATTATTAAGGTAAACTTTGTGCATAATTATATAAGTTAAGTCAATGAGTTTTCTGACATTTTTAAAGTAAATCAATCTATTGCTTTTTTAGCAAGGAACTAATCGCTTTTTACAGTGTACACAATCGATTTGTGTTCGGAAAACATGAAGAATTTAAGTTAGCTTATTAGTTTTTACAAAATTAAATAGACTTGACACAAAACATTTAATTTGTCAACAAAAAACCTTAATAGTTGTGTTTTTTCAGCTCATTTTAGATAAATAGTTCAAACAAACAACAAACAGATAATTCAAAATCAATATTTTTAATAAGTTTCATACCTTGTAGTGATGATTGCTGATGACTAATTGCGCAGCTTGAGGACAGAGAGAGCAGTGACCGGTGGGGTGGAGCTGCTATTTGTACCCAGGATGTGTATGGTCCAACTAATCAGGTTAGCCAGGGTTATAGCAATCCCTTTCACCCATTCTTCAGCCTTCACAAAATGGACGGATGGATTATGATACAGAGCCATGCTTCCTTACCTGCCTGAGCGGATTGGGTCAGTTCGCCTTGGTCAGCACTGGGGGAGATTTACTATCCACTGACACAAGAGCATCAACGCTTTACTTGTCAGGATCAAGGCACGTGCTGGCAACTGTGGTCTCTAGTGAGCGAGGTTTGTGTGTAAACAACAAACATATCTGCAAGGTTATTGGCATTTATGAAATCGATACTCTTTTTATAAACGTGTTCATTTCAGTTTAGGTTTAGTGTTTCATTAATGGTTTTGTTCATTTTAAAGGCATTTTTTATACTGGGAGTTTTTGTCTTCACTCTACACTGTGAAAAGTACTAACTTAAAAACGTGAGTAAATTCATTGCTTTCAAAGCAACAAGTTGATTTTAATTTTAAAAAGTAAAGTATTTCTGTTGAGTTAAGTTTACTTAAAGGGCACCTATGGTGAAAAATCTACTTTTCAAGCTGTTTGGACAAACATGTGTGTAAGTATAGTGTATAGACCGTCATATTGGGGTGATATAAACACACACTCCTTTTTTTTTTTTTAATTTATAAACATAAAAACTGTGGACCAATTGTAGTGGTTTTCAGACCGACCGCAACTTGACGTAGGAGAGCGGTCCCCCCGCCCACCAATATTGATTGACAGCCTCATGTCACGATCATATCCTCAGTTTCTTGTTACATGTTCGCCATTTTCAGCGTGTGAGTCAAAGCGATATCACTAAAGGAACACCCTTGCTTTATTTTTAGATGTAAGGCTCATTAGGCTCAACACAAGATCAATATTCTCCACATTATCGATCTAATCGGAATTATTGCTTGTACCTTTTGCATGGCCCGGCGCAGCGCGTTTCGGAGTTCTGGCCGTGGATTTCTGTCGGGGTGCACGCGGCAGAGCTTCTGGTTGGCGGTTCAGCAGCTGCGGCGCCGTTGTGTTTGCCCTGGTGGAGGCTTGTGTTTGGAGTTCTGGAATGCGTGGCGCAACCATTCGGGACACTTCATGTTTCTGCCGCGTCACTGAGTGTGTGGTGTGCTGTGTCACGGCGCATTCAGCGCCTCAGTCAAAGTTAATTCAGTGTGCGTGGTTGTCAGTCTCGGTGTACAAGTGCCGAGCTTGTACACCGAGACTGACAACCACACAGACTATACAAATACGCAAATGATTTTGTGCTCTCTGCTTGGTTTGTATCCAAGTCGTACATGTACGGCTGAACGCTCATCCTAGCTTAGCTTAGCTTCTCTCTCTCTGTCTGTCAGCCTGTCTGTTGCAAACACAGAGCGTGGGAGCTCTTGGCTCCGCCCCCTTGTTACGTTGGGCGGGAAGCCGAAACTAATTTTCATGTGAAGCAACACACCCCTAAAACAGCAAGCTGTGTAAACGCCCCCAACATGACACTTTTGAACACATTTTAATAAAAACATCTGAACTGTGTTGAACTGAACCTAAACTGGCACAGTCAGAACAACCATAATATTAATATTAAATCATAAAAAAGGGGAAAACTATGTGCTAATTTTTTACAATTATGCACATAGTTCATTTACTTTCATCATTTTAAGGCAGTGTTTACTTAATTTTTAAGTAGAAGTCAACTAATGGCTTTTTAATGTGTAAAAAAAAGCTGGGTTCCACACCGTTAATTTGTGTTGGGACAGCATGAAGGAATTAAGTTAGCTAATCAGGTTTTACAAATTTAGGTGGATTAAACATATAATTATTCATGCATTCATTTTCTTTTCGGCTTAGTCCGTTTATTAATCTAGGGTCGCCACAGCGGAATGAACCGCCCATAAAACAATTAAGTTGTCCCAAAAAATAATCAAGACTTGTGTTGTTGCAGCGCATTTTTTATTAGTAGTTTGAACAAACAGCTAATGTCATTTTATTGAGTGTTCTGTCAAGTCTAAATATCTACAAATTGGTAAATCTAGAACTACTAGATTACTGCAATTTTATTCATTCATTTTCTTGTCGGCTTAGTCCCTTTATTAATCCGGGGTTGCCACAGTGGAATGAACCGCCAACTTATCCAGCAAGTTTTTACGCAGCGGATGCCCTTCCAGCCGCAACTACAGCAGCAGTACTTGATTACTTTAATTACAGTAGAATACCGCAAATTCCTAATATGCAGTAAGTTACTTGAGTTTTAAAGTTGCCTATAATGCAGTGCACATTACAGTAGTGAACTGTGAGGAACGTATGGTGTATTTTACTGGGTGTTTTTGCAGTAAATAACTGTAAAATTGCAGCAAAGTCTAACAGGATATACTTGTAATATACACTATAGACTATCGCTGAAGGTAAAACTCGTCCAGAGTAAATAGGACCCTTGTACACATGCACAGACATTTACTGAAACCAGGAGATGCTCAGAGGTAATAATCATTGGTAGTGCCTCAGTTATAATCCCAGACTGTCAGTGTCAGCAGTGTAAGACCCTGGAAAGCTAAAGAGGGATTACCGCCGCCAAACACATGAAGAAATTGTTATCGCACTCAGGATTACTCCCAGCAATATAGTCAACATGCACATGCCCTCATGTAAATCAAGCATATGTATATAATAGTACAAATATTTATATATTTATATGTGTATATACGTATATAAATATATATATAAATATATATATATATATATATATATATATATATATATATATATATATATATATTTGTGTGTGTGTGTGTGTGTGTGTTTGTATGTCTATATATATATACACACACACAGTTGAAGTCGGAATTATTAGCCCCTAAACAATAGTTTTAATAACTCTTCTCTAATAACTGATTTATTTTATCTTTGCCATGATGACAGTAAATAATATTTTACTAGATATTTTTCAACACACTTCTATACAGCTTAAAGTGACATTTAAAGGCTTAACTAGGTTAATTAGGTTAACTAGGCAGGTTAGGGTACTTAGGCAAGTTATTGTATTATGATGGTTTGTTTAGTAGACTATCGGAAAATATATAGCTTAAAGGGGCTAATAGTTTTTACCTTAAAATGGGTTTTAAAATTAAAAACTGCTTTATTCTAGCTGAAATAGTACACATAAGATTTGGAACTACTTGAGGGTGAATAAATATTGAGTAAATTGTCAGTTTTGGGTAAACTATCTCCTTTAAAGCAAATTCCAGTGTATTAAACAGTGTATTTTGAGATTAAAAGAGTCACATGATGAAGTTCTCATTCATATATATTAAACACTTTTCAATTGAATAAGCCAAACAAAGCCTGTAAAAGCTGCATTCACATGACTAATTGTGGCAATAGCTATGCATTTTTAACAAAAATTGTGTGCCACTAAAATATATAATGCATGTAGGAAGTTAAATGTAGGCCTCAAAAACCCCTTCACAGTTACCTCTGCTGTATAAAGTGTCCCCTATGCACAAAAAACCCAAACGCAAACTTAAACTATATATTGAATCAGAGGGCATATTTTATTCAGCACGTGCCGCATCCATGAAAATTGATTTACTTTTTACAATTATGGTGAACACAACATAGTCCTAACTAACTGAAAAAAGTAGCAAAAACATAATGGAGTTAAACAAACATCAACGTAACAACAGTTCAGCCTTGTTAAAATGGGAAATCTTAGACGTAGGCTTTGGATGTTTCTGCGTTCGATTGAGCTGTGGTATAGATGGTCTGTGGTTTACCAGCTGGGTAGTATGCCCTGTTAAAAAGATAACACACAGACACACAATCAGCAATACGTCAAAACGAAATAAAGCAGTCCATTTAAAGTCGCCATGAAATCCAAATGAACTTTTCTTATTTTTATATAATAGTTCTTGTTATAAACGATGTATCAGTGCATTTTGTTCTTTTGTAAAAATTAATTTGCCCTCATAATCTTGAATCAAATACTGTAACTTTTCCCTCTCACTTCTGGTCACATAGAATACCTTTAGGGCGGAGCTATTGGTGCTTTAAGGTGGGGCTATTGGTTGTCTTTTCTGTTCTGAATTCATTCATTCATCAGTCTTTCTCCATTTTGCTATGCTAGCAACGTCCATCTTTCATCAATCCGGTCATAATCTAGAGAAATCCAGCCCTTGCAGATTGTTGGAGAACGCTCACTGTCTACAAACTGGACTACATATCCCATTATACACCTCACACACACCAGTTCCAGATCACCACTGATTGCAAACACACAGCTGAAGCTTATGAGGAGTGATTACCTGGTCTATAAACACAGCACACACTCACACTCCTTTGCTGAGTCTTGTGTCCTGTAAGTGAGCATTTCGAAGCGTTATCTTTGTCTTGTCTGACCATGATTTTGGCCCCTGCTTTGTTTATTATGTTGTTTTGCCACCTTTCCCGACAATTTCTGACGTGAAACTGACATTTCGACACAGTGTCAATATCCCATAGTGCAAATGTTTCAAAACACTGCGCTGAAGCATGATTTGAAACACCCAGGTCATGTGACTAAGGTGATTCGAAACACACAGGTCACGTGACTAAAGTGATTGATCATTTCAAAAGCGTTTCTCGTTAACTTCCTGCCGCAATCCTATCTGATCTAGCAACAACCCTGTTTTATGACCAAAACAAGACGTATATTTTCATAAAGTGATCACTGTCAGATGCCAGACCAATGTTAAAACAAAACACGTTACAAAAGCAGAGCATTTTAAACCTAGCATCTAAAGCTGCATCACCCTGGGTTAGAACCAATTATCTCTGCATGCTAGTCAGGAACTCTCACCGCTCCACTAAATCACTTGAAATTCTTAAACGTGGGGTTTAGTTCCTCCATTGCTTAACTGTTTCTTTGCTGAAGCTGTTCCAGTGCAATACATAAAGGATGACCACTAGGTGTCACTGTAGAGTGGAGTTTCAAAACGTTTCGAAGCTTCGACAAATTTGCTTCGACTGTTTCAGTGTTTCATGAAGCCTCGCTTGGCTCACCACTACCATTCGCCTGTTTTTCTGACCATTGTTTGGATTACCTTGATGCTCCTGTCTGTTCCTGTTTTGACTTTGCCTGTATGACCATCCCAAAATAAAGCTGCATTTGGATCCTCACCTCGGTTGCAAGACCCACTTATTACAGAAGACTCTGCCAAGTGTTTGTGAGTGAGGTGTTTATATAATCCTGGTAATCAGTCCTCATGAGCTTCAGCTGTGTGTTTGCAATTACAGGCAATATGGAACTGGTGTGTGTGAGAGGTGCCTTATGGGATATATAGTTCAGTTCCGTTAGGCTGACATTGAGTGTTTACCAGTGATCTGCAAGTACTGGATTGCTCTACATTTTTTTTTCTCATTCCATGACTATTTCAAATGGATGTACGTCATGATAGTGGAAAAAAGCAAACTTTTGTTTCAAGGCAGCTACAGAAGGTGTGCACATACTGTCAAGAACTGTGTCATTTACCCTTTTTCTTTTGATTTGGAGAACCTTTGATAGGCACTGCACTGGAAACCACCACCCAACATGCATAGCGCTGCTCCAGCCCAGCCGATGTAGAGCCCGGAGCCCAGCTCAAACCTGCACACAAAGGAGGAAAGATCAATACATGCACCTACTCTTATCTTTTAGGTCAAATCTCAACCCAGAAGTGAGCTAAATCTGCCAATGGTATTTTAAGAGACAATCAAGGGGCATTCAAACTTGACAGGACGTAATAAAAAAACAACAACATATTTTCAATAAAGTACTACCAGTGTTTCTTTACATTTCCTGGTCTGATGAATGTGATGTTGGGAGTTGCGTTCCCAAGTTTAATAATCAAATAATCCTCCTTTATTGTGACTCTAAATATTTCTATATTTAATATAGACATAACCCTGTTATGTGGGACAAATGGTATCTCCTCATTTCAACAAACTCCACTCACAAAACATTAATGTAGCTAGTTGGGCAGGGCCGAGAGCCGTGAGAGTGGAACAAGGCTGGTGGCATGTGTGTGCCAACTGTCTCGAGTTCCACAGAGGAGCTCTGGAAACTTCAAAGTAGGAAAGACAGCAGTGAAAAACGAGAAAGGACCAGGCCTGGTCACTTTTTTCGTTTTTAATTTGGCGGCAGTCACTTTCAAGATCTGCCGCTGCCCGTTTGTATTGTTTTTTTTTTTAATTATTAAGACATTTATGAGTTTGTTGGTTCTCTACATCCTTCTTCCCGATGGCCATGGAGTCATCAGCTTTATTGCAATTAATAACAATTATTAAAAGTTATTTTAATCCCGGACGAGCCCCCACTTATATTTATATAGCTATACACATTTATATACCCCCATATTTATCTATCCCTGTGCAGTAGAAGCCAATCTTGCCCCTAGAGAGCCAATAGGGAATTTCGCATTAAGTAGTTTTAGGAACTGGCAGCATGTGCCACCCGGAAGGACTCATTCCTATACCCTAATTCCTTTGAAGAGTTTAGCATCAACCACAGTGTGACAGCTTTAAAGAGGTTAGGGCACAGGTGTCAAAGTCTGGAGGGTCACAACTCTGCTCAGTTTAGTTCCAACCCTAATTAAACACACCTGATCAGACTAATTTAGTGCTTTAGACTTGTTCGATATCTACAAATAGGGCTGTGTTAATACTCTCCAGGAATTGAGTTTAACACCCCTGGGTTAGGGCATAGAGATAAGCCCCTCCGAATGGACACCAAACAGCTTCCCTGCAAAAAGGATCAAAGAGCTCAAAGTGTCCATTAGTTGTACTCTTTATAAGTCCTTCATTACTGAGGGTATTTTAAAGTGGCCAGATTTGATCACTTTAGTTTTGAATACTTTAATATGAAGGGCATTATTGTTTTTACTTTGGAGTGCCCTTTAACGAACAACGTATCATATTTGGAACGCTTCAACATAGGAACTGGCATCATAGGAACAGTCATAGGAAATGGCATCATAGGAAAAGTTATAGGTACTGGCATCTAGACTGGTCCCCCAAGAACTAAATTTTCCCCTTTAACTCCTAATGATATACAAAAAGCATGAGAGTGGATTATCTTTACTGTTGGACATATCTTCATATAGTGCAGTTTATTTTATATGAAATAGTATCATATTTTTTTTTCTCTATGACTTGTCGGACATATTTTCAGTGAACACCAAAGGACAACAAAGCACAGCAGTTTAAATGTGGCTCCAAAAAAAAAAAAAAAAAGAAAAGAGTTAAATATATGAAAAATTCTGAGACCTAAACTTAACAGGTGCATATCATGAAGACAGGAGACTACAATCACGTGATCTTGAATGGGGTCCTTCACTTAATTAATGTTTTCTGTGTAATAGGCCTTTTTAAAATAAGCATATAGTGTTGCACCAGGGGTCATGGTTTTCAGTGACAAAATGTATCAAGCTTCTATGTTTCTATAAATATATGTATGAAAAATGGTTACCATTTACTAAAATAGCCAATTGTAAAATTAGGCCTGAGGTAGTTATTATTGATTTTATGATTTTGCTTTTAATTTATAAGAGTGTAGATTAAGAGTTACGTTATTTAGGATTACGTTATAGTTATTTGAATGCATATAAAACACCAGCGGTCTATTGCAGGGGTTCCCAAACTTTTTAGCCCACGACCCCCAAAATAACAATGCCAGTGACTCGCGACCCCCAATATCCTCTCAGGTATTAATACAGAAACCTTGCATGCAATGACGCAAACACACCAATTAAATTTTTTAACGTGTGTCAGGGCTTTAAATGTGTCAGAAAGTATAACCTGATGTTATAAAACCAAAATGCATCTGACGCTATTGCTGCTTTTAATATAATGTAATTACCCCAGGGGTCGCAATCCAATAGAACTAATAACTATAAGCTACTATAGTAACTATATAGTATATAGTAACTATAAACGACTATTTTTATTTTCAGTATAGTTATGGATAAAATATGTTAATTCTTATGGTTTAATAAAAATAAATAGATTTTTGGAAATCACCAGGCAACCCCCCTTCATTGCCCCGCGACCCCTCGGGGGGTCCCGACCCCCACTTTGAGAACCACTGGTCTATTGGATGATCCTATTTTATTAGATAAATTGATGTGTTGTTTATTGTGTACATGTGGGTTTTCTCACCTGACACCCCCATAGAATGGGTCATTGAATTCTTGCACAACACGTGCAGCGTACCAAGATACACCCACCATAGTGCAAAGACCTGTGGAGAATCAAAGTATTTCTCTCAATACATTTCTATTTACTCAGATCCTTAAAGAGATGGAAGAAACATCGACAATAAGATGGTGATGTTCATATAAGCACACATTGAATTTCGCTTACCTCCTATCAGGTAGATAATGCCACCGATGAACATATTCTTGCCTTTTGATTCATCTGTTTTTGAGCCAATCTTAATGCAGTTCAGCCCCATTGTAGATAAAACTAAACCAACCAGCCCCAGGAGCAGGGCAATGATCACTAACGCCCGGCAAGCCTGAATGTGAACTGAAGACAAGATGGGGGAAAAATTAGTGTTTGACTTTGTTTTTGGACAGATTAAAATAAAGATGTACATATTGTATCTACTTTAAGTTATTGTTAATATATATGCATATCAATATATATATATATATTTCTACAACAGTTATGTCTGGTTCTTGAATCTGATTGGCTGATAGCCGTGCAATATTCTGCAAAAAACAGCACCTATCCAGCCTCTTCACCCTTGTGTATTACTCCGCCCACATACAGCAACAAGCAGAGGACACCCTACAGTTTGAAAATATTGCAGCTGTTTGACAACATAATGTACTTATGAGGCTTTTTTAATCGATAATGTAGTTGTTTAGATTGCAACTATGCAGTTTATTTATAAGGATAGAGACTATTTTAAATTTTGGAGATTCTGTGCATTAGCCGCCATGAGCCTCTCTGAGCAGACCAAAGAAAATGGCGGTATGACGGTTGACATTCCTCCACAAGATGGCAACAGAGACCGCATTTCACATCCGAGAGCAGGGGTGCCCAAACTGGATGAAGCTGGAGGGCCAGTTTACTGCAGATTTTAGCTCCAACTTTCCTCAACACACCTGCAGGGATGTTACTAAAAAGCCTAGTAATAGCTTGATTAGCTAGCCCAGGTGTGTCTGATTGGGGTTGGAACTAAACTTTGCAGGATGCCGACCCTCAAGGACCGAGTTTAGGCACCCCTGCCTAATGCTGCGGTCACACTAGAGTTTGTGCATGTGAAATTCTGTTGTACGGCGCTGCGAAAAAGGGGCGGGATTATACAAGATGATTAGACATTTTAAAAAGCAAGCGATTGGTCCATAATTAAAATTTCTGTTCAGGGAGGTCATGTTTTGATCATCGGCTGGTCTCACATGATCCGATTTCACAGGTCAGAGTTCACCAAGCTTGAACTTTGCAATGCAGCGAACTGCGAAACTTGTCGCATGAGCTTGTGTTTCCGGTCTGTCGCTTTTGCGTGTGTATGAATGGAAGTCTATGGGGAGAAAAGTCCAGTGTGACCACAGCTTTAGAGGGAATCTCAGCGTTTTCTCAGCGTAAGTTTCAAACTACAGCTGAACAAATCATTATCGATCAGGTAAGTGACATTCTAAGGCGACCTCTCTCTTTTTTGTAGTGTTGTATTTATACCACATATACTGGTAGTGTTTGCTTTGGCGTTTTGGAGGATAATTATTGTGATCTCCCAATTGCAACAGAGAAATACTGTGAAATCTCTGAAGGCTGATGACATTTCATGCTGTTCAGCCTTATAATCTTAAAATGTGAGCAAAATCACCTGATTTGTCATGACTTTAGACATTACGCTAGAGAATCGTTCAAACACTAGCTCTGAAGTGACGTGTGTGAAGTAGCAAAAGTCTCTGCTGTTCTGACTATCAGCTGCAGATGTGAATGAATGGCGGAAGAAAGTAGTTCCTCTTACAAAAGTATTTTGAGACTCTCTGTCTTTGATTTTCTTTTTTATACACACAATTATGTCGTCGAGCTGTTGTATAAACTCAATATCACACTCGTAGTAGGGCGATATGGCTGTATATCAGCACTGATAGGACACTCGGTCTGCAGCCTCGAGTCAACGCACGCATCCCACTAGTGCTGATATACAGCCATATTGCACTGCTACAAGTGTTTTTTTTTAATCGCACTGTTAAATGTTTTGAATTATGCTACTACGTCCCAAAAGTACGTTTGTTTAAAAAACCAAAAGTTTTGAATGCTGTAAGAACCTCCACAGTACGTTTTAAAACTTACTTTCAATATAAAGGAAACGTTTTTAAAACATTAATATAATGTGGATAGAACGTTCTAATATCGTTTTAAATAACAAAAATTTTTAATAATAAAATAATCTATAACTTTAATAATTTTATAATTTAAAAACTAGCTGCTTTAACTGATCCACGATGTAGTTTTTCACATTATTTAATTCAATACATTTATATAGTGCTTTCCTGGGTATTCAAAGTGCTTTACACATTTTAGGCGGGAATCTCCAGTGTGCAGCTGGATGATGTGACGGCAGCCATTTTGCACCAGACCACACACAACACACCAGCTTATTGGTGGAGAGGAGACATAAGGCTAATTGTGATAAGGGGATTGTTAGGAGGCCATGATGGACAGCTTTTAAAAGCATTTTCGAGATGTTGACAAAGTTCTTCTGGATTTAGTTTGTCTCAGTTTGTTCTGTTTCTTCATGTCATTCCAGACAGACTGGATGATGATCAAATCCAGTCTCTGTGTGGAGCACAGCATCTCATTGTATAACTTACAATTAATGACAAAAATTATCTTTGGAAATGTAAATTGATATTTCAACCTGACATACCTGACATTTAAACCTTTTTGGGGGGGTAAAGTACTACTAGTAAAAATACTAGTGGCCTCAGACTTCTGCACAGTACTGTACATGTTCAAGAAAATCCAGTAATAAGAAAAAGCAAATGCAATTATGTAATTTGTTACACAAAATGGTTGCCAGTGATCACGGTTAAATCATAAAAGATATACAGTCCATCACAAATCCAATTCCAGATTCTGCTGAGTTCACACCAAACGTGAAGAATTGTGCCACTCACTCCAGATTACTCTTTTTTAAACGTGATTGAGGTGAATTCTGCATGTTTGTGGCAAAAGCTTTGCATATTGCCTCTATTCACACATTTCCATTAACTTTGGTGTGAAACCAGTGTAGAATATTATAAAAATGTTTATATTTATGTTTGGAATTAATTACTCTTTGAATAGACTGATATTCGTATTCAATATACAAACATTCAGATTGTCAAATTCTCGAAATCAAGACATTAAAGCGTTACAACACAAAATGGCTGCCAATATGAAGACCATGGGGAAACAGTTAAGTACAGTTTGTTATAAATCCATTTTCACATTCAATAGAAGTCTTTTTTATATGTGTACATTGATAATTACACATTAATTATACACTAATTAATAAATAAATTAATTAATTCATACATTAATTACTCGCAGAATGTGTTGAAGTAAAACCTACATAAAATAAAATAAAAAATGTATTTAAGATTTTGAAGAAAATCAGCAAATTCCAGGTTTAAGTAGTTCCTCTAGTATTTAAAGTATGGTTGTATATACATTATTAGCCCCCCCCCCCCCCCCCCCCCCCCCAATTTCTGTTGAACGGAGAGAAGATTATTTTTTTCAACATATTTCTAAGCATAATAGTTTTAATAACTCATTTCTAACAACTAATTTCTTGTATGTTTGTCATGATGACAGTAAATAATATTAAATTTGATATTTTTTAAGATACTAGTGACATTTAAAGGCTTAACTCGGTTAATTAGGCAGGTTAGGGTAATTAGACAAGTCATTGTATAACAGTGGTTTGTTTTGTAGAATATCAAAAAAATGCTTAAGGGGGCTAATAATATTGATCTTAAAATGCTTGTAAAACAATTAAAAAAGTGCTTTTATTCTAGCCAAAATAAAACAATTAAGACTTTCTCCAGAAGAAAAAATATAGCAAATACTGGAGCGGGCCTAATAACTTCAATAATGTGCTTCCTACCTGGCAAAGCTAGCATGGATTGAAAGTCTTGACAGTTGGCTTTTCCAGTGCTGTCCTCTCCACAAGCGTGCCACAAGTTCTCATAGAGGCGATTGGAAACAATCACATTGCCTTGAATACTAGAAATCTTCCAGTAATCATTTGCCACAGCGAGGCCAGTAAGAACCCAGCCGATCAAACACATGAAGTATCCCGTCACCTCTAATGCTGTAGACATTTTCAACCTCAGAAATCCAAAATTCAAGGGAAGAATCTGTATAGGTGTCCTGTTCTTGCTCCTGATCGATGGGTTTGGATTGCTCTTCTGTTGAGCTGCAGGACTTCAACCTTCTGGAGGGTCATAAAGCCATCGCCGCACCCTGTCCAGCTTATGAGTTGATGATGGGTGTGAGCATTTTGTCTAGCGAGACACACACATTTACCCTGATAACACCATTACCATGTTTGGTTATCATATATGGTTGGAGTTTCACTCTGATTGTATTGAAACTGATATATGGCTGCATTGAAAATAAGTAATCTTAGTCGCCAGATAAACTACCATTAGTGAGGGAATCACTGTGAACAGCATTTTTTTTTATCCAGTTGACATCTGTGGACTGGTGTTTAAACCCACAATGACTAACAGCATAAATATGTGTGCACTGGACTGTAAATAAAATGCTGGGTTCCACACAGTTGCTTCATGAACTGAACTTTCAATTTAATTTTATTTGACAGATTTAAACAAACTGTCCAAAATACAAGTAGCCCATACATTTTGAAATAAAACTGTTAAGGATAAAAACCAACCCAGGCTCTTTCTAAATACGTACCCCTATATACAATTCTGGAGAGCCCCAAATACATCTCAGGAGGCACATTCTTTCACAGTTTTTGTTTTCACACATCCACCAGAGGCCACTGTGTACGTATTTGAGACAGAGTAGAACGATAGTGTTTTCAAAAGCACCAATTGACCCCCACACCCACTTCCCTAAACCCAACTGATAGTGTTTTCAAAAGCCCAATTGACCCCCACACCCACTTCCCTAAACCCAACCGATAGTGTTTTCAAAAGCACCGATTGACCTTTACACCTACTTCCCTAAACCCAACCGATAGTGTTTTCAAAAGCACTGATTGACCCTTACACCCACTTCCCTAAACCCAACCGATAGTGTTTTCAAAAGCCCAATTGACCCCCACACCCACTTCCCTAAACCCAACCGATAGTGTTTTCAAAAGCACCGATTGACCCTTACACCCACTTCCCTAAACCCAACCGATAGTGTTTTCAAAAGCATCGATTGACCCGCCCACCCACTTCCCTAGACCCAACTGATAGTGTTTTCAAAAGCCTGATTGACCCCCACACCCACTTCCCTAAACCCAACCGATAGTTTTCAAAAGCACCAATTGACCCCCACACCCACTTTTCTAAACCCAACTGATAGTGTTTTCAAAAGCTTGATTGACCCCCACACACACTTCCCTAAACCCAACTGATAGTGTTTTCAAAAGCTTGTTTGACCCCCACACACACTTCCCTAAACCCAACCGATAGTTTTCAAAAGCATCGATTGACCCTTACACCCCCTTCCCTAAACCCAACTGATAGTGTTTTCAAAAGCTTGATTGACCCCCACACACACTTCCCTAAACCCAACCGATAGTGTTTTCAAAAGCATCGATTGACTCCCACACACACTTCCCTAAACCCAACCGATAGTGTTTTCAAAAGCATCGATTGACCCGCCCACCCACTTTCCTAGACCCAAGTGATAGTGTTTTCAAAAGCCTTATTGACCCCCACACCCACTTCCCTAAACCCAACTGATAGTTTTCAAAAGCACCGATTGACCCTTACACCCACTTCCCTAAACCCAACCGATAGTGTTTTCAAAAATCCCGATTGACCCGCCCACACACTTCCCTAAACCCAACCGATAGTTTTCAAAAGCACCAATTGACCTCAACACCCACTTCCCTAAACCCAACTGATAGTGTTTTCAAAAGCCCGATTGACCCTTACACCCACTTCCCTAAACCCAACCGATAGTGTTTTCAAAAAGCCCGATTGACCCGCCCACCCACTTCCCTTTCACAGTATGTCTGATAATATTTTTTCTTCTGTTGAATGTCTTTTTATTTATTTTTTTGACAAGAATAAAAGCAGTTTTTAATTTTTTTTAAAAACCATTTTAGGAACAAAATTATTATATTTGTTTTCGATAGTCTACAGAACAAACCATCAGTATACAATAACTTGCCTAATTACCCTATCCTGCCTAGTTAACTCAGTTAACCTAGTTAAGCCTTTAAATGTCACTTTAAGCTGTATAGAAGCGTCTTGACAAACATCTTGTAAAATATTATTTACTGTCATCATGGCAAAGATTTAAAAAATCAGTTTATAGAGATGAGTTATTAAAGCTATTATGTTTAGAAATGTGTTGAAAAAATCTGCTCTCCGTTAAGCAGAAATTGGGGAGACAAATAAACAAGATTACTAATAATTCAGGGGTGCCAATAATTCTGACTTCAACTGTATATATTTACAGCAAATTTTGTCTTAAGCTCTTTCAGATGTTACTTTCTGTTCTCCTCTTGTTCATCAAATACCAGTGAAAAGAAAACTAAAAAATATCTATTTTTAAAGAAGAGTTACCACAAAATTATTTAGCAATGTACGTTTTGGATACAATAATAACGTCAATTCCTGTTTTAAACTAGGACTTACATACAATTCAAAAATACTATTATGTAATTTTTCTGGGCTTCACTGTAACCTGGTTTCAACGGTCAGGAGCGTAATGTGTGAGTGATAGTGCTTTATGGTTTTATGGTGCTCTGTTAATGGTTGATTATCATCAGTGCTCAAAGTCCAAGCTCTCTCAACAGCCAGATGACTTCAGAGTTTCATTGTTTTTCTGTTCCTCTCCTCTGTTTCCCATCAAGTCTTTTTTAGACATGAGTCATAACCTCATTACCCGGCAGACTGACTTTTAACACTCTGGGTTATGTTATTAAATAATGTAGCAAACTGTATTATTTATAAAAAAAAAACATGACTGAAATGTCTATATTTTTTAAACAGCTCAGAAATTCCTAAAATCATTTTAATGTACGCCATGATGCAGTAAATATAGGGTAATTACAGACAAACACAGAACACAAGCAGTTTTTTTTATAGTAAATCAGTGTTTCCCAACCACGTTCCCGGAGGATCACCAGCACTGCATGTTTAGGATGTCTTCTTTGTCTGTCACATCCATTACAGGTCTTTCAGTCTCTGCTAATGAGCTGATGATCTGAATCAGGTGTGTTCGGTTAAGCATACATGGATAATGTGCAGAGCTGGTGGTTGAGAAACACTCCAGTAGTTGAACAACTGTACAGTAGGTGGTGCTGGTTGGCTTGAATATATTTATTTTGATAGGGTGACGTAACTATGCAAAAGTTTTTGCTACTTGCTCAAACTGCTTATTTACTGTAAAATGAGCTGAATCAACACAATTCTCCAGTTTTTGGGGGACAACTTAAGTGTTTTATGTTCAATCCACTTCAATTTGTAAAAGCAATTAAGTTAACATCATTGATTTGTGTTGGGACAACATGAAGTAGGTTGTTTCTAGAACAGCCTCATTTACATGTTTATACCATGTAGCTCATCTCTTTTAGCATTTGTAGCATACTGAAAGCACCGCTTGCTAGCATGACTCAAATGAGAAAATCCCCAGCTCCTTCAGATTGTTCTGAAGATGAGATATCTCTGTTGGTAAATGGTTGCTAGCTTAGTCTGTTTTGCTGCTAAAGAGTCGATTGACAGCTTAGAGGGATAATACATTAAAGCTTTTTGCCTGTATAAATTATATAAATCAACCCTGATGTCTCTATGACACTGCAGCACAAAGATATCAATCAAGACCCCATATAGCAAACATTTCTCTGGCCCAGCTCTGGCTCTCACAATCAGTTTTTGCTTGGTCTACATCAGGGTTTTTCAAAGTCCAAACGGTCAGCATTTTCGTGTGGAGTTCATGTTTTCCCCGGGTCCTCCGGTTTCCTCCCACACTCCCAAAACTATGACACTTAAGTAAATTGACTAAACCAAATTAGCACCAAATTCGATTAAATTCCGTCAGCAACGCATCACCTTAGCAACCCTCACGCAGCAGGAGTGTGGGGGGAGGTGGGTTCTCGAGATCTACCCGAGCTCAAACTACCCTCTCGCCCTGCAACGGGAGGGAGCCTCGGGCTCGAGGCTCTCATGAGCTCGGGGCTCTCTCCCGGGACAGCATGCCAAACTAGCTTATTACCAATCATCAGCTAAGTGTGAACTCTTGAAACACATTTATTAAGGAAACATGTTAATCGTTTTTTTTTTTTTCTTTTCTTTTTTTTTTACAATTCATTCAGTAGTGGCATAAAATACTACTACATAAAGTATAAATCATGATTTCCATGAACAGGTCTGACAGGTTCATTTAGGTGGATGTGAAAAATCTCACTCGACGGGTTACTCCGTTCTTCGCGCTCGTCACTGTCATGTCTCAGATTACTCATTTAGTCCACAGGTTTGTTTACGGGTGGAGAAAACATGGAAAAACCTCCAAACATGGCGAGTGAGAGACTTAATTTTCATTTCTAAATGGACGTGAATTTACGTGAATAAGGACACGCTGACCTCTGCTGGTCAGGGTTTGACCTGGACTGACAGAGATCGGAGAAGAAGAGGTTATGTGCAGCGGTTTGATTGACAGCCTGTTTCTTCTGCTTCTGTATTTTTCCATTCACCGTAAGTTAATTAATCTAAAACACTAGAATGTAAAAAAAACTTTTGAACGTGATTGGTTTGTCTCTGTTTTTTGGTTTCATAATGTCAAAACGGCAGTTTCAGTCAGTCTAATCTGACACCATTAATTGAATTGACATCAGTCGAATAGTTGTTGTTTTTTTTGGTCACACTTTATTTTAATGTTCAATTCACTATATTAACCATTATCTAAGCCTTTTAGCTCCATAAACTATTACATAAACTACTACACTGCTTAATAATAGTTAGCTATGTATTAGCCTAGTTGGGTTTAGGATTATGGATGTAAAATAAGATAATAGCCTAACTTACTTTTAAAAGTGCTAATATAAACAGCTAATATATGCTAAAAGGCAGGAAATACGCCTTAATAACCTTACATAAGGTAATAAGGTAAGTGTTGTTATTTAAACTAAAGTGTTAGCATTATTTAATTAAGCAGAAGCCTCTTGATCTAGTTATATAAATATAATTTGTATTTATATAATAAAATCCGTGCTATGTTTCTCATAAACCAGTAGTAAATTATGTGAATTTTACTCAAACTAAAGTGTTTGCGTTATTTTAATCTAACAAAAACCACTTGACCTATAATATATATAATAATATATACTTAAACATTACAAATATAATAAAATCGGTGATATCTTTCTCATAAATAAGTAGTAAATAGTGTGAATCTATACTCAAACTAAAGTGTTAGCTATTTTTTTTTTAAATCAAACAGAAACATTTTAAACTATATAATTTGTATTTCATTCATTCATTTTCTTGTCGGCTTAGTCCCTTTATTAATCCGGGGTCGCCACAGCGGAATGAACCGCCAACTCATCCAGCACGTTTTTACGCAGGGATTGCCCTTCCAGCCTCAACCCATCTCTGGGAAATAATTTGTATTTATAAAGTATAAATATAATAAAATCTTTCTTGTAAACCAGTAGCAAATGATGTACGTTGTCGTTAGCGTCATTTTAATCTAACAGAAACCTCTTTATCTAAATATATGAATATAGTTCGTATTTATAAATTATAGATACATTAAAATCTTTGATATGTTTCTTAAGAACATTGTAAGCTTACTTGATGGTGCATTAAATGTGATCTACTTAAAGGGATAGTTCACCCAAAAATGAAAATTCTTACTCTATTTATTCTCCCTCAAGTGCTTCCAAAATTATATGAGTTTCTTTCTTCTGTTGAACACAAAAGAAGATATTCTGAGGAGTCTTAGAAACAAGTTACCATTGACTTTTACAGTAAGAAATACAAATAGCCTACTATGTAAGTCAATGGTTACCAGTTTCCAACATTCTTCCAGTTCTTTGGTGTTCAACGGGGGGAAAAAATAAAAGTTTTGAGTAAACGATGACAGAATTTTCAGTTTTTGAGTGAACTGGCCCTTTAAGTTTACAATACTTTTGAGAAACGCCCAGACCTAAAATCAAATGTTTTAAATGAAAGTGAAAGCTCATTGTTTACAGTAGAAAATAGTTCACTAGTACGTTTGTAAAACACTTTGGGTGTATGGCCATACACAAATAAATGCGCTTTATAAATGCACATTACATTAGATTATGCAGAACTTTAAATTCAATTCAATTCAGCTTTATTTCTATAGCGCTTTTACAATGTAGATTGTGTCAAAGCAGCTTCACATAAAAGATCATAGTAAATTGGAACAGTGTCGTTCAGTTTTTAGTGTTTACGTTCAGTTCAGTATAGCTCAGTTGTGTGGTTTGATAATCACTAAACACTGAAGAGCAAATCCATTGATGCGTAGCTCTACCAATCCCAAACCATGCAAGCTAGTGGCGAGGAAAAAAAAAACTTTACCAATTGGCGAAAGTGAAGAAAAAAAAAAAACCCTCGAGAGAAACCAGACTCAGTTGGGCAGGACTATTTTAATTTATCCGCTGGTCAAACGTCTTGTGCAGAACTCAACTGAATTAGAATTACAGCAGATTTCTTTGTCCTGGCAAGCTTTGTTTTAGACCGTAAATTAAAATGCTGATATTAAATGTTAAAAGTGTTACTTTTTTGCACAAGATTAATAAAATAGGAGATGTTTTGGTGTTTAATGCTCCAAGTTGAACTTTTATATTCAATCTGACTGTATAAGAGGATTACACACAGCATTTTGACACTAGAGAACAGGATTATGCAATGCATTTATGGTTTGGCATTCCCAAAATGCTTTCATGTGCATCTACAGTATGTAATGGATGCAGAGTATGTGAACAAATGTTGACAGGCTGTGAACATGAGAAGTTCTACCATTTTAATTTTTAATATTGTTCCCACGTTTCAGATTCAGCTTCGCTATCCACATATCTCAACATCTCAATGCATTCTGTAAACATGAAGCACATCTTGAAATGGAGCCAACTGCAAACGGCCTGTTCCACTTTCAACCACACTGTACAATTTCAAGGGTAAGCTGTTGTTTTTCTTGGAATAAGGCTGATGTGCTAATCCAGTCTGTCAGGATGTTATGATTTATGAGTAAATATTACATGGAATTCGTGCATTTTGTTAGTACCATCAAAGAGCATAGAATCACCAAGAGGCGATACTCTAGTGCAATTTGATAAACAGCCACTAGAGGGCGCGGCGGCCATTTTGGAATGAAAACTCCAGTAGAACAGCAGCATATTATAAGTCTGTAAAATAAATTATTAAAAGTGCTGATGATTGTCATAGTAAGTGTTGTATTGTCATCTTTTAGGTTGTATTTTTAAATAAATAAATAGAAAAACAAAGCAGCTGCTTGCCATCGCGGCAGCAATAAGATCCAATGGACGGCCGATCGCTTTCACGCCAAAATGGCGGAATGGGGTATATGCCGAAGCATGCTAACAGGACTTTTAATTTGCCATTAACCTGGTTTAAGCGCTTCCGGCGAATCTAATGCCAATGCAAAATCCGGTTTAAGGTCTGTTTTCTATAAAAATGAGCGATCTCCACTAGCTGAGTGATATCCGTTTTAAAGTGGGTCTCAGATTGTACAAGAAGCACTGCATTAAATTACATTTCCCCCGCCATGTCTTTATAATGTGAGCATTTATTTTACCCTAGTATATTCAATGGAGCTTCTGCGTTAGCCTGCCGATTCTGACGGGCGCGTGCGAGTAAACGGCTTTTTGTCTCTTTTTTCGCTTGAGCAACCAAAAAAAAGCTAAAGTTTATTTAACTGAATGTATTTTAATGACATTACAACATCGATGCTGTATAAGGAACCGTATAAAATGGAAAAAAGTTCACAATAACAGGTCACCGGAAGTGCATCAGCATGGGAACAGCACTAGCTCGGCATATACCCTATTGCGGGGCTGTTGCTGGCGCTGCTATTGCAATGGTCTACTGAGTGTCGCCTCTTGGTCATTCTAAGCTCTTTGGTACCATATCCATGAACTGTCCAGTAATGTTTTTTTTTATTGTTGACTGACTTAATTTCTTATTTGTGCTTCTGTACGTGGGAATATACAAATGGACAGTATCTTATGTAAAACTATAGGTTTTTGGGGTTTTTTAGTTGACCAGTTTAACCAGTTTTACCTAACACATTTAAAATTGAATTCAATTAACAATTAAATTACATTTTATTAAATTATTTTTAGTTTTTTTTTTAAATAAAATTACATAAATCATTTATTCAACATTAGTTTATTTATTAGTACATTTATTTGTTTAATTTTAAGTAGAATCCTATTAATTGATAGAGCACTAAAATATGTTAAGTATTATTGTCAAGTCATAAATACACACATATATACACTCACCGGCCACTTTATTAGGTACACCTTACTAGTAATCCCTTTTGCCTTCAGAAATTCCTCAATCCTTCCTGGCATAGATTCAACAAGGCACTGGAAATATTCCTCAGAGACTTTGGTGCTCTATTGGATTGAAATCTGGTGACTGTGGAGGCCATTTTTAGTACAGCGAACTCAAGATGTTTATGAAATCAGTCTGAGATGATTCGCTCTTTATGACATGGCACGTTATTCTGCTGGAAGTAGCCATCAGATGATGGGTATACTGTGGTCATAAAGAGATGGACATGGTCAGCAACAATACTCAGGTAGGCTGTGGCGTAGACACGATGCTCAATTGGTACTAATATGCCCAAAGTGTGCCAAGAAAATATCCCCCACACCATTACACCACCACTACCAGCCTGAACTGTTGATACAAGGCAGGATGGATCCATGCTTTCATCTTGTTGACGCCAAATCCTGATCTACCATCCGAATGTAGCAACAGAAATCAAGACTCATCAGACCAGGCAACGTTTCTCCAATCTTCTGTTGGCCAGCTTTGGTGAGCCTGTGTGAATTTATCCTGTTATTAGCCCATCTGCGTCAAGGTTGGACGTGCTGTGCCTCCAGAGATGCTCTTCTGCATAGCTCGGTTGTAAAGAGTGGTTATTTAAGTACTGTTGCCTTTCTATCAGCTGGAACCAGTCTGGCCATTCGTCTTTGACATCTGGTATCAACAAGGCATTTTTGCCCACAGAACTGCCGCTCACTGGATATTTTCTCTTTTTCGGACCATTCTCTGTAAACCCTAGAGATGGTTGTGCGTGAAAATCCCAGTAGATCAGCAGTTTCTGAAATACTCAGACCAGCCTGTCTAGCACCAACAACCATGCCACGTTCAAAGTCACTTAAATCTCCTTTCTTCCCCATGTTGATGCTCGGTTTCATTTGCAGCAGATCGTCCTAAACACATTGAGTTGCTGCCATATGGTTGGCTGATGAGAAATTTGCATTAACGAGCAGTTGGACAGGTGTACCTAATAAAGTGGCCGATAAGTGTACACTATATATAGTGCACATTTATTTATATAGTACTTGCAATACAGATTGCTTCACAAAAGCTTAACAGAATTGTATCAGTTATTATAGGAAGCCAGCCATCATTACCCATCTCAAGTTTAACAATCTCAATATTGGTTTATTTTAGCTCAGTGACATTTCGAACAAGATGACGCTTGCATGTCGATATTATCAAAAAAGAAAAGAAAAAAATGAGCCACTCCTATCTGGCAGAACAAGTATTCATAATCATTTTGTCTCCGCCTATTACTTCAAGCAAAAACATATTAAGGAAACTGGCATGAAATACTCATTACATTCTTATTTAGACTGCCACGTGCAGTACATGTGGCGCAGCACGTTTTATGTGATTTACGTAATACTTAATGTGCTGTACATTCTATCCCTGTCTCTAAACCCAGCCCCCACAGACAACTTTCTGCATTTTTTAAAATATAAATGATAGATTTTTTGTCCTGATAATGACTATAAAAATTGTCTAACATGGTCAACAGATTGTCTAACAGAGCATTCAGCCGCTCTGCTCCGCGTCTTTGGAACTCACTACCACCTGCCATCAGAAACATTGACTCCCTTACACTGTTCAAATCAAAACTCAAAACCCACTTATTTAAGATGGCTTTTAATACTTAATTTTATTTGCACTATTGCTGTGTATATTTTATTATTTCTTTTGTTGTTTTATTATTCTTGTTGATTGTACGGTGTCCTTGAGTTGCTAGAAAGGCGCCTTTAAATAAAATGTATTATTATTATTATCATTATTATTCAAAAGTTGGTGTGTGGTACTTTATGGTTCGCTTTTTGGTACAAAAAAGTGTGTACCAACTTGGCTAGTTCCGTACTGTACCGTACCCCTCAGTGGAAACAGGCCATAATTATATGACATAAAATAATTAATACCAAAACCACACACACACATTCATGAAATAACCTGAAGTTACTTTTAAATACTAAATTACTTTTAACAGTAATATATTATAACCTTAAGTGACTTAAAAACGACTTAAAACTACTACTTAGTTACTTTTTAAGGAAAGTAATGAGAAAGTACATGATACGTTATTTTTAATTATTCTTATTCTTGACAATCAAGATAGGCTTAAGATTGTCATATATTACTTTTAGTGCTGGGCAAAAGATTCATCGCGATAAATCATCCAAAATAAAAATTTGTTTTCACATAAGATGTGTGTGTGTAATACATACATTCACTGGCCACTTTATTAGGTACACCTGTCCAACTGCTCGTCAACGCGCACTTCTAATCAGCCAATCACATGGCAGCAACTCAATGCATTGGACAGGCACAACCATCTTTAGGGTTTACAAAGAATAGTCGGAAAAACAGAAAATATCCAGTGAGCGGCAGTTCTGTGGGCGCAAATGCCTTGTTGATGCCAGAGGTCAGAGGAGAATGGCCAGACTGGTTCCAGCTGATAGAAAGACAACAGTAACTTAAATAACCACTCGTTACAACCGAGATCTGGAGAAGAGCATCTCTGAACACACAACACGTTGAGCCTTGAGGTGGATGGGCTACAGCAGCAGAAGACCACACCGGTTGCCGCTCCTGTATAGGAAACTGAGGCTACAATTCACAAAGAAATAACCAAAATTCTACAATCGAAGATTGAAAAAATGTCTGATCTGATGAGTCTCGATTTCTGCAGCAACATTTGCATAGTAGGGTCAGAATTTGGAATGAACAACATGAAAGCATGGATCCATCCTGCCTTGTCTCAACGGTTCAGGCTGCTGGTGGTGGTGTAATGGTGTGGGGGATATTTTCTTGGCACACTTTGGGCATATTAGTACCAATTGAGCATTGTGTCTACGCCACAACCTACCTGAGTATTGTTGCTGACCATGTCCATCCTTTTATGACCACAGTGTACCCATAGTCTGATGGCTACTTCCAGCAAGATAACGCACCATGTCATAAAGCTTGAATCATCTCAGACTGGTTTCTTGAACATGACAATGAGTTCACTGTACTCAAATGGCCTCCACAGTCACCATATCTCAACAGAGCACCTTTGGGATGTGGTGGAACGGGAGATTTGCATCATGGATGTGCAGCCAATAATTTCCAGTACCTTGTTGAATCTCTGCCATGAATGATTAAGGCAGTTCTGAAGGCAAAATGGGGTCCAACTCGGTACTAGTAAGATGTACCTAATAAAGTGGCCGGTGAGTGTATATTTATTACGCATATATGTATATTACACGTCTCTGATTCTCAATGCAGAGAGTACGAGTTGCACAAACTCAATGGTTCTTGGGTGGACGCGTACGACTGTCAGGAGATTCGAGAAAACCGCTGTGACCTCACTCATGATCTGGCCTCCAACTCTGACTACAGCATTCGCATAAAGACAAACTGCGATGGCCAGAAATCGTGGACGCAACTTCCAAAGACCTTCAACAGGAAAGACAGTTGAGTAGTGCTTTGCTGGTGTTTTGTACTTAAATGTGATATCTGAAATATTTCAACTTGGTCCTTTGGTTTGGTGTTTAATAGCGGTGTTGCTGACTCCGGAAATGATCGTGAACGTGGAGGGGGATCCTATTCAGGTGGGCTTCAACACAACGCTTTCGGCAATCACTGTAAAGCTTAAAGTCTGGACAGAAGGAGACGAACAGAATGTGAGCATCATCTCATACTTTCTTTTTGTAATCTTAAATATATACCTCCAATGAAATCATTTGCCTAATTACCCTAACTTGCCTAGCTAACCTAATTAGTTAAGCCTTGAAACTATTTTATGAATTGTAGGAAAGGTAATTCTGTCAACGTTTACTTAATCTTTGCTTCTTTCCAACCTTTATGAGTTTCTCTATTCTGTTGAACACAAAAGAAGATGATTGATGATAAAATGTGCATGAACTATCCCTTTTTAGTGTGAAGAAAGCTGGAAAATATGGCTTATAAGGCAGGAACAACCTTATGAATGTACTGTATATCCATCACTCAGGCTTGAAGTTGAAATCAGTTGGGTTTCTGTCCTGACTAGTGACTTAGGCCCCGTTTACACTAGTGCGTTTTAGTTTGAAAACGCATAAGTTTTGCTACGGTTACACCATCCGTCACTACGCCACACACTACGCCGGAGTTCTCGAGCGCCGAAAACGGAGCATTTCGAAAACGCTGGAGAGGCCGTTTTCATTCTGAAACGTTTTCAGCGTTTTGGTGTGGACGGAGAGCAGTTCAGAAACGCTGGGTAAAACGCGAGTGTGCAGCCCATCTACCCAGATGAGAGCTCTAATAGTCGGACTTCTCATCAAGCATCTCCCGCTGGATCTAATCTCACTATATTTATTAAACGTGATATTTCATTCATCTTGTTGTCTTTATCTAACGACATATTCCCTGACTTTGGTCATTGGAATCTATTTGTTCTCAGGTAACGTGTTTTGGCTGAGCGCAAAGATAAGTTAATGATTAATGTAAGCACGTACATTCTGTATATTGACTGATCGCTTGCCTTTATTTCCTATAATTTATAAACTTATTGTATGTTATACTTTTATAATGGCCATTATTGATTATTAAAACTGATATTCAGCAAAAGAGAGGGTGTGTTTCGTATTTTCACTGAAATTGAAAGGAGGCAGTTGTTATAGGCTCCGTTTTGTTATAAATATCTACACAGTGAAGATGACGCTCATCTTATGCAGCACGACGCCTCAGCATTTCTGCTGTCTGTTTAGTTGTTAATATTAAAATAAAAATAGGCAGTTCCTTATATCAAGTTTACATTTTATTGTTGAGAAAGTGAAACAACGTAGCCAGGGTGATGTGAATGAAATTACAAAGTACACTGTTCCCTGTGAAGATTGACGCGTGTCCTCGGTATAGTCTGCTTTTCCATATCAAACTGAGAAGAAGAGATGCAGCCTTGATCAAACTTACGAAGTCTGAACTTAACCGGAGAAGATGCAGGACTGAACTGTGTGTGGGCTACTTAATATTGAGGAAAAGCCCCAATCAGAGAGCCGAATGTCAGCAGCCCCGCCTCCGTTTTCAGATGTCTCCGTCTTTCCCCATCCACACTGAGACGGAGCAGCAGCGTTTCAGAATGAAAACGGCCTCTCCAGCGTTTTCGAAACGCTCCGTTTTCGGCGCTCGAGAACTCCGGCGTAGTGTGTGGCGTAGTGACGGATGGCGTAACCATAGCAAAACTTATGCGTTTTCAAACTAAAACGCATTAGTGTAAACGGGGCCTAAGATCATTTTCAAGAGTTCACACTTAGCTGATGATTTATAAAAGCTTGTTTGGCATGCTGTCCCGGGAGAGAGCCCCGAGCTCAAGGGCTCCTCGAGCCCGGGGCTTCCTCCCGTTGGCAGAGCAAGAGGGGAGCCTGAGCTCGGTGGATCTCAGAACTCCCCTGCTGCGGTAGCTAAGGGAACACAAGGGATTAGACAAGCTTGATTGTTATGCATGTTGAATGTCTTTGGATAGTCGGGGGAAACCGGCGAACCCGGGGAAAACCCACGGGGAGGACATACAAACTCCTCACAGAAACACCCACCAGTCCTGTGGAACCAGGGCCGGCAGTGTTCCTGCTGTGGGGCTCACAGTGCTAACCACTGGGCCGCCATGCCGCCCAATCACAGGTAAAGGAGGAGAATAGGGGAGGAGGGGGGTTTCTTCCAAACGAAGATAAAGTGAACTGAAAACTGTGGCTATTTATAGTAGCTTAGGGCTCATATGATTGGAAGGTAGTGATTAGCGAATGCGAGACCGGCCGTGATAAATCATAAGCACGTGATCCTCTCGAAATTAGTTTATGAATAAACTTCACATAGTGACTAGGATGGATTTCTTTGCAGGCCTTAACTGACATGACGAGAGCTTATCCCTATCATTTTTCCATTGCTGCTCATCGAGGGAAAGAAAAGATGTGCTTCAGGGCAGAAGCACTAGTGGACGCCATTAACAAAAGCTGCAGCACTGACACGCAGTGTGTCATCATGCATAGTGAGTGATCACTAAAGACTACACTGTCAAAAATATCTGTAAATTGGCAGTTTTTCATATTTTGTGATTCTTGTTTTTTATTTCCCCCCGTTATTTATGCTTTTGAATCGGATTATGGGACCTTGATCTTTCTTCCAACAACTTTTAAACATGAAAAGTTAAAAAAAAGGTGACTTTTATTAGTGGGACTTTTATTTTATTATCACATTTTAATCTGCTTGTTAAGTGGTGACGTGTTTGTGACGTATGTATACTGTTTCCGGGTCCAAGCCGCCATTTATTTGAGTGGAGAAATCATTCGTTTATGATCGCGTTTTATTCCTATCACACATTAAAGTTCATTTTATATAAAGTCATAGTGTACACAACAATCTCTGGGCTTGCTGCATAACAAATACCAAAATTTTAACAATTTATAAAACAATGAATCACTTTCTGGCCATTGGATATTAGGCATGGACATATATATTACGATCGTGACTTTCGAAAGTCTTAAATCGCTTATCGTTACCATTTCATGAGCCTCCCCATTCAGTTGAATAGATCGCTTGGACTCGAAAGCCGTTCCGCGTGACGTCACACTGAACAAGCGGATAGTTTAAAGTGATATATTGTCTGGATTGTTTTTTTTTTGGGATTGTCTTGTCGTCGATCCCAGTTGTAAGAGCAACAAATAATAACTTGACTTCTAGTTGATCATTTGGAAAAGTAGCAGAAGGTCGATTTTCCTGATGATTTATCTGTTGAGCTGCATCCCAATCATCACAAATACAGCAGAAGACCTACTGGAACCCGCACAGACCCAAGATTCTCAGAGAAATTAGTCAAGTTTGGTGAAGGAAAAATCATGGTTTGGGGTTACATACAGTATTGGGGCGTGCAAGCGATCCGCAGAGTGGATGGCAACATCAACAGCCTGAGGTATCAAGACATTTGTGCGGCCAATTCTTCAGCAGGATAGCGCTCCTTTTCATACTTCAGCCTCCACATCAAAGTTCCTGAAAGCAAAGAAGGTCAAGGTTCTCCAGGATTGGCCAGCCAAGTCACCAGACATGAACATTATTGAGCATGTCTGGGGTAAGATTAAAGAGGAGGCATTGAAGATGAATCCAAGGATTCCTGATGAACTCTGGGAGTCCTGCAAGTACACTTTCTTTCCCATTCCAGATGACTTTATTAATAAGTGATTTGAGTCATTGCAGAGATGTGTGGATGCAGTCCTCCAGGCTCATGGCAGTCATACACAATATTCATTTTATATTCTATACTGTACATTACTTCTGTTTACTGACAAGAACTTTGTCTCAAAAGTCAGCCTCAAAAGCAAAGTCAGACCTTACTGTCCTAATTATTTAAAATCAAGGCATGATCAAATTTTATTTTGGTGAAATAAGCGTAATCTAGAGGCCTTTGCCTTTCATATGAGCCACTTCTGACACCAAATGATCAACTAAAAGTCAAGTTATTATTTGTTGCTCCTAAAACTTGAAAGGGTGACAAGACTTCTGTCAGGAAGTGTATATTATGCTACAAAAACCGTGAAATAAACAGTACGTTTTGTTATTTTACAGACTTAATTCTCTCTATATTATTTCTTATATTAATTCACACTACTATAATGTCAATTAAGAGTCACTGTAGAGTCACTACAGAGCAGAGATCAAGCACCCACAATGCAATTCACAACCGTAAATAAAATGAAAACACTTGTGAATCACAAAATACAGAAACTGTTCATTAACAGTTTTCACAGTGCACAGTCCTTTGATTTTAGTACAGATATGTTTCATGCTTGTTCATATTAACCTGTGTTTTCCTTTCTAGAGCAGACATCTGACATGCCAGTGATAGTGAGCGTTGCTGTAGTGATAGCGCTTGCTGTGGCTTTTATTCTGGGATGGTCTGTTACGCGTTTTAGCCCACAGATCAAACACATCATTTGTCACAGAGAGCCAATTCCCAGTGCACTGGTAAGGGTGTGTTTAACCACAGTTATTATACAAATGTCTTAATATGATCATTAAAAAAAAAAATTGTATTCGAACTCAATCAATTCTTTTAGTACATCCCCAATTTTCACCTATTTTTCTAGTCCATTGTTGAGTCTACTTATTAATATTTTCTAATGTGTGTAAATATATATCTTATATATTTCAAATTTAACAGGATTTTTAAATATAGATTTTTTAACACATTTCTAGTCATGATAGTTTTAATAACTCATCTCTAATAACTGATTCTATTATCTTTGCCATGATGACAGTAAATAATATTTGACTAGATATTTTTCAAGACACATCTACACAGCTTAAAGTGACATTTAAAGGCTTAACTTTCTCCAGAAGAAAAGATATTAAAGGAAATACTGTGAAAAAATTCCTTGCTCTGTTAAACATCGTTTGCGAAATATTTGAAATAAAAGAGAAAATCCACAGCTAATAATTTGGCTTCAACTGTATTTAATCAGTTTTATAATAATTGTAGCAATATTATCCAAAACGTGCTAATTTTTATATGATTTACTTACAATACAGTTTGTAAAGTAATATTTTCTGTCTTTTAGTAGATCAATATATTTTATGAAAGACTTGCTTTGTTTACCAAACAAATGGATCTAATTGAATTTGCATTGTAAACATTAAATAAAATTATACTACAATACTATACTCTCAAAATCAAAAATCTAAACCAAATTGGAAAAAAAAAGGAATATGATTAGAATTTTTTTCATTAATAATACACTCACCGGCCACTTTATTAGGTACACCTTACTAGTACCAGGTTGGACCTGTTTTGCCTTCAGAACTGCCTTAATCCTGCATGGCATAGATTCAACAAGCTACTGGAAATATTCCTCTGAGATTTTGCTCCATATTGACATGATAGCATCACGCTATTGCTGCAAATTTGTCAGCTGCACATTCATGATGTGAATCTCCCGTTTCACCACATTCCAAAGGTGCTCTAATGGATTGAGTTCTGGTGACTGTGGAGGCCATTTGAGTACAGTGAACTCATTGTCATGTTCAAGACACCAGTCTGAGATGATTCACACTTTATGACATGGTGCGTTATCCTGCTGGAAGTAGCGATCAGAAGATGTGTACACTGTGTTCATAACGGGATGGACATGGTCAGCAACAATACTCAGGTAGGCTGTGGCGTAGACACGACGCTCAATTAGTACTAATGGGCCCAAAGTGTGCCAAGAAAACATCCCACACACCATTACACCACCACTAGCACCCTGAACTGAGGATACGAGAATGGATCCAGGCTTTCCTGTTGTTGATGCCAAATTCTGATCCGAACATCCGAATGTTGCAGCAGAAATCGAGACTCATCAAACCAGGAAACATTTTTCCAGTCTTCTATTGTCAATTTTGGTGAGCCTGTATGAATTGTAGCCTGTTTCTTGTTCTTAGCTGACAGAAGTGGCACTTGGTGTGGTCTTCTGCTGCTGTAGCCCATCTGACTCAACGTTAGACGAGTTGTGCGTTCAGAGATGCTCTTCAGCAGACCTCGGTTGTAACAAGTAGTTATTTGAGTTACAGTTACTGTCTGGCCATTCTTCTCTGGCATCAACAAGGCATTTGCGCCCACAGAACTGCCGCTCACTGGATAGTTTCTCTTTTTCAGACCATTCTCTGTAAACCAGATGGTTGTGCGTGAAAATCCTAGTAGATCAGCAGTTTCTGAAATACTCAGACCCGCCCGTCTGGCACCAACAACCATTCCACATTCAAAGTCACTTAAATCACCTTTCATTCCCATTCTGATGCTTGATTTGAACTGCAGCAGATCGTCTTGACCATGTCTACATGAATAAATGCATTGAGTTGCTGCCATGCGATTGGCCGATAAGAAATTTGGGTTACTGAGCAGTTGGACAGGTGTACCTATTAAAGTGGCCCTAAAATGATAATTTACTCATATATTACTCTCCCTCAAGTGGTTCTAAACCTTTATGACTTTCTTTATTCTGCAAAACACACAAAATAAGATTCTTTAAGAATGCTGAAAACCTGTAACCATTAACTTCCATTGGAAAACAATACTATAGAAGTCAATGGTTACAGGCTTCCAGCATTTTTCAAAATATCTTCTTTTGTGTTCAACAGAAGAAAGAACGTCTTGAAGGAGTAAATGATGAAAGAATTTTCATTTTCGGGTGAGCTGTCCCTTTAAAAACACTTTCAAAGTTAGATACAAAAAAAAAAAAAAGCTGAAACAATTTAAGACATTTTAGCTTGGTTCTAAAAGTCTTTAAAAAAAAAAAAAGAAAATCATGTCATGTTACAAAATTAATTACAAATTGATCTTGATTTTTTTCCAGCTGAACAACTGCCCTGCAAGAGCACCAAATCTGTTTACTGTCTCATCGGAGCCCACAGAACCGCTTTTGGTGCTGGTCCCAACATTGGTGCAGATGGAGACGAATGAGCGATGAACATTATCTGAAAACATCAAATCAAGTCATCACTGATATGGTGGCCATTTGTAGATATACTCCAGTTACTGCTGGACCATATGTGGTATTTAAAGGGATAGTTCACCCAAAAATAAAAAATGACTCAGGATTTACTCCCCCTTAAATTCCAAACCTTTACAAGTTTCTTTCTTCTGTTGAACACTAAAGAAGATATTTTGAAGAATGCTGAAAACCGGTAACCATTGACTTGGTTTTAAAAACAAACACTATGGAAGTCAATAGTTCCAGGTTTCCATCTTTCCTCAAAATATCTTCCTTTGTGTTCAGCAGAAAGTCAGAAAGGCTTGAAACAAGTAAAAGGTGAATAAATGATGACCATTTTGGGTGAACTATTCAATAGTATCTGGATGCAGCCTTTATGATGCAAGCTGAGATTGCATCGCTCAGCGATGCAATGTCAGACACAATGCACTCAATGGAGTGAGTGACGTCACAGTGACGGGTAGGGTTAGGTGAGCACATTAAAAAGCATTGGATGCAGCTCAGATTGCACTGCACCAGGTCTGCAGTCTCCAACTATTCCTTTAAACGGAATAAATCTGATTCTGATTACCTCTTGTTGGAGAATGGGACAGATATTACAGATTTAGGCCATTGTTTCTCTTGAATCAAGAGTCATGCTATTAATGGTTACAATTTTGTAGTCACCTCTGAAACACATTTGGACAGTAAACACAAATCAAGAGTGCAGCGTAATCGACTATGAAGACTGTATATGAAGCGTTGTAATAATTAAGGCATTACATACATTTACAATTAGTCATTTAGCAGACGCTTTTATCCAAAGCGACTTACAAATTAGGACAAGGAAGCAACTTACACAACTATAAGAGCAACAATGAATAAGTGCTGTAGGCAAGTTTCCAACCAGGGCTCATTGTGGAAACGTAGTCCCGCGGACGTTTCTGGAGACTGTGGAATACGTCCCGGCGGGTACGTACGGCTGCAGTTTTTGTTTTTGCGAATCCGCGAGTTCACGCCCGCGCTGTTCTCGCGTGAACCCACCAGAGGCCGCTGTCCAACTGACCGGATGATTGACTGCGAAACCGGCCAATCTGCCGACCCGCCCTCCTCCTTCCCTAACCCCAACCAATTTTACCAATCGACCCGCCCGCCTGCTCGCTTCCCTAAACCCGAGCGACAGTTTACAAAAGCCGTCCAAAAAAAAAATAAAAGCCCTGATTTTTTTTTTCTACCACTTTTTCGGATTTCACCGCGTTCTCGCCCTGTTACGAAACTCTTTTTGGGATTCTGTTTTTGTCTTACCTGATTGCTGGAACCGCTCTTCCCCGGACTCGAAACCGATCGCCATGGTCAGCTCCTCTCCGCATCTCAAGCCCGCCGACGTACACGGTGAGCTGAGTGGACAAACGGGTTGCAGCAGAAAAGCCCTCCACAAGGAGGCAAGCACGAAAGGGAACGGCGTCACACCGCCCTGCATCGTTCGCTTGAAAAAAAAATAAATGCAGCCGTACGTACCTGCCAGGACGTATTCCGCTGTCTCCAGAAATGTCCGCAGGACTACGTTTTCAGAATGAGCTTGGGTTGCAAGTTTCAGGTATGTAAAATGTAAGGAGCAAAGCATTAGTGATTTGTTTTTGTAATACAGTCAGCGGTAGAACCAGAGAGGCAATTGCAGATTAAGAAGGGAAGTGGAAACTAAATAGTTGAGTTTTTAGTCGTTTTTTAAAGACAGCGAGTGACTCTGCCGTTCTGATGCAGTTAGGGAGTTCATTCCACCAAATGGGCAGATTGAACGCGAGCGTTCGGGAAAGTGATTTCTTCCCTCTTTGGGATGGAACCACGAGGCGACGTTCACTCACAGAACGCAAGTTTCTGCAGGGCACATAGATCTGCAGAAGTGAGAGCAGATAAGGAGCAAATCAAGAAGTCGCTTTGTACGCAAACATCAGAGCTTTGAATTTGATGCGAGCAGCAACTGACAGCCAGTGCAAACGGATGAGCAGCGGAGTGACATGTGCTCTTTTAGGTTCATTAAAGAGCACTCGTGCTGCTGCGTTCGGAAGCAGCTGAAGAGGTTTGATAGAGTTAGCTGGAAGCCTGGCTAGTAGAGAGTTGCAATAGTCCAGTCTGGAGAGAACAAGAGCTTGAACGAGGAGTTGAGCTGCATGTTCAGATAGGAAGGGTCGGACCTTTCTGATGTTACAGAGAGCATATCTGCACGATAGAGCAGTTCTAGAAATGTGGTCAGAAAATCTCAAATTGCATACCTGTTCTGTCTACAAAACACTTATTAGATTAATTAAATTATTAGATTCTAAAATAAAAATATAATATAAATATAAAAGGAAACACTGTGAAAGTGTTTGTCCGGCTCTTAAACATCATTTGGGAAGTATATGAAAAAAATATGTATATTGGAGATATTACTATAGAAGGGCTAATCATTTTGCTTTCAACTGTTCAGGCCTCTTCAATAATTTGTTCAGTATTATGTTTACTTATGTGAAGCCGTTGTATGTGATATTAAAGTGTTGAAGATCCACTTCTTCTCCTCTTTTCCCTGAACATAAATCATGAAACAAATACATTGTCCAAAGAAATGATAAGGCGGCACGGTGGCTCAGTGGTCAGCACTGTCACCTCAGAGCAAGAATGTTGCTGGTTCAAGAACAGTTGGCATTTCTGTGTGGAGTTTGCATGTTCTCCCTGTGAACATCCAGGTGCTCCAAAGACATGTGGTATACGTGAATTGGGTAAACTAAATTCTCTGTAGTGTATGTGTGTGAATGAGTGTATAAGGGTGTTTCCCAGTACTGGGTTGCGGCTGGAAGGGCATCCGCTGCGTATGCTGGAATAGTTGGAGGTTCATTTCGCTGTGGCAGCCTCTGAAATAGAGACTAAGCCGAAGGAAAATGACTGAAGAGATGACAAGGATTGTGGTATTTTGGCCCATTTTAAACTGGTAGTTTGAGCAAGCAGCAACAATCGTGTGATACACAGTCAAGGGCATGCAGAATCAGCAGCCAATAAAAGCTTTACAATAAATCTGTGTTCACCAATAAGAAAGGAGAAAACAGCATGCACTTTAACTTTCTAAACATCTTCACCCTAGCCAGAGTCTTCAAAACGTTTCGCATTTAGTTTCCTGACACTGTTTTTGTGTGGACAAATGGCCAAACTGCATATCATAGTTTTGAAAATAGGTGTTTTTTTAATAGTCATAATATAGCTATAATATATAAACACAATATAACACAAGTAGCAGAAATAGTCATAATATAGCTATAATATATAAACACAATGCAACACATGTAGCAGTGCGATGTGGCTGTTTATCGCTACTGGTGGGAGGTGTGCGTTGACACAAGGCCGCAGGCAGAGTGCCTTAGTGTCCCACCTGGATGATATACAGCCATATCGCACTGCTACTCATGTGATATTGCGTTTATACAACAGTTTGATGGCATAATCGTGTTTATAAAAAAGAAAATCAAACACGGAGAGTGTCAAAATCCTTTTGTATGAGGAACTACTTTCTTCCGCCATTCATTCGCATCTGCAGCTGACGTCAGAACAGCAGGAACCATTAGTAATTCACTAACTCCACTTTAGAGCTAGTATTTGAATGATTCTCAAGCGTAATGTCTAAAGCAGGGATGTCAAACTCAATTCCTGGAGGGCCGCAGCCCTGCACAGTTTAGTTTCAACCCTAATAAAACACACCTAATTAAATTTATTGAGTCCTTCAGGCTTGTTTGAAACCTACAGGTAAGTGTGTTGGAGCAGGGTTGGAACTAAACTGAGCAGGGCTGTGGCCCTCAGGGAATTGAGTTTGACATCCCTGGTCTAAAGTGATGACAAAACAGCTGATTTTGCTCACATTTTAAGATTATAATGCCATCAGTCTACAGATATTTATTTCTCTGTTGCAATCAGGAAATCACAAAAATTAATTGCAAAAAAAACAAAGTAAAGCAAACACTAGCAGATTACTGTTGTGTTTGCGATAAGGAAAAACACATGCGGGCATTTCTTCTTTCTTTCTGTTTAAAAATAGGCACTATCCTTATAAATAAACTGCATATTTGCAATCTAAACAACTACATTCACAACTAAAAAAAGCCTCAAAAGTACATTATGTTGTCCAACAGCTGCAATATTTGTCAAAATGTAGAGTGTCCGCTGCTTGTTGCTGTATGTGGGCGGAGTAATACACAAGGGTGAAGAGGCTGGACGAGTGCAGTTATTTGCAGAATATCGCAAGGCTACCAGCCAATCAGATTCAAGAACCAGAAAGAACTGTTGTATAAATATTTTTACATTTATAAAATAACATATTATAGGCGGTTTTGAAAATAGCCGTGTTGGTGTAAACAGGGCCTGAGAGACTGTCAGGCACATCTGAAAGTGAGTTTTGATTGAGGAACTTGAGCCCTGTGCTGCCTCCAGCCACAAACTGTCAGACTGACTGATTACAAAACAATGCTTCGGGGAACCAGTTCATCCAACTACAGGGAACGGGTTCGGCAGGGTGATTATTTTAAGAACGAATTCTAGTGACTAATTATAATTATATACAGCTTGTATTGCACCCTTACTGAACAAAAGCAATGCTTTGTACTCAAATGAGCAACCACATGTTAAAATCACACATGGGACACATGTAAAGCACACATGAAACATTAAAAAAACGTTCCAAAAGCCACACAATTCATATCTTTATACGCGATTTTAACACGCTGTTGCACATTTGAAGCTTGTGTTGCATTTCTGCACGGGTAGAAATATTAATTCAGTCATTTTCCTTCAGCTTAGTCCCTTTATTCATCAAGAGTCGCCACAGCGAAATGAACCACCAACTATTCCAGCATATTTTTTACACAGCGGATGCCTTTCCAGCTGCAACCCATTACTGGGAAACATCCATACACCCTCCTTCACTCATATACTAAGGCCAATTTAGTTTGTTCAATTCGCCTATAGCGCATGTGTTTGGACTGTTGGGGAAACAGGAGCACCCGGAGGAAACCCAAGCCAACATGAGGAGAACATGCAGACTCCACACAGAAATCCCAACTGACCCAGCAGGGACTCAAACCAGCGACCTTCTTGCTGTTAGGTGACAGTGGTAACCACGGAACTACTGTGTCACCGTAAAAAATAATAATGAATAATAATAAAATAACACTAGTGCTAGTGAAAAGAGACTAAATGTGGCAGTTTTCATTAAAGAACTGATAATAAGTTATATATATATATATATATATATATATATATATATATATATATATATCAATGATTATTGAGATAAAAAAAAAACAATTTACAAGATTTATGTGTATTTTTAAAGAAAATTGGTTTACAAAAACGGTTAAAGCAAATAATGCCGTAAAGTTTGAGTTTGAAGCGTTTTACTTTAAATTATACTTTAAACGTTACAGTTAAAGATTTAAAATGCAATTAAAATAAATTAAACATTACATGCAAGTCAGAAGCCATTTGGAACATAGAGAAAACTAGTCTACAGTCAAAATGCTTCTAAAATAAACGTAACCATCAATGAGAATAAACCTTAAAATCTTTACTGCTCTGGTTTTGCAAAACTATTTTTTCACATCTGGGAACTGTAGTGGATATATAAATTGGGGACTCAGACTTAAAAAAAAAGGATCAGGAAGAAGAAACGACACCACCATGCATGATATGAATTGGATCAAGTCACAGATGATGCAATCATAACAAAACTGAACAAACAGGCCTAGACCAGCTTTCATATATTGCCCGATACTGAACACAGAATAGGACTAAGCTATGTGTCTATATACAGTTAAAGTCAGAATTATTTGCCCCTTTGATTTTTGTTTTCTTTTTTTAATAATTTCCAAATTATGTTTAACACAGCAAGGAAACTTTCACAGTATGTCTAGTAAAATGTTTTCTTCTGGAGAAAGTCTTACTTGTTTTATTTCGGCTAGAATTAAAGCAGCTATACGTGACGTTTAAAGGTTTAACTAGGTTAGTTAGGTTAACTAGACAGGTTAGGGTAATTAGGCAAGTTATTGTATAATGATGGTTTGTTATGTAGACTATCGGAGAAAAATTATAGCTTAAAGGGGCTAATCATATTGACTTTAAAATGTATTTAAAAAAATTATTAACTGCTATTATTTAACTGCTAATTATTAAATGGCTTAATCTAGCTGAAATAAAACAAATAAAACTTTCTCCAGAAGAAAAAATATTATCCGACATACTGTGAAAATTTCCTTGCTCTGTTAAACATCATGCTAGTAATTCTGACTTCAACTGTGTATGTGTGGGTGTGAATATATATATTTATTTATTTATTTATATATATTTATATATATGATATTTAATTAGGTCAGTAAGGTCTGGCTTTGCTTGGACAACACTTAACAGAAATAATGTCCGATATAGAATATAACGTCATGGTGCAGTGGAGAAAGAATGAATATTGTGTATGACTCCCATGAGCTTGGAGGACTGCATCCATACATCTCTGCAATGACTCAAATCACTTATTAATAAAGTCATCTGGAATGGCAAAGAAAGCATTTCTGCAGGACTCTCAGAGTTCATCAAGATTTTTTGGATTCATCCTCAATGCCTCCTCCTTAATTTTACCCCAGACATGCTCAACAATATTTATGTCTGGTGACTGGGCTGGCCAATCCTGGAGCACCTTGACCTTTGACCTTGAACTTTGATGTGGAGGCTGAAGTATGAGAAGGAGCGCTATCCTGCTGAAGAATTGTCCCTCTCTTGTGGTTTGTAATGTAATGGGCAGCACAAATGTCTTGATACCTCAGGCTGTGGATGTTGCCATCCACTCTGCAGATCTCTCGCACGCCCCCATACTGAATGTAACCCCAAACCATGATTTTTCCTTCACCAAACTTGACTGATTTCTGTTAGAATCTTAGGTTCATGCTGGCTCCAGTAGGTCTTCTGCAGTATTTGTGATGATTGGGATGCAGATCAACAGATGATTCATCAGAAAAATCGACCTTCTGACACTTTTCCAAATGATCAACTAGAAGTCGAGTTATTATTTGTTGCTCTTAACACTGGGATTGACGACAAGACTTTTGTCAGGCAGTGTATATACACCCATTTGACATAACCTTTTGGGATAATCCAATTAGACCCTATCCTAGTTTATTATTTAAGGCAGGGAAAAGCACCCTGGGGAGATGGCCAGTCCATCACAGGACTCTCTCACACTAGTATATACACATAGTTCAGCCATCAAACTCTAACAATCAACTATTGGTGCATTCATTTGCATTCAACTAAATTCACAAAAGCACATATAAAGCATACTCTAGCATGAATCCAGTAAACTACGTGATCATGAACATTTACTATTAGCCCTCCTCCACCCCAGCACCACCTGTAGAGATCTGCTAGGCCGGTTTTACTTCCTTTAAGGCATCAATTTTTCATTGTTTTGACCAAGCAGAACTATACACTCTATTGCAACAACAGTGTAGAAGATTTCATCCTCCAAAATCAAGCTTGTTTATATTTGATACCCGCTGGTTGAAATGATCACTGCGAGAGTTATCACGATTGATACAGACAATTCTTATTTCTTAATTGCCCCAATGACAAGGGGAGAACTCTTACTCTAAGGCAATGATGCAAAGACGTGTAATGCAAACACGTAAATATCTTCCTGGAAAAAGTGGCCATTGGCTTGTTTTAATTGTCATTTTGCCATCCAGAACATCGAAATATATAATAAATGCACATTTTATCTTTAAAGCAGGACCGTTTTAAACAACTAGACTAATTTAATCCAACAACAGTTCGAGACAGAAAAGTGAAAAGGGGGAACGTTACACACACAATGGCTCTTTGGTGTGGTGAGCATCTGCACTTCCATCTGTAGGGTTCAGATCTTGCGGTAAATGATCAGTCCTAAATTTAACCCCCACCTCCACCTGGTCCAGGTCTGCCGGGTGACATGTTCCTCAGTTCATGCCAAAATTTTATTAGTGGCTCGCGCTTCCTCCAGATCAGTTCATGGCCATATCCAATGTACCACCTGAAGAAATGAGGGAGAATAAATTAAGTCTAACAAAATCTAACCTTTAAGGGTACAAAGGATAGTTCACTCAATAATGAAAATGTACTAACTACTTAACTTCCCTCAGGTGGTGCTAAACCTTTATGTTTCTCTTCAATCCTTCGAACACATTTTGAAAAAAGCTAAAAACCTGTAACCATTAACTACCGTAATAGGAAAAACAAATAGTATGGAAGTCAAAGGTTACAGCTTTATTTTTTTCCAAATCATTTATTTGTGTTTAAAAAGGGAAGAAAAAAGGTTTAAAAGATGTAAAGTGTGATTAAAGGATGACAGAAGTTTCTTTTTGTGTGTGTGTGAACTCTCCCGTTGTGTATGCACACATTAAAAATTGGAATAGTGCTATCCTGTACACTGTAAAAGCCCCTTTCACACATACAGACCTTTCCGGAAATTTACCGGCAGTTTTCCGGAAAGGTTGTATGTGTGAACAGGTCCTTTTTGAAAATACCGGTAAATTCGTTCTGGCTATTTTCCGGAAAGAGAAGTTGTAACATTACCGGCAATTTGCCGGAATGCTGCGCTGTGTGAACGCAGAAGGAAGATTGCCGTAATATGCGCGTGCACATCTAGAATGTGGTGACATAAGACGTCTGCTTTAGCCAATCACAACAGTCAGACGCATTTACGTCCGCGCGGTTTGTGAGAATAAAAGCCTTTGAATATTTTTACAGACACATTTAGCTGCTAGGAGTTAGTCAGATCACGTTTATATGTTCTTCTTAATGCCAACTATGTAAATAATCATCGATAAGATGCTTATGATAAGCCGTTGTTTGTTTACCTTCAAGCTTTGCGTGTGCCTGTGAAACAGCCTGTGAGCGCCTGCACACGCACATATTATGAACATCTCGACATGCGAAAGTGATCCTGCGAAAGTTGTTCACAATAATGATCATCCACAGAGTTTGTAATGTAGTCAAATGTTTACAAATACAAGCGCAGCTGTTTAAAGCTCATTTGTGGTGAATGATGTCAGAATTTACCGGTATTTTGGAATGGATGTGTGAATGCTCTTTTCCGGAAAATTTCCGTAACGTCCTCGCCTGTGTGAACAGCGCTTTTTTGTATATACCGGTAAAGTCATTCCGGAAATTTTCCGGATATTTACCGATATCACTGTGTGAAAGGGGCTAATGTGCCGATGAGTTATTACAACTTCATATTTTGAGTTAAGCTAACTCATCTGGAACATAACTTATATACCTTTTTTGTTGCATTTTTAATTATAGATATATTAGTTATTTATTTTTACACTTGTTTACTTTTGGAAGACATCAGATGATGAAAGTCTTCTGGTAAAAAATGGCTTAAGCGGGTTGATAAAATGTGGGTGTGTTTAGGATCAGTTTGCATATCTTGAACGTGGATTTTTGTTAAATATTTACCAAAAACAAAGTGTCTGTCTCTACTTGGTTTTAGTTTTTAGGTGTTTTTGTGCGTTTGAAAGGGTTTTAGACAGCTGTAAACATTTAGACGGCTGTAAACATTCATGTGTATATGGCAACACTGACCGCCACTTTCTTATTGTAATGTTGTGGCGTGTTTGAGGTTTTTCTCAGATATCTGCTTCTTTGGTAACATTTGTATTAACATATTTCAAAAACCTGTTTTTAGTATTAAATGAATCATGGTTTATTAGTGAAACCATTAGTCATCCTGATTAATTTAAGGTAAGTAATGTCAAGTATGCAGGCAGAATGTTGGCTCAGTGATCAGCACTGTCGCCTCACAGCAACAAGGCTGGTTTGAGTCCCAGTGAGTAAAGCTTCCTTTGGGTGCTCTGGTTTCCCCCAAACACATACAAAATTGGTGGTAGTGTATAAGTGTGTATGAATGAGAGATTTAAGACATCTTCAAAATTTAAGTTCACCAAACTTAGGGTCCCACTTTATATTAAGTGGCCTTAACTAATATGTATTTACACAGGAATTAACAGTTTGTTACAATGTACTTATTGTGTAAATACATGTGTTTACTGTGTACTTATGCTTGATTAAATACATGTATGTAATTACATCTGTAATTAACTTTTGTAAACACATTTGTAAATACATTGTTGACCATCCCTTAAACGTTAACCCACCCTTAAACCTACCCATGCCACCAAACCTGTCCATAACCCAGTCTCTATCCCATCTCAAAAGCACCACAAGTGTTCTCAAATACATTATAAACACAGTAAGTACATTGTATTTATTTTTTGATGTAAGTACATAGTAGTTAAGGACACTTAATATAAAGTGGGACCAAACTTAGACCATGTCCATTAAACTTGAATTATAAAGTCCTGTCAACATCATTCTTAAGTACAACTACTTATCTATTTCAACTAAACTAAGACAATGTCCATTACACTTGTATTGTCAAGCCCTGTCAACTTTTAGACACCTTCACTAATAAGTGAAGTAAACTTAAAAATAAAGGCAGCGCAAACACTTGAACTTTTTTTTTCCCAAGTGTATATTCTCTATTGTGAAATAAGAAATCTGGTCAAATCAATGGTGATGACCACAAGACACTTACACTCCAAACAGAGCTCCACCAAGATGTGCTGCGTGATCAAAAAACCTCCATCCCAAAAGTAGACCGGCAATATCCAGAGCTACAAGAGCTTTTAAAGCCTAAAACATACAAAGCATAGCGATATCCCAGTCCACACACACACAAGAAAAGTTAAAATAAACGTTGAATTATTCTGCACACCCACTTACATTTCCAGCACTGAAGCTGATCACAGGAAGCAAGACGATTCCCAGTTTGGCCTCTGGTATCTTGGTGCAGACTGCAGCCAGTACTGTCATGATGGAGCCTGACTACAGGACACAAACCAATGCTGACTTCATGAGGGCTGCATAGCTTACTGTATGTGATTATATTTGATTTCAAACATTATAAGATGTTTATAATACAGTTATAATAATATAGGGTGACTTCAGATGAGATTGTAACTTTTTTTGTATTTACTTTTTTCAACCCAGGCTCATTCTGAATACATACCCCTATATACATTTCTGGAGAGCGTCAAATACGTCCCAGGAGGTATGTTTTTTTGCAGTTTTTGTACATGCGAATCCACCAGAGGATGCTGTGTGCGATTTTTCAGATCTCAAATTTCTCTAGCAACTGCCATCCGCTCGTGCTCTTCTCGCGTAAATCCACCAGAGGCTGTTGTCGACTGACTGACTGACTGATCGACTGACCCACCCTCTTCCTTCCCTAAACCCAACCCATAGTGTTTTTTAAAAGCACCGATTGACCAGTGCCCACCCACTTCCATAAACCCATCCGACAGTTTTAAAAATCATCTAAAGGTTTTAAGATTTTACCACATTCTCACCCTGTTACTTACTTATTTTTTGTGTGTGTGTTTGTGTATGTGTGTGTGTGTGTGTGTGTGTGTGTGTGTGTGTGTGTGTGTGTGTGTGTGTGTGTGTATATATATATATATATATATATATATATACATACATATATACATACATACATATACATATACACACACACTATATTTTTTATGCTTGCCCTTGCTCATCTTTATTTTTTGGTTCTTGTTTTTTCTTTCTGGAACAGTTCTTCACTAGTCTCAAGTCCGCTGAGGTATGCGGTGAGCTACTGGACACACTGGTAACAGCAGAAAAGCTGTCTTTACAGAGGTAAGCGGTCAAAAGAAAGGCCGTTATACCGTTTTATATTCGTTTTAAAGACGAAATGCAACCATGCTTTCCTTTGGCTACATAATTCGTGATCTCCAGAAATGTATACAAAGCTACACTTTCGGAATGAGCCTATGTTGTTGTTGTTTTTTTATATTCAAACAGTGTTGACACACAACTGTGTTTAAACCCTTTATAAAACAGATTTTTGCATAATAGGTCCCCTTTAATTTCTGGAAATGGTTTGAACTGGATGTTAGTTAGACCAATTTAAAATACTTTTCTGTTCCCTTTATAAGTTTTCATATACCGTTTCAGTAAAGCATGGAATAAATTTTGTTATTTGCTTTACAAGACTTACACATTCATTCAATCACCTTTGGCTACGTCCTTTGTTTATTAGGGGTCGACACAGCGGAATGAACCACCAACTATTCCAGCCTTTAATTTACACAGCGGATGCCCTTCCAGCTGCAACCCAGTAATGGGAAACACTCATACACTCTCGCATTCATAAACACACTCATACACTACGGCCCATTCATCCAATTCACTTGTTTTACAAAACAAACTGTTTTGGGCTAACTTCATTATTGCATGGTGATTTTAGAGGTTCGTGTTTACTGTGCTTGCCCTTGCTAACCTTTAATAAAGTGAAGGAATTATGATGTTTTCTGTATTAATTATTTAATCCTGTTTTAATTAAATATATGAACTTTTGTTTGTGTGCTTAACCTCATATAACCTTGCTTCATAACAGCTGTCGCTTCATGTGACTGATAAAAGAAGTCAAATTCCGAGAACTTGCTATCAGCAAAATGTTACAACTCTTTCTTTTACATTGCAAAAAATGCTTTTCTTACCTAGATTTTTTGTCTTGTTTCTATTCCAAATATCTACAAATTTTTAAATCAGGAAGCATTTTCTAGACAAGCAAAACATACTGTCGTGTTTTAAGAAATAATATGCCAAAATGAAGCGAGTTTTTCCTTAAATCAAGCAAAATAATCTGCCAATGGGGTGAGCAAAATAATCTTGTTTTTCGATTTGTGATAAGATTATTTTGCTTACCCCATTGGCAGATTATTTTGCTTGATTTGAGGAAAAACTCACTTCATTTCGGCATATTATTTCTTAAAACAAGACCATATGTTTTGCTTGTTTAGAAAATGCTTCTTGATTTAAGAACTTTTAGATATTTGGACTAGAAACAAGACAAAAAATCTTAGTAAGAAAAGCATTTTTTGCAGTGCAGGCTGCGTTGCTTTGTCCATCTAGCAGGAATGGGGGAGTAAATATGGTGATAGGTGGCCAACCATTGGTTTAGAAAACAGATGAAGCAGCGAAAATTATTTTTTTATTTTTTGGTCTGTGTGAGCAGACAGAGACTGAATGTGCTGCTGTTCTCTGCCACCCAGGGCCCTGTATGCTTTATCAAATTGATTCATTCATTTTATTTAAACTTATTTGAAGCCTCTGACAGATCTTTGAACTTGGTGGACTGGGGGAAAGTCCAACACAAGCAAACACAAAAAAGTATGTCTGACAAAGTTTTTTTCTGTTCCAAAAGAGCTCATGATTAGTTTTGAAGCCATCATTTGTGCCTTTCTGAATGAGGTATTTGGTTTCAGGCACATGCTTAGTTGACTGCATTTTATCATAAGAGTACAAGTTTGCACCTCATCAGTCAGTAAAAGAGTGCGGCCTCAGGGTACCATCATAGAGAGGCTCTAAATCACTTTCCAGAACTTTTTCATTTACTGTTCCTCACCGGTGGAATGAACCTGCCAATCCAATGCATCTGCTGATTTACTGCAAACTCTCAAAAGCCACCTAAAAACTCACTTTGCTACAAAATAAAAAATCTTTACCTAATCCCTACCTACTCTAGTTTGTACTTTTAAGGAATACTCTAACAATATCAGCAGCTTTGTATTAGTAGCACACAAGGTTAGTACTCTCTTTATGATTCTTTAAAGCAGTGTTTCTCAACCACGTTCCTGGAGGACCACCAACACTGCATGTTTCGGATGTCTACTTTGTCTGTCATACCCATTACAGGTCTTTTAATCTCTGCAAATGAGCTGATGATCTGAATCGGGTGTGTTTGGTTAAGGAGATATGGAAATTGGGCAGAGCTGGTGAACCTCCAGGAACGTGGATGAGAAACACTGCTTAAAACCATTTGACGCATTCCTCATTTATAAGATGCTTTGGATAAAAGCATCTGCTAAATGAGGTAAGGCCCTATCATACACCCGGCGCAATGTAGTGCAAGGCGCGACGCAATTGTTGTTTGCTAGTTTCAACTTGGCGCAAGAGTCATTTTGACGTTTTGCACCACGCTGTTTAAATAGCAAAAGCATTTGCACTCATATGTGCGCCCATAGGCGTTCTGGTCTAAAAAAGGAGGTGCGTAATGGCGCATTGCTGACGGGTTGCTATTTTGAGAAATTATAACAGTCTGTTCAATAGACTAGACCAAAGCCTGTCTATAGTCCAGCACAGAGCATGTTAGTTGCGCGCCTAGCTTGACACTGCCTAATACAGACAGGGTGTACAGCAATACGCTAATATCTTTACAAATGAAAAAGAATTAAAGGATTAAAATATTACAAAACATACTGTATTATAATATTATTATATTACAAAACATTTTCTAGCCTACATAAATATTAAAACCATACATTCATGCCTTCTTCATCTCAGGGTTTGTTTTTTCAGTTTATTCATAACAATTTGCTTTTGTATAATGTTATTATTATTAGCAGTATTATTTATTATATGCATATTTATATTTGTTTTATTAAAAACAAGCTTGGGTTTGCCCACCTGTCAGGTTTTAGAACATATAGGGTACAGCATGTGTATTTGGACATAACTCAGTTTTTTGACCACACTTTGTTATTATTGTTCATTTATTGGTTTGCTGGAAATTAGAACTGAATTTAGAAATACTTTTGAAACAAATCTTTGCCCTTAACAAACGAAATTGATTATGTAAAGGATAATGGATGTCTGTGCTGGCAACATGTTACCTTATCCACGACAGTGAAAGTGAATAATGAGGAGGCTCATCTCTCATTCTCGCGCTGTAGATGCTTTGTTTAATAATGTTTTATTGCTAGTGAAGCGCTCAGTTGTTCAACTTACAAAGTCCGGCATGTAAATAGCAAATGCACCATGGCATGACACAACTGACTCTTAAAGGGAATAGGAGATGAGACTCTGATTGGTTTATTCTCAAAACACACCTATAAATCATTAAAAGAATCAGCTCAACCCTGTTAGACCATGCACCAAGGCGCAAAGCAGATTTTTCCATCCTTAAAATAGCAAAAGTGGATTCTGACATGCCCTTAATACTTCTGCGCCTTGCACTTTGCACTTTGGATAGTCACAATAGAGCCCTAAATGTAAACATATCTGCAGTAAAAGCAGCAGTTGAAATGCCAACGCAATCTCAACACAATTGATAACTTTTTGATTTAATGGCTAGTTTGTATGAATTTGTATGATCTCATTCGTACTATTTAGTATTTATTGCTCATCCACAAATGATGATTTGGTTTAGGTGTAGGGTTTGGTGCCACGTCTCCTTTTGAAAATTGACTGGAGTCGTATGAATTAGCCACTAAACTGACAAAATGTAAAATAGTTACATTGAGTTGTGAGATCAGAGATCTAAAAAAAATACTTTTTTTTTAGATGTTAGTATCATCAGTATATTAGATATCTATAAGCTAGTGAGCTCCAAAACAGTGACAACATTTGCATCTTGAAAATTTAAACCTGATATAAACATCCAAATTCTGTTGTTTGTCACGTCCGCCTAAATGGATCAGCGATTTCTTTAACATCACCTCACCCTTCAGTTTCTCATCAAACCTTCTGACCAATCAAATGCTCGCTTGTATCTAACATGTCCCGCCTATTTCAAGGCGCTTCTAATTTGCGCTTCATTTGATGCGGTTGAGCTTCATTCTCACTGGTAGAGCTGTGATAAAGACAAAACGCTATTAGCTGTTTTTTTTTTTAAAGGGGAGGAGCTACAATATGACCCACCCTGTCTTCTTGTTACAGTTGAGGTTAGCAAACATAGAAAAAAAACAAATCACATTTCAAAGCACTTCATGCGACCTTTAAAGGAGCTTTTTTTTTCAAAGGATGGTATTATAAGAAGTGCATTTGTTGCATTATAAGATTTGTTTTTGATCAGTATAATTTTGTGGAATTGAACCAGATTTTAGTAAAAACCCAAACATAAAAATTTCGTTTTATTCCATTTTAAAAATTTCTCATGCCATTCAACAGCTTGATTTTCTTTCTCTGAAAGCATTTGAGAGTTTCCTTGGCTGTGTTTTGGATCATTGTCTTGATAAAATGTCCACCCTGGTTGATTTCAGAGAGATTTCAGCTACTGTCTGGGCCTTCACTGCCTTTCTACACCCCCCTTTCTTCATGTGTTCAATACTTTTTCCATGTGTCATTTCATTTTATTACGCATAACTTAATTTGTAAACAAATTTGTTTTCTTTGCATACATGAATTTCTTATGTTTTTACCAACATCCAATGAAAATTTCAAGTTTACAGCACCTTTATTAATATGCTTTCTGAGAAAAATGGTGATGTGTTCAATACTTATTTTCCCCGCTGTATATAACACTTAACAGATGCAGGAAACTCACCGCTCCAAGCGACGGGCCCAGGCGACCAGTAGCTGTTTTAAACACGTAGCTAACAAATGTTGAGATAACACCTTGGGATAACAAAAACACATTTTTAAAAATCATATTAGAGCAGGACTGCAGGAACTAAATACAGATATGTTAATGGTGCTTAATATACCTCCGGAAAGATAAAGAGCCAAAAACTGCTCCCTTCCGAGCAGAGAAACTATGCCAGAGGAGAAGGTCCACAGCACATACATGTTGACCACCATGTGAATGACTGAGTAGTGGCTAAAAGAAGAGAGGACCATGGGAAGGCAACGCGTCTCTGAAAGAGAACAATAGAGGGTGAAAACCTGTAATATCTGGCTAAAAATAGTGGTTATTTTATTTTTTAAATATTTCCCAAATGATGTTAAACAGAGCAAGGAAATTTTCACAGTATTTTCTATAACATTTTTTCTTCTGGAGAAAGTCTTATTTGTTTTATTTCAGCTAGAATAAAAAAAAGTTATTAATTAAAAAAAAACAAAAAAAAACTTTTAAGGTCAAAATTATTAGCCTTATAATGATGCCATTCCAAACTATGACTTGTCTATTTTTCTCTTCACACAAAAGACAATTTTAACACATATATTTTCATTGTTTTGGCCATACAGTGAACATTAGATACAGCTGATATTCATTGTACAAACAAAATAAACAGTTATTTTTCTAATCTTTTTTATACCGTTAGTTGTGTGTTGTGAATCTATAACATATTAAATTAATTACTAGATTATCAATCACTTTAAAAGTAATAATCAAGGTTGTTTCAGTAAACGAAAATAAAACTAAATCAAAAAACTTTTTTGTTAACTAAAATAAAATACAAAATTCACAATAAATGAAAAACTAAAAATAACTGAAACTAGTAACAGCCACTAAGAAACAAACCAAATTGAGAAAACAATGAGCAAAAAAAAAAAAAAATCAATAATTATTTCCAGAATTAATAAGCCCTCATTTTGTAGTGGATAATTTGACTTGCAGCTGGTTAGAGAAACGCATCATTCAAGCGCTCGATTACAAACAAAAACACATTTCTATAAAATGCAGGGCTCAACACTAACGACTGCCCGATGGCCCGGGGCCAGTGTGAGAGACGCTTGGGACAGTAGACGGGATCATTACTGGCTCGATTGGGGCCACCTTTTGTTAAATAATTTCGAACAGAAATAAAATACTTTCACATTTTCCATACTGCTCTTTTTGCTTTGTTAACACACAATTTTGCATATTATACATATATTATACATTTGAAAAATATTATTTAAATCATTTTTTAACATTTTAATAATCATAAACATTATTTTTGACACATTATTTAATATATGGGGCCAGTGAAAATTTTGGCAGGGCAAGTAAAAAACTAAACCATTGGCCCGATCGGACCCATGAAAAAATCCTTAGCGTCGACTCCTGCAATGTGTTCCAACTTTTCTTCATTTGCTAAAATATTTAAACTAGACATGTATAACTACTTACTCATCTTTAATATAAAGAAGATTCACTACATTTTTCATAATTTTTACTTTTATTTGTTGCATTTGTACAGTTTTGGATTCAGAGGTTTTTTTTTTCAAGCAATCATATTATTTTTATTACTAAGTAAGAGTTTTGGCGGTTCATTCCGCTGTGGCGACCCCGGATTAATAAAGGGACTAAGCCGACAAGAAAATGAATGAAAGTAAGAGTTTTGAAAAAGGGTTAATGTAAGCTGTTCAAATACTAAACGACATTGGACTGTTCTGTTAATTTTGTTAACCTAGAACTATTAAAACTGAATATAAATATACGAAAACTAAATATAAACGTGTTCACAAAATCATAACTAAAAGAATGAAAATGAATGAAATGAACTAAAACTAAACTGAAAAGTACAGCAAGTTTCAAAAAGTTGAAATCGAGAAATTCTAATACAAATCTATAATAACCTTGATTATCATAATAACATCTCAGAGAAGCACTTACTTACTGGAGGCAGGGTTCGATGTGAAGTACTTGACTAAAAAGCGTTGCATTGCAGGAACTCTCCAACAACACAGGACCACTGTGTTCAAAGCTATGAGGCCTAAATAACAAAACAGGGTAACATTTTAGTTTGAGTAACAATTCGCACCATTTACCACTGGCTTATTACCTGCCTATTATTAAAATATTACCTGTTTATTACCAAGTATGACCTTATTTTTCTGTACATCCCTAATCCTACCCAATACCTAGACATAACCACTAGCTTACTAACTATTAATACGCATTAAGCAGTTAATTAGTAGTTTATCAAGGTAAACACCTTAGTTAATAGTTTGCAATAGCGCAAGTTGAAAAACCAGAAATGTTGATATTAAAATATAGTGCGACTCAAAACAGTAACAGAACCCAAAACTAGAGGATCAGTTGAGTCATACACCAACCTGTGACTGTTTTTTGTCCCTCACTGAGGCCACTCCAAAAATCATCGACCGCAGAAATGAGCAGAATCACCTGCTTCTGGAAGTTGGACAGCTGATTCCACCAGTTGTGCCAGTATGTTGTGTTGTGACCCTGCAGAAAATCAAGTGTAATGAACATGACTGGTATTTTTTGGGCCTAAAATGTGGCTCATTTTACACTGATATTGTATTTTACCTCCAGAAGTGTATCCCGCTTCTCTTCTTTAGCCTCCTCTATAGCCAGTTGCACTCGCGACTTTACTGATTCATACTGCAAGATGGCAGCTGCGCCGAAAGAGCAGCCTGTGAACTGAAATGATGTTAGAACTACCTTGATCTACAAATTATTGAATGGTAACACAAAATAGACATACACAAAGGGCTCGAAATTTACATTTACATTAAGTCATCTAACAGACATTTTTAATCCAACGTGACTTAGAATTGAGGAGGCATTCAGTGATTCAACAAGAAGAGGCAATACATACATCATTCATTCATTTTCTTGTCGGCTTAGTCCCTTTAATAATCCGGGGTCGCCACAGTGGAATGAACCGACAACTTATCCAACAAGTTTTTACGCAGTGGTTGTCCTTCCAGCCGCAACCCATCTCTGGGAAACATCCACACACACATTCACACACACACTCATACACTAGGGTCAATTTAGCCTACCCAATTCACCTGTACCACGTCTTTGGACTGTGGGGGAAGCCGGAGCACCCGGAGGAAACCCACACGAAGGCAGGGAGAACATGCAAACTCCACACAGAAACGCCAACTGAGCCGAGGTTCGACCCAGCGACCTTCTTGCAATGCATACAAGAAATGCTTATTATACATAGGAACTTTAGTGCTTAGAGAATTAAGTGCTAGAGTAAAGAGGGGGTGTTTTTAATCATACAGAAAGAAGAGTGTTTTCTACAGGTGGTTTGTCAAGCCCACTCACCCGTGTGAGGCACACTTCATAAATGCAGTTTTTTACTTGGATCTCCAAACTTCAAAGATTTAGGAGCATCTAACCAATAATGAATGAGCACCACTACAACAAATTGTATATTTAAGGATTTATTTAGTTTATATCTTACAATTCTGACTTAGGCCCAATCCCAATTCTATTTTTGCACCTCTACTCCATCCCCTTGGCCCTTGAAACAGAGTGTGAACGGGAAGGGCTTCAATTTTACTCCTAAGAAATGGGACAGCACTACAACACCTGCACATGTCATGGCGATCTCTCGCTTCATATGAGATCGATGATCGCGACTGCATGTAATTATTCCAGTTGCGTTATTATTTGGTATTTATCATCAGGAAATCACTGAAGACTACTATATCATGTTATCATAATGGTATAATGTGGCAATAAGATTGTAACTGTACTGTGCACTTACACAGTGGCCATATTCATCGGTAAATGTAAAGATCAAAATCTCTGTTTGAAGGGGTTTCTAGCCCTTCCCCTTAGCCCTACGCCTTCAAGCTAAAGAGAATTGACCCTTCACGTAAACATGCAAAACGTAAGGGAAAGGGCTAATGGGTAGAATTGGGATTAGGCCTTAATAACTCAGAATTTTTTTTCAGAATTGCGAGTTTGTATCATGCAATGCTGGGATAAAAAGTCACAATTACTTTTTTTTTTTTTTATTCAGTGGAAACTGAGGGCGCCCTTGCATTGTCATTAATGGAAACTGGATGTCATCTGGTGGTCATGTTTGGTACTGCGGTCTTAAAATATCTTAATTTTAAAATATATTTTTACATTTTTTTTTAAATATAGTTTTTAAATCTAAACAACCTTGTTTGTGCAGTGCAAACGAATGTTAAAGATTCTTCATTAATCTACTGAATCCTTTTTTAAAAAATTTTTATGTTTATTTGGGGAAATTCCTGATTTAGTATTAACACAACGCCGAAACAAATATTCAATAGCTTTACTTTTTGACAAAACTAATTAAATCCTTATATAAAAGGTTTCATTGCTCAGTTAATGGCAGTGTTTTGAGCAATACTTTAATTTATATTGTATGTATTGTACAAGTTATGTTGTAAAGCGAAGCCATTTCGGTATGAATGATAGGTGGTGCACTGTAAAATTTACACTATTACTGGCAATTTTTGTAACCAGTAACACTGTAAAATTTACAAGCGCACTGCACATTAACAATTACAGTTTTGCTATAGTATTACAGCACAACTGTAATTATTAATTTAGAGTATGCTAAAACATTTTACAGTATTACTGGCAAGTTTTATAGCATTACTGGATAAATTTACAAGCGCACAGTAAATTAACATTTACAACTGTGCTGTAAGTTTACAGCAAATTTGTAATTGTGAATTTACAGTGCACTTGTAAATTGTACAGAATTACTGGCAACCAGAATTGCCAGTAATACTGTAAATTTGACAGGATTTTTTTACAGTGTGGAATTAACTGCGAATGTGATACAGGAAGCACCAAATGAAACACTGCACAGAAAACCAAACTGCAAATACCACCAGTAGCACCTATTATAGACAAACTAATAAGATCAAGCTAGTTTTACTCTACTTTTATGTTAATTTGAGTTTTAACCAATTTACACGACTTATCCCACCCTGAAAATAAACTGTGGGTTTGAGAAAGACAGAAACAAGGAGAAAATAATAGTACAAATTATCTGACATTTCCAGGTTTCCTATTTTTAGAGTCTTGCAGTGTGAAAAAAAAAAAACCTTACCCCCACCGTGAACACCAGGGGTCTGAAGAGTTGATGTGGTCTTCTGGGTGGCAAAGGGGGCACAGGCTTGGGTGGCACAGCATGGTTATGTCCCCCTGCTTCAGCTTCTGTCTCTTGCACACCTCTTTTGCTTTCTGATGGTCTCTCAGCTTTCCGGAAGCCACATCTTTGCTGAGGATGGATGTTTAATCTATGGAGTATATTTGTTTTCAATAATTGTACTATGTTCTACTTTAATGTAATTTCCGGTTACATTAAAGAGACGGTTCACCCAATAATTGCAATACCTGTTTGGATTTCTTTGCTCTTTTAAACGCAAAAGAAGATATTTTGAAAAATGTTGGAAACTTGTAGGCAGTGAATTGTTTAGTATTAGCTTTTCCTATCACCATATATTTTTATTTCTTGGATAAACTATGCCTTTAACTGCACTTCTTCAACCCATAAATTAAGTTGACAGTCAATTAAGCAGTGTTATTGTTATTTTCAAATCATACTTGCATGTAATTTTAGACCAAATATTCAATATACCATGGTAAACAATGTAGTGAGCATGTCACAAGTCGTCATTGAATAAAAGCATGACTTTAAAACCAACTTTGCCTCTATTTTATTGTGCAGCCCTAAAGGATATCAACTGTTTTCTAACATTCTTCAAAATATCTTATTTTGTGTTCAACTGAAAAAAAGAGAAACGTATAAAGGATTGGAACCACTTGAGGAAGAGTAAATGATGACCGAATGGTCATTTTTGGATGAACTACCCCTTTAACTGCTCTTCTTCAACCTTTAAATCAAGTTTACATTCAATTAAATAGTGCTATTGTTGTTTTCAAATCATACATGCATGGTATTTCAGACCAAATATTCAATATACCATGGTAAACAATATAGGGAGCATGCCACAAGTCGTCAATGAATAAAAGTGTGACTTTAAAACCAACTTTGCCTCTATTTTATTGTTCAGCCCAAATGGATATCAACTGTTTTCCAACATTCTTCAAAATATCTTATTTTGTGTTCAACTGAAAAAAATAAAATAAATAAATAAATATTATAAATAAATATTATAAATAAATATTATAAATAAGTATAAAGGTTTGGAACCACTTGAGGAAGAGAAAACTACGACAGAATTTTTTTTTTAGCATAAACTATTCCTTTAACTGCTTTTATTCGACCTTTAAGTCAAGTGCTAGTGTTGTTTTCAAATCACACTTGTGTGATTTCAGATGGAATATTCAATACAGTATACCATGGTAAGCAATATAGGGAGCATGTTACAAGTTGTCACTGAACGAATGTGCGAATATAAAACCAACTTTACCTCAATTTTATTGTGCAGCCTTAATGGATGTCAATGGTTTCCAACATTCTTCATAATCTCTTATTTTGTGCTCAACAGGAATAAAGAGAAACGTATAAAAGTCTGGAACCACTTGAGGAAGAGTAAATGATGACAGAATGTTCATTTTTGGATGAACTATACCTTTAAACTGCACTTCTTCAACCTTTAAATCAACTTCACAGTCAATTAAATAGTTATGAGGATGTTTTCAATTCATACTTGCATGTGATTCCAGACCGAATATTCGAAATACTATGGTAAACAATAAAGGGAGCACGTCACAAGTTATCACTAAATGAATGTGCGAATATAAAACCAACTTTACCTTAATCTTATAGTGCAGCCCTTAATGGATGTCAATGGTTTCAAACATTCTTCAAAATATCTTATTTTGTGTTCAACGGGAAAAAAGAAACTCATAAAGATTTGGAATTACTTAAGGAAGAGTAAATGAGGCCCTAATTGTTATATTTTGGATTACCTATCCCTTTAACTGCACTTATTCAACCTTAAAATCAAGTTCTGTCACTTAAATAGTGCTGATGATGTTTTAAATTCATACTTGCATGTGATTTCAGACCAAATATTCAAAGTACCATGGTAAACATGGCGAGCATGTCACAAGTTTTTTTTTTTTTTATTGCAATAGTAACAATACATTACAACAAATACCGATACAAAGCTGAAAGAATTATAGTACAACCAATAGAAATATTAATTTTTGAAAAAAGTGGATTGCAACAAATTTAGAACAAATATAATAAATGTAAAAGAAATTAAAGGGAACAAGAGAGAGAAAAGAAGAAGAAAAATAAATAATTAAGGGCACATAAAGAAAAATTAAATTATTGCAGAATATTAAATAAAGCACATATTTTTGAAGTTTTAATAGCTTTCTTATTGTGAGAGTCTATGATGTTTTTTAAATAAAGAGCAAGTTCTCGTTTAAAAAATAAAAAATTAGGCTTACTATGAGTATATTTGCATTTGTGTATAAAAATTTTTCCAATAAATAAAATGAGGTTTATGCAAAAAGTTGCATTAAGGAATTCTTTTCCTTTAATATTAGCATGTCACAAGTTGTCACTGAACGAAAGTGGGAACATAAAACCAACTTTACCTGAGTTTTATAGTGCAGCCCTAATGGATGTCAATGGTTTCCAACATTCTTCAAAATATCTTATTTTGTGTTCAACAGGAAAAAAAAGAAATGTTTAAGAGGTTTGAAACCACTTGGGGAAGAGTAAATGATGACAGAAAGTTCATTTTTGGATGAACTACCCCTTTAACTGCACTTCGACCTCTAGTTTGCCTTGAGGATGATGCCCCCTAGTGAGAGAATAAAATCAACAACCCTTGGTAGCGTTTACCCTAATATAAGTACGAAGCAATGCACTTTAAAAACAACTACACAAAAAGGGCATCAAGTCATCTCTCAAACTGAAGGCGTGAATGTTGAATATACTTCTTTACGTAGCATGACAACAACCCAAAATATCAATATTAAGATTGTTTGACGTTAGCTTACCTGGTACTTTTTGGACACAACGATGATGCATTTATCGAGTTTATTTGTGTCCATTTCATGAAGCAGCTCCTCCATGCCATGTCCCGAATACTGGTCTGCGCTTTGCAACTCGGGACAGTGTTTTGTAACGTATGACAGATTCAGTTTTTTCCTCAACGTCAGAAATCACGTGACACTGCGCAGCTCACTTTACTTACAATAATAACTCTTGACTTAACTTATATAAGATACAAAGACCGATAATTAGTAGACTCCAAAGCAGCAGGTTCTACAGTTGATACGACCCGAAATGAATACAATGTCTAGAGTTAAACATGTTCAAGGGCGTTATATCTGCGTAGGATCTGCGCATATTAGATGTATTCCTGGATTTATTACACTCTAATCCTTTTTTAGATAGACTACTTATTTTTGTACAGTCTGTGTGCACTCCTAAGTAGGCCAAATGTAAATCTAATTGTCCACTAATGAAGTTAAATGGATGTCCACTATTAGTATTTTCATATACATACCTGACAAAAGTCTTACCTATCATGTTAATAAGTTTTAGGAACAACAAATAATAACTTGACTGCTAGTTTTTTTTTTTTTTTTTTGGTATCAGAAGTGGCTTATATGAAAGGCAAAGGCCTCTAGATTACGCTTATTTTACCAAAATAAAATATGATCATGCCTTGATTTTTATTTATTTAATTATGACAGTAAGGTCTGACTTTGCTCAGACAAAAATCTTGTCAGAAATAATGTACAGTATATAATATAAAGTCATGCTGCAGTGGAAAAAGAATGAATATTGTGTCTGACTTTCATAAGTTTGGAGGAGTGCATCCATACATGAGACAAACTCAATAATGTTCATATCAGGTGACTGGGCTGGCCAATCCTGGAGCACCTTGACCTACTTAGCTTTCAGGAGCTTTGATGTGGAGGCTGAAGTATGAAAAGGAGCTATCCTGCTGAAGAATTTGCCCTCCCCTGTGGTTTGTAATGTAATGGGCAGCACAAATGTCTTGATTCCTCAGGCTGTTGATGTTGCCATCCACTCTGCAGATCTCTCGCATGCCCCCATACTGAATGTAACGCCAATCCATGATTTTTTTTTTTGTTGACAATGCTGTTATTAGGTCATTGAAAAATTATTGCACCTCTTAGTTTTCAATTTTTTTTTCTTTTTACCAATTTAAAGCATTTATTTTACAATAATTGCATAATTAATTTTCTTCTCTCTATCTCTCTCTCTCTCTTACAGTTTATTCATTTTGTGCCTGCGTGATTTACAAATGTCTGCATAAACTACACTTAAATTTCATGATTGATTTAATAATTATAATTTGCAATGTACTTTTTGTATCAGACTTTGTCTTCATAAACTATTTCTTTTTCTGAATTTTGCCTCACGTTATTTGTCATTAATATTAATATATGTTATTATGTCACTTATTAATAATTGCACCTGTTAATATTTGTATGCTTTTTTTTTTTTTTTTTTACAATTTAAAGCATCTTTGGTAAAGATTTTTTTCTTTTGTTGATTGTAAAATCAATAATTATGTGATTTATGTCCTCACTGTAAAAAAAAAATACAGAGTTTTACACAATTCCTTCATATTGTCTTAACACGAACAGATTAAGATAATTTAATCAGTTTTTTATTTTTATTTAAGTGGATTAAAAATAAAACAATGTGGTATATGCACAGGGACTTTTAAATTTCAGTCAGCCAGGCCCAGGGCTATGAAATATGTAACCTGCAAAAACAATAAATAATTAAATGTGCAAATATATAAATAAATGAGTAAATAAATCCACAAATTCCTGAATAAATAAATAAATCAATAAATAAATAAATACACAAATATATACAAATAAATGAGCAAATAAATCCACAATTTCCAGCATAAATAAATAAATATGCAAATATATAAATAAACAAGTAAATAAATCCACAAATTCCTGCATGAATAAATAAATACATTTGCAAATATATAAATAAATGAGTAAATAAATGCACAAATTCCTGCATAAATGAATAAATAAATACACAGATATAAAAATAAATGAGTAAATACATCCACAAATTCCTGCATAAATAAATAAATCAATCAGTCAATTAATAAATAAATAAATAGACAAATGTAAATAAATAAATGAGTAAATAAATCCACAAATTCCTGCATAAATAAATTAATACGCAAATATATAAATAAATGAGTAATGCACAAATTCCTGCATAAATAAATAAATATGCAAATATATAAATAAATAAGTAAATAAATCTATAAAATTCTTTATGAATAAATAAATAAATATGCAAATATTGAAATAAATGAGTAAACATATATGATTTTACAATAATGTCCTCCCCTCTTTCTCTCTCACACACGGTCACACACCCACTTTAATATTCTCGTGGCTGCGTGATTCTCAAACGTCTGCACACAATATAAACGGATTTCACGATTTATTCAATTCACAATGGACTGTCGTGCAACAAGAGTAAATGTGCGCTACATGTGGATGGCATCATGACATCACGGATCCATTCAAAGACCACCTGATGTACTAAAAAAAGGAGGGGAAACCATGAGAATCGTCGTCGGTCGGTCGCATCCCTGACGGCTCCTCTTGGCGTGAAGATGGCGGCTCCAGCACCGAGCAGCCGCACCGGATCCGTTAGCAGCAGTCTGGGAAACAGTCCGACCGCGACACCGGGACCGGGCGGCTTAAATAACGGCCACAAGCTGTGGTGCTGCCACGAGCTGGACTTCAGGTCCGGGGTGAAGATAGAGGAGCTCAACAGACTCATCCATGAATTCAGTAAACAAGACCAGCGAGAGTACGATGACCAGAGGGCGCTGGAAATACACACCGCCAAGGATTTCATCTTCTCCATGCTCGGTAACGGCACCTTCATTCATTTTTCCATCAGCGTAGTCGCCTTTTTTAATCAGGCGTCGCCACAACGGAATGAACCGCCAACTATTTTACGCGGCGAATGCCCTTCCAGCGCAACAGCACCTTCAATTTTGTTATTATTTCTAGTAAAAAAAAAAAATCACTGTTATTCACTTAATGTTTAGCTTATATTCATTAAATAATGTTTCATACTATTAAAATAAAACAGAGAAAGAATTGTATTTAGGCTATATTTAGACTTCTATCTACATTAATATCGTCTATATCTATCATCAATATTGTATCTGTATTAATACCATCTATATCTCCTATTTAGATTTTTGTCTATATCAATATCATCTATATCTTTTATTTAGACTTCATCAATATTATCTATAATCTATCATAAACATATATATATATATATATATATATATATATATATATATATATATATATATATATATATATATATATATATATATATATATATATATATCCAAGCGTATAAAGTGGCAAGTGCATTTCCTAGCAGCAAGTTAAAAAGTGAGTAAGATTAAAAAGATTTTGGCCAGAAACACCCTCAATTTAATGTCCATTCATTATTGCAGCAGCCCTTGGATATGTACATGGATATAATATCAATATCATCTGTATTCTATCATCAATATTCTATATCAATATCATCTGCATCTCCTATTTAGACTTCTATCTGTATCAATACTATCAATATCTCCTATTTAGACTTCATCAATATTATCTATATTCTATCATCAATATTCTATCTGTATCAATATCATCAATATCTCCTATTTAGACTTCTATTATATCATTATCATCAATATTTTACCATCAATATTTTATATCAATATCATCTATAACTCCTATTTAGGCTTCTGTTATATCAATATCATCAATATTTTACCATCAATATTCTATATCAATATCTATATCTCCTATTTAGACTTCTATTTATATCAATATCATCAATATTCTATCATTAATATTCTACATCAATATCTATATCTCCTATTTAGACTTCTATTTATATCAATATCATCTATATTCTATCATCAATAATCTGTCTATGCCTATATCAATATCATCTACTGTATATCTCCTATTTAGACTTCTATCTACATTAATATCATCAATATTTTATTATCAATGTTGTATCTGTGTTAATATCATCTGTATCTCCTATTTATGGATCTATTTATATCAATATCATCTATATCAGTATTTTATCTCTGTCAATACCATCTATATATCCTATTTAGACTTTTATTTATCTCAATATCATCTATATCAGTATATCTATCTGTATTAATATCATCAATATGTCCTATTTAGGCTTTTATTTATATCAATTTAATCTATCTTCAATTATTAATATTATATTTATATTAATATCATCTATATCAGTATTTTATCTCTATCAATACCATCTATATTTCCTATTTAGACTTTTATTTATCTCAATATCATTTATATCAGTAAATCTATCAGTACCAATATCATCAATATGTCCTATTTAGGCTTCTATTTATATCAATATAATCTATATTCTAGTATTAATATTATATTTAAATCAATATCATCTATATCTCCTATTTAGACGTATATCTATATCAATATTATCTATATTCTATCATCAATCTTTTATCTATATCAATATCTACCTCTCCTTCTATTTAGATCAATATCATCTATATCTCTTATTTAGACATCTATCTATATCATTATCATATTAATATCATCTAAAATCTCTCATCAATGTTCTATCTGTTTTAATATCATCTGCATCTCCTATTTTGGCCTCCATTATATCAATATCATCAATATTTTACCATCAATATTTTATATCAATATCATCAATATTTTACCATCAATATTTTATATCAATATCATCTATAGCTCCTATTTAGGCTTCTATTATATCAGTATCATCAATATTTTACCATCAATATTCTATATCAATATCATCTGTATCTCCTATTTATGTTTCTATCTATATCAATATCATCTATATTCTATCATTAATATTCTAAATCAATATCTATATCTCCTATTTAGACTTCTATTTATATCAATATCATCTATATTCTATCATCAATATTCTGTATATGCCTATATCAATATCATCTACTGTATATCTATTTAGACTTCTATCTACATTAATATCATCAATATTATTTATTATTATCAATGTTGTATCTGTGTTAATATCATCTGTATCTCCTATTTATGGATCTATTTATATCAATATCACCTATATCAGTATTTTATCTCTGTCAATACCATCTATATATCCTATTTAGACATTTATTTATCTCAATATCATTTATATCAGTAAATCTATCAGTACCAATATCATCAATATGTCCTATTTAGGCTTCTATTTATATCAATATAATCTATATTCTATTATTAATATCATATTTAAATCAATATCATCTATATCTTCTATTTAGACGTATATCTATATCAATATTATCTATATTCTATCATCAATCTTTTATCAATATCTACCTCTCCTTCTATTTAAATCAATATCATCTATATCTCTTATTTAGACATCTATCTATATCATTATCATATTAATATCATCTAAAATCTCTCATCAATGTTCTATCTGTTTTAATATCATCTGCATCTCCTATTTAGGCCTCCATTATATCAATATCATCAATATTTTACCATCAATATTTTATATCAATATCATCAATATTTTACCATCAATATTTTATATCAATATCATCTATAGCTCCTATTTAGGCTTCTATTATATCAGTATCATCAATATTTTACCATCAATATTCTATATCAATATCATCTATATATCCTATTTACACTTCTATTTATATTAATATCATCTATATTCTATTATTAATATTATATCTGTACCAATTTCATCTGTATCTCCTATTTATGTTTCTATCTATATCAATATCATCTATATTCTATCATTAATATTCTAAATCAATATCTATATCTCCTATTTAGACTTCTATTTATATCAATATCATCTATATTCTATCATCAATATTCTGTCTATGCCTATATTAATATCATCTACTGTATATCTCCTATTTAGACTTCTATCTACATTAATATCATCAATATTTTATTATCAATTTTGTATCTGTGTTAATATCATCGGTATCTCCTATTTATGGATTATTTATATCAATATCATCTATATCAGTATTTTATCTCTATCAATACCATCTATATTTCCTATTTACACTTTTATTTATCTCAATATCATCTATATCAGTAAATCTATCTGTATCAATATCATCAATATGTCCTATTTAGACTTACATCTATATCAATCTACTATTGATTGGTGTATTTTAAATTTCATATTGATATGTTGTGGTTATTACTGTATATAAGAGGTTTTAGATATAATATAGATAGATTTACATACTGATCTACGTTCTTAAAGGGGTAGTTCACCCAAATATGAAAATTCTGTCATCGATTACTTGTTCAAAAACTATTTGAGTTCCTTCCGTCAAACACAAAAGAAGATATTTTGAAAAATGGTGATCGATGGTACCAATTGACTCCCATAGCATTGTTTTCCTATAATGGAAGTCATCAGCATTCTTCAAAACGTCTTCTTTTGTGTTCAACAGAATAAGGAAACTCAAATCTCACGAGGAAGTTTCAGTTTCATTGCATCATTAAGGTTTGTTAGCAACACTGCTGTGCTGTTTTGCGCTTTAGCTAAAGATCTCAGCGCTATCTTATATTATCCAACCACTGACTCCATTTGGGTCTGTTCTTTAAGCCGCTTTATGCTTGACCTCTCGCGGAATAATAAATCCACGTCAGCCAGATGAATGCATGTCCCTAATCTAATGTTTGAAGGGATCAGAATGATTATGTCCACGTTTAAAAAAAAGTATGTCCACGTTTAAAAAAAGAAAGGTCGAAAACGGTAATGTGCATGGACAGAGCAGACATACAGTAGCTGTACTAATCGTTAATAACGACAAGAAATTAATTACTTATTTTTAATGACATCATTCGAATTGCTTTTAAATATATATATATATATATATATATATATATATATATATATATATATATATATATATTTTTTTTTTTTATTTTTTTTTTTTTAAATATCTATGTCTGAAATTCCCTTTATTCGCGTGGGTTTCCTCCGGGTGCTCCGGTTTCCCCCACAGACCAAAGACATGCAGTACAGGTGAATTGGGTACGGTAAATTGTCAGTAGTGCATGAGTGTGAATGAGTGTCTATGGATGTTTCCCAGAGATGGGTTGCAGCTGGAAGGACATCCGCGGCATAAAAACATGTATTAGATAAGTTGGCGGTTCATTCCGCTGTGGTGACCCCAGATTAATAAAGGGCAGAAAAGAAAATGAATGTCTGAAATTAAAGACGATTAGAAAATTAATCAATTCACTCCATACTATTTAAATTCCACTATTTATAAATCTAAATAGACTATAAACATTTTAAAATAAAAGTTTTTTTACATTTTAGCCAAGAAGGACTTTTAGTTTAGAAAAATAAAGAATAATAAATAATGAAATTTTATAATAATCTAAAGGAATAATATATAATAATAAGTAATAATAAATATTTTAAATGTGAAAACAAAACAGGGCGAAGCGGTGGCGCAGTGGGTAGCACGTTTACCTCACAGCAAGAAGGTCGCTGGTTCGAGCATCGGTTGAGTGAGTTGGCGTTTCTGTGTGGAGTTTGCATGTTCTCCCTGTGTTCACGTGGCTTTCCTCCGGGTGCTCCGGTTTCCCCCACAGTCCAAAGACATGTGGTACAGGCAGGGCCAGGGCATCCATAGAGGCAGCACAGGCGGTTGCCTAGGGCAGCAGAATAGAGAGGGTGGTGTCCGTGACATCTCCTCACTTTCGTCCACGATAAACCCCCCACCGCCCCGGTTCTTGCTGTCGCTTGCGCAGTCACACCCATGGTACCCTTTTGTTAGGCGTGGTACACTTCA